ATTGGTGTTAAGGCGTGCGGCGGCGTGTGCTCCTACACTTTTTTTTTTTCCTGCCTCGAATGGCCTCACACACCTTGCGTCAAGCGCGGTTTTCCCGTCACGTCGTGTGCTCTTGTTATCTATTCTTCAACGCTAACCTAACCCCCTCCCTTGAGACGCGGGAGGAGAGGGGAGGGCCGCCGGCGGGGGGCATTGGTGCCATCAGAAACGCAGGGCGGTTTTGATGGCTCCAGGGTCCAAGGAAGCCAACGCCAGCCCGAGCGAGCATTCCAACGGGCCGGCGCTGACCCCAAAGAGTGGGAAGGGGGGAAAAGGGGGGAGAGGGAGTAATGCAAGAGAGCCTCGAGGACTTGTGATCCTCTGTGATCGACTTGGATGGTCCTCTCGAGTCTCCCGATGCGACGCAAAGACGAGAATGCAACGCCTCGGGTGGAAACATGGGCGATTGATCTGCGCGCGTTCTTTTCTTAGAAAGCAAGCAAGCAACCCGACTGTGTACATTGAAGCTGGGGCCCGCCCCCAAAAGAGAGCGAGAGAGGGAGAGATAGGGCGAGAGTTTGGGGCCGATCCATAACTTCCACTTCCGGGGCCGCATCGAACGGGCTCTTGGCGGCCCTGCCGGCTACATTCCAGCGTTTCTGCGAGTCGTCGTTGGTCGTCATTCGTCGTTGGACGACACCTGGCCAAGCCTCAAGGGGAGGGATACGATGCGTCGTGCCCCTTTGCCTTGCTGGGTACGGCGCCCGTCTCCCCACACACACTCTCTCTCTCTCTCTCTCCCCAATCGGCCGCTCTAAGACGACCATCGTTGGAAACTTCCTTGGCTGTTTGGTCTTAAGTCCCGTTTGGTTTGATAGCGGGCGACGACCTGCAAGCCTTGCCCGATGGGTCCGTCGGCCGCCCGCTGGTTACTCTATCTAGGTACGAATACACTTACAAAGTTGGCGACAGGGCTGTCCGTTCCAAGGACCCCATTCCCGCTCTCTCTTTCGCTCTCTCTGACTCTCTGTCACTCTCTCCGCCCTCCCCCGCCTCGCTGACCGAGCCCCCCTGCCCCCCGCCGTCTCCGTTCGGCACTACCGGGCACTACCGGGCACGGCCGATGCCGGTGCACAACCGCCAACAGTGTAGATCTCGGTCGCCTGCATGGTGACTCCCAGCGTAGTGCTGCCCCGGGGAGGGGCGGTGTAACGGCGGCATCGTGACACCTGGCGCTTCCTAATGCAACTCGTTCTCGTCCAACCGCTCACGCAAGGCGGGTGAGATGCCAAGTAGTAGTAGCGGTGGCACGTTCTGTCGTATCGTGGAGAATCTGAATATCGGCCGGCAGCTTGCATACGGCACTCGAACCTGCGACTCATGTTGACACGGCGCCGCCGTGTGTGATCTAGATTGCCTCGTCCTCCCGCTCCTCCCCCCCCTACTCTTATTACCTACCCCCCTCCCTCCCTCTCTTACGATCCCTTCTTAGTCAAACACGACTCTGGTCGGTGTTCTTTTTTCGTGTTACTCTCCACCCCTCGAGCATGGCGGCAAACCGCTGGACCTTTGGGGGGGGGGGGTTCTATCTATGGTCTATAACACAATCGCCGTAGCTTAGCTGCATGCGCACAACGGCCGGTCTTCCTATCCACCTCCCTCTCCCCCTAGAGGTGCCATCATTCACACACCCATCACGGTTTTCCTTTTGGCGGTTGTACGACTGACGGCGACGCCCAGCACGTAACCCCCGCCTATGCCGTGGGATCATTGCTGTTTCCCACCTGAGGCTGACCTGGACGCCGTCCAGAGTGGGACTCGTCCGCAGTCCGTCGTGAAGCAAAAAAAGGGGTTTGTCTGTATGTGTGAGGGGGGGGACAGCGTCTGCCATTTTCTTTGTGTGATGCAGTCTGGCCTTCTCTAAGTCGGGCCCGACAGCCCCCCTTGTGATATGCGACGACTGCATTGCCCCTTTTGTTGCCGCCTGGTCAGCAGGATGGGCCGGCTGGGTGGGAGATAGAGTGTGTGTGTGTGTGTGTGTGTGTGTGTGTGTGTGTGTGTGTGTGTGTGTGTGTGTGTGTGTGTGTGTGTGCCCGTGGGATGAAGCAAGCAAACAATGCTCAAAGTGGAAAAGAAAGAAAGAAAAAAAAAAAGGCAAAAGGCTACCAACCTGACACACCCTACCGCCCGTGGGCGAAGATTGCGCCCTTCTCTCTCTCTCGCGCGCGCGCGCGCGCCTCGCGTTCGCAATCGCCTTTTTGTGCCCCGTGTTCGCGTTCTGGCAACACCCGCCTGCTCCTCCCCTGGTCTTGGTTTGTGCCCATCGTCCTTTGTGAGCCTCGTGCCTCGTCCAATGTTCGTATACGGCTCCGGCCGTGTCTAGGTTACGGCAATCTTCTTCGCCACCGTGGCTGAGGATGTAGGTATTGCTCTGCAGGGGCGAACTGAAAACACGACAACCGGCTCCCTGGCTCATGCTTTGTCTTCTGTCCTGGTATACAGCTGTCTGATTTGACATGCCTTGATGGGAATAGAGTGGACTAGTTCCTCGATCTGTACAAATGCCCAGTGGGAAGATATCCAAGCAGCAGAGGCGGGAACGAGCATGGTACGATGCCTGCTGCATATCCTTTGCTGCCCTTTGCCCTCCTGGGACTCTCTGCCGGGCTCGCCTGCATATGGGGTTGATATGTGACCTCGGAGAGCGTGTCTGCAGAGTCCGGCACGGGGGGGGGTCTGCCATAGCTGCTGTTAACTGTCAAGGTCACTGACGCCTGGGCAAATGAAGCCTCCGGTTGGTTCCCAGGGCGTCAGTTTGATGAGGTTTCGGCGTGAGCCTACGCGGGGCTCATCTGGAATCCGGGATATAAGCCATTTTCACCGAACAGTCAGGCGGGGGATCGACATCGATATATCGCTTCACTCGTGGGGGAAGGGATACGGAGGACGTTCCTTTCCTGTAGACGATCTTCTGTAGACAGAATTCAAACAGTCCAGAATCATCACGAATCCCCGATGTGTTAAGCTTGCTGTCGACCCGTCTTGTTCCGGGAGGGCACCGCCAACCGCCATACTCCTGCGACGCCTGTTGACCACGCGGACAGATGCATGTGCTGAGCGGCATGCACCCCCAACGACAGCGAAGGATCGAAGACTCTGCAGGGCAGGTTGGCAGGCACGAACGTTCTGGCGCCGGCTTGCTTCCGGCCACTCTTGCAGCAGGGCTTCTTCGCGAGCTTGCAGCCGCGTCGTCTGGTCCAAGAACGACGTTCGTGCAATCCTGCCCCGGAGATGGTACAAACCCCCTCCCCTTTTCCTGCGGAAAAAGACGCACACAGAAGTTCGCGTTGCTTCGAGATCTGGGCGAGATTACACGGCCCAACGCCGGCACGTACCGTGTGTAGCCGTGCTACGGAAGAAAGAGCTCAGCGCCGTCCGTTTTTCTCTTTGCAACCGACTGTGTGGTCATGCATGTCTTGGAGGCTGATGCGTACGAATGCGACGATGGAAGAGAGAGGGCGGGACCGTCCTCGTCCCAGCCAGACTCGTTATCCGGGCTGTAAGCGCTGCGGGTTTGTTGTGCGGGCTGTGGTTTTTTTCTCTTCTTCTTCTTGTCCGCACCATCAGAAATTTGTCACGAGGAGGGGATCATCGTGAACCTCATCCCATAGATGAGGTGGAACGCCCGCAAGTTCTCGGGCTCCGCGGAATGAGCCGACCACAGACCGAGATCGAACCCGACTCGCGAGGGCGAAGTGGCCCCGACGACGTACGGCGCACGGGAAGAAAGTATGGTGCGTATGTTTTCTTTGCTTGATGAGATGTCCTATCGCCAAGGTATCCGGGACCTTGGAACCTCGCGAACTAGAACTCCAGACACACACACCCCCTTTCAGCCCGCCGTCTTTCGACTTGACAAATCCAAGGAGCTGGGGAGGCATCACAGACTACGCTCGACCGCCCCCGATTCCACGCACAGAAGAGTTCATTCCAAAGAAGATAGGGGGGGGGGGGGCATGATATTCCTTATTTGTCCATTGCTCTTGAGCCCTTCGATCCCGATCTCATGTGCTCTCCGAGTCCCGTCGACTCCTTGCGGCCTCTTTCGGGCCCTTGCGCCGCTCTCTTGACGTAATGATCCCCAGTCTTCTCTCGGAAGGGTTCAGACTCCAAGCACGGCAACTTCAAACACCAAATGTCCCCTCATCCCGTCCCGTCCCGTCGTCATCCCCCAGAAATGCATGTCCTGATTGCAGCCCGTCCATTCCTGTGGACGCCGGACAGCTCAGCGTGTCCCAAGACAATGACGCGTGCACGCTCACACACTATCGCATACACATACACCACTGGTCTAGGAAGGAAAGACTGCGAGCTGTCTTGACTTGTCACACAAGCGTACAGGGGGGGGGGGGGGGGGTAAGGGTGAGGGAAAGGGCATCGTGGGACACGGATGAGGATGAGAGGGGCGAAGCAGACGAGACGTGAGGAACAGAAAGATTGACGGGATTCGGGACCCGATCGCGAGCTACTGCACTGCCTCCGAGACCACCTCCCCATGCCGGCCCGCAAACGGTCGCACATACATGAGGTGAGCTGACCCATTCGGTCCAAGTCTATTGTCACCGGCTTCTACCGCTTGCTCGGTGGTATCGCTCCGGGATCACAAGACAAGGAAACTCCGAGACGGCAGGAATAGGGTCCACAATACGAGAGAGAGAGAGATGGTGGACTCGTAAAGAGCTGAGGTAAGTAGAATGGTATATTGTGGGATATTTTGTAATTCCATGTTGCCTTTGGTCATCTTCTGTATACTCTATCGCCAGCGCATCGCGGTCAAGGACGCAGTTTGCAGCCTCGTCGTACAACCCACGCCACGAAACGCCCTCGACTCAGTCGTGTGCATCAATCGTGAGAGTACGAGATGATCCCAGCAGTCACGTCTAACAAAACCAACGCCCGAAGACTTGATGCTACGACCACCCCCAATGGGCGTCTTCCTAGACTTGGTCATGACCAACACCCTACCGCTTCGGCGGGGCAACCCTCGACGTGAAGAAGGGATGCTTCAGCGCGTCGGCAGGCTTGATTCTCTTTTCCGGGTTGAGCGTCAGGCAGTGCTCGAGCAGGTCGACAAAGTGGTTGAGATCCCTGGTCTCAGCGTCGTTCATTCCCGCCGATGCGGCGAAGAGGCGGGTGCGCAGGTCACGCGTCGGTTTGACGATGGGCAGGACCCTGGCGGTTGTCTGTATGAAGCAAATGCGAGTCAGCTGGCTGAACGAAATCCTATCGGGCAAATTCGCTTCTATTCCTCAAACGCATCGAAAGTCGAAAATAGGTCAAAAGAAAGCGTGCGTGCGGCGGGTCCCCACGAACGTGGCATCATATCTGACAACTTTGACAAATAGACCCAACGCGCTGGACCCTCCGTGCAGAGAGTTGGGGGGCCAGTACAGGGAATAGAAAGGAGGCGAAGATGAGATGATGCGTCGGCCGTGGTAATAGACTCTGAGACATCTACCCGCATCTGCATCCTCCGCAGATGGGATTGTTTTTTGCTCGGCCGGTCCTTCCAAACTGGGGAGGGCTGGGGCCCAGCAAGCCATGCGAGTCCGAACTATCTGAAAAATAAAGACTGCACGTTGGTTGTGGCGGTTGTTGATGACCATTCCGGTGGCCGAAGGGCATCACAATGCAAGCTCTCCCAGTCCACCGCTCAGACATGACGGCCTGCAGAATGTCTAGGATGCACACGCATGTGTAGCCGCGCCTCAGCGCTTACAGTCGCATTGCGCCTCGACTAGACCATCTCGGGACCGTCGGTCAAAACAGCACCTCGGGGACTGATTGGTGCATGGGCTTCGGGGTATGAAACAAGCTCAATGCAGAAGCGTTGGAAGTACGGGGAAGAGAAAAGCAGCAAGACAAAGGGAACCATCGTCACCAGCAAATTACATACCTTTCCAAGCGCCTTGTCCCTCTCCATGCTGACAAAGTTGCCCAGCTCGTCAAAGTGCATCGCTGACAGTTGACCTCGCTTGTAAAGCTTGGGCGTGATCTTTCCGCGGATCTCCATGATGGTCTTGAGCATCTGGTTGTTGCTGTCGCCGGCGAAGAGGATCTTGCCCGTATACAGCTCGTATAACGTGCAGCCGATGGACCACATGTCGATGGCATAGTCGTAGGGCATTCCGAGGATAACCTCGGGTGCTCTGTAAAAGCGACTGACAAGGTACGGGGTGATCTCGTTGTGTACCGTCGCGGCGTCGGATTTATCGATACCGGTGCCTAAATCGCAAATCTTGAGGACGGTTCGGCTTTCATTGACCTTGTACGGGTTAGTATCAATCCTCTCAGATTTCTCCACAGCAGGGATACGCACTAAGATGTTGTCAGGTTTGAGATCGGCATGGATGATACTGCATTTCCGCATGTGAGCAAGGCCGATGAAAATTTGGTGAGCATATGCCCTCGTCGCACCCAAGTTGATGCCGACGTTATTCCCGAATTTCTTCAGTACTTCTCGCAGGTTCAGACTGAGGTGTTCAAACGCCATACACAGATGGCCCTTGTGGTCGAAGTGTCGCTCAAACTTGACAATGTGCTTGCGGCACTCAGGGTCCGAGTCGTTGAGCTTCTGCAGAATGGCTATCTCGGTGAACCCACCCTTCCTCAGGGCGTCGTTGTTTCTCATGATTTTAATGGCGACCAGCTTCTTATTCGTAATATCGACGGCCCGCGCGACACCGGAGAACATGCCCTTACCCAGGGTGGACTGGACCTGGTACCGGCCGTTCAAGATCTCACCGATGCGAATCTTGTAGTAGCCATCCTTGTCGTCGCCCTCGAGGATGGCGCCGTTGGGCGGAGCGAGAGCGGGCGAAGCTTTGGTCTCATCCACGACGGCCACGTTGGCAGGATTGGGAGCAGCATACTTCTCGTCGTCGAAGTCTTCGGCAAACATGTCAAAATCGTCGTCGTCATCGTCGCCCGTGGGCTTCTTCGATGGTGCTTCCTGGGGCTGTTCTTGGGGCTGCGCCTCGGTCTGCGCCTCGGGAGCTTCGCCGTGCACACCAACATGACCGTGTCTCATCTCGTCGCGCCTCTCGTCTTCCTTCATGTCAACGGTGGGGTCGTAATCCGCTGCTGAGGGGCCGTCTTCTTCAGTGACTTCTCCGCCTCCGTGGGTGTTCATGAGGTCGCTCTCGTTCACGATCTCAATAGCACCAGGCGAGCTCCCTTCTTGAGCGGGTGATCCGAAATCTGAAGACTTAGCGGGGCCGGGAGAGGAGAAGGAGTTGGGTTTCTTACCTGTTCCTGGTGTGCCTGGTGTGACTTCTCGTGAGGGGGAGGCAACAGCCGGCTTGTCAGACGCGTGCAGCGCATGAACGAGCAGCGGAGTCGCTGAGTTGGACTTTGAAAGCAACTCATCACGGCGCCGGCGCCGACGCTCAATCTCGGCCTCCTCGTCAATGACCATTGGCTCATCAGGCTCGTCATAGTCATGTTCAGGCTCAACCACCTGTGGCGCGCTGCCTTCTGGCGTTAGCAGGAACCGAGTCCTCTTTGAGTGTGGAGAGACGGACGCCCGGTCTCGAGAGGGAGACGCAGCAGATTTCCTGTCGTCTGCAGAGTGTTTCACAGGTTTAGCATTGTCTCTGGCAGCACGAGAATCCTTTCCTACAGCGGCCCCGTTCGATGGCGTGTTCCCATTCCGCGAGTCTCGGTCTCGGTGGTCGTCGTACTTCAAGCCACGAAACGAGTCGGCAAGGCGATCGCGCCCGCCATCTCTGCCGTAGTGATCATCCCGGCCTCCTCGGTCGTGGTGCGGGGGACGGTACGGTGATTTGGTGCGATTGCGCGGCCTCTTATCCGGGTAACGGTCTCGATCGCGATCGCGCTCCCTGTCTCTCTCCCGATATGTATCTCTATCGCGGCTTCGGTTCCTGTCACGGCCGTCGTAACTGTGGTTCGAGCCACGGGAGGAGGGGCGATCCAGGTCTTCGTAAGAAACGCGAGAGCGGCGGTAGTCGTCTCGTGGGCCGTCCTCGTAGTGCACACGGAAGCGTCGCGTGTCCTGTCGTCCTCGGCCAATGTAGTCGCGCTCGTCGCGGGGGCGCTTAAAGCCGCGTGGCGGGGGAGAGCGGCTCCGTCTCGGAGGGTTGTAGTGCCTGGCGGCATTGTCGTGCTCAGGAGATTTGGAGGCCGGGTATCTATTTCGGGTTCTGTCTTGACGGTCAACACCGTTTCCTTCAAACTTCTTCGGCAGTGAAGATGCCTTCAATTCCACGGCGTCATTCTCCATGATCTCGCCTTCGTCTGAACTCGACGCCATCGGTGCGATGCGACAGCAAGCGTGGTTCCACGGCCTGCTCAAACGTCGGTGTCTTTTTGTGTGTTGATTGCAGCAGTATCCGCCAGGGGGGGAAAGTCCCCTAGGTCTTTTTGCTCGCGAAAAGCAGCAGCGACGTGTCAGCAGAGATCAACAAAAGACTGATGCGCGGCAGGAATTGTTTGCGAACCGGATGACTGTGTCGACTCAGCTCATGGGGGAAGAGGAAAGCAAGGCGACACGAGAAAACCAGAGGGCACTGCAAAGAGGGGGGCGAGAAGAGGTGATGGCTATGCAACGTCAAGGAAGAATGCTGTTATCTGTCGACAGCGAGATATGTGTGAGTGTGTGAGTGTGTAAGAGAGAGTGTGTGTGGTGTTTCAGCGATCAAGGGTCCAACGGTTTTCTGGCCTTAGGCGCTGGTGTTGCTGGCTGGGATAATGGATATTGCGACGAACGAATTTTGGTAACAGGAAACAGACGCCTGACCGGAGGAATCAAGGCGCCAAGGAAACCGAGCCGACGTCAGTTGTCACAGCTGGGTTGTTCCGTCGCTGCGATGGACCCACTTAACGGGGCTATTTTCTCTATCTGCATACATAGCTTATAGATGGCTATCCTGACTAGCTGTATGCTCTAATGCGTTTCGAGACAAAGTAACCAATGTAAGCGGGGCCCTCTTATTTCCGCAGACCGATTCTCCACGAGGGGCGATTTTCACCCCACGTCTGACCGTCCCTTTGCGCCGCGCTTCCTGCTTCCTCCTCTCCTCTCTGATTCTACGACTCGACAACCTCCGCGACTCCAGCCTTGCTATTTCCTCAACGCTCCCGCACCCAAAGTTGACCTCCACGTTCCAGATAGTCCTCGACAGACTCAGCAAAAATGGGCGGTGCATCTCGTGAAGGTAAGTTTGCTGCTCTTCCGTGGCCGCCAGCCGCTCGGCGCTTTGCTGACAGGTTCTTTCTCCAGGTGGCAAGGCCAAGCCTCTCAAGGCCGCGAAGAAGCAGGCGAAGGATCTTGATGAGGACGATCTCGCCTTCCTCGAGAAGAAGCGCGCCGGTAGGTCATACTGACTACTCCAGATCGTTCTTCTTTCTCTCCGGCCTGCGCCTCAATACTAACCCAATGACCCTTTAGAGGAGAAGGCTCGCAAGGAGTTGGCCGCCAAGGCCGGCGGCAAGGGACCTTTGAACACGGGCAACCAGGGCATCAAGAAGTCTGGCAAGAAATAAAGCAACTCGTCTCCAAGGAGAGTTCGCCAAAGGAGACGTCGCGGAGGGAATACAGAGTCGACAGCCTGCGCGCATCGACATGGGCTGGCCTTTCCGGAAGCCAGAGGCAGAACGCCTCTTTTTTTTTTTTTTTTCAACATACCTACACGAGCATGCAATGAAATGATATCAAGGGTTCTTGGGCACAGCCGGACAACCGACACACTGCCGTGCATCATCTGCATGGATGATGCCGGCGACATTCTGACCTTGTGTTTTGCAAATGACCTTCCGGTTCTGAAAGTTGCGACTCAGAACGACATTGACTCGAAATTCTTCAGGGTCGTAGTGATTTACGACCAAAAAAGAGAGAGCGCAAAGAAAAAACCGGAACGGGGGGGGGGGGTCTCTAAACAGTGGGAGTGTTGCCCCTCGTAGCAAAGATTTGCATATCGTCCCAGGCGCATGTCACAGCAATCCCACCGAACCCACCGCTCCCGTCTCCATCCACTGCCCGTCTCACAGTCGACAGGCTCGTGTCCGACTGTACCTTTGTACCCTTTGTACCTAGGTCTGTCTTCAACGCACTCTTCGTCGTGCCGCGGGCACAACAATTCGACCGACGGGCCGGGCAGGATGGTGCCGGCGGTGCCCGTTCCCTCCAATCACTTGGTGCCAGCTGAGCACCCCGTAACGGGGGCGGCCCCCATCAATTCCAACGAGCCTCGGACCTGACGCCGAACGAAGGGGGGAAATCCACATTTCCCTTAAGCATGTGCACATGATATGTATGGGACATATGGAGGAGGACTACTCCCAACAATTCCCATCCCACCAAGTCTGCTTTAAACCGCGTGTTGTCTGCCCCTGCAGCAGTGGTCTGACCCGCCGCGGCTGCCACTGCGAGCCGGCGCTAGCTTTCACTGCGAAGAATCGGTTGTGTTGTGCCCCATTGTCAAACGTCGACTCATCCAAGGTATCTCAGCCGCTCCGTTTAAAAGAGCAATCGTAGAACCTACCCTCATAAACTTGTGATTTCCCGCAAAAGTATCTCGTTTTCACTCACACAGTTTCAGAGGAAGCCCCCATCGTGCTGCTTCGCCACAGGAAAAGGGAGGAATTGACAAAAGAAAGAAAGAAATGACAGTCTCTAATACCTCCGCCGACGGCGCACCCGGCGTCGTCAGGAACCGGAACCGCCGCCCGTCCGCCGCTGCCGCCGCCGCCGAAGGCCTCCTGTCCTCGGTGGAATCGACGGTCGCCGGCCTCGAGAAGAAGGTCGAGGAGGCCCTCCTCGTCCTGTGGGACGACCTCCCCGCCTGGCGCCGCGACAACGCCTTCATCCTGACGGGCTACCGGCCGGACTCCAACTCGTACCTCGGCTCCCTCCGGTCCCTGGGCTACCTGCACAACGAGTCCGTCAACATCTGGTCCCACCTCCTCGGCGCCGTCGCCTTCCTCGTCGCCGGCGCCGTCCTGCACGGCGTCGTCGCCCCGCGCTACGGCACCGCCGCGCCCGCCGACGTGCTCGTCTTCGCCTGCTTCTTCGCCGGCGCCGTCGCCTGCCTCGGCATGAGCGCCACCTACCACGCCATCTCCAACCACTCCCCCGAGGTCGCCAAGTGGGGCAACAAGCTCGACTACTCGGGCATCGTCTTCCTCATCGTCGGGAGCTACGTGCCCGCCTTGTACTACGGCTTCTACTGCCACCCCGGGCTGATGAAGTTTTACCTGTCGACGGTGAGTCTCACACTCGCTCATGCCCTCTCTGGCGCATTCCCCCCTGCCCCCCCCCCTCTCTCTCTCTCTCTCTCTCCACATACACACACATACACAACTCGAGAAGAGAAGGGGAAAAAACATGCTAACGCCTCGTTCCAAAGATCAACCTCCTCGGCCTCGGCTGCGGCGCCGTGTCCTGGATCGAGTTCTTCCGCGCGCCCGAGTGGCGCACGTTCCGGGCCTGCATGTTCGTCGCCCTCGGCACCTCGGGCGTCGTCCCCGTCCTCCACGGCGCCGTCATCTACGGCCGCGCCGAGATGGAGGCCCGCATGAGCCTCAGCTGGGTCGTCCTGCACGGCGCCATGTACATCTTTGGCGCCTTCCTCTACGCCTTCCGCTGGCCCGAGCGCTCGTCCCCCGGCACCTTTGACATCTGGGGCAGCTCCCACCAGCTCTTCCACTTCTTCGTCGTCGCCGCCGCCGCCACCCACCTGTATGGCATGGCCAAGGCCTTTGACTACAACCACAGCGTCAGGGGCTCGCTGTGCCCATGATGGGAACTTTGCCGAGAACGCTTTCCACTATCGAAAGGGTTTTTTTTTAATGAGTCCGTGGTTAGAGAAAGACACACGCACACACACACACACACACACATATATATATATATAGATGGATGGTATGCCGTGTTTAAATAGAGGGTATCATTCACGCGTGCGCCCATCTCTGCTCGCCGTCGCCGGCCGTGTCTAGCATTCCAACCCGAGGTCCATCACCCTCACCAGCCCCGACGCCATCGCCACCGCGGCCCAGCACGAATACTTCTGGTTCGGGTTCCACGCCATGGTCGTGATCCGCGTCAGTGGCTCCGTGATCACCGCGCGCTTGGGGTCCGCAAAGTGCCCGTCCCCTTCCTCCGCGCCGCCCTGCACGTCCGCGTCGTCTTCCTCGGCCGCTTCCGCGTCCGCCTTGCCCTTGCCCTTTCCCTTGCCCTTGCCCTTCGCTTTCGGCTTCTTGGCCTTCTTCTTGTCCTTGTTCTTGTTGAGGGCCACCTTAGTCTTCCACGTGTCCACCTTGGGGTTGACGTTGGGCACCGGCCGGAAGCCCTGGAGAATCCGCGATGCGCCGCGGCAGCTTCCGCCTTCGCCGCCGCCGTCCCGCTCCAGCACCGAGCTGCTGAGCCGCTCGCGGGGGATATACTGGTGGTCGATGATCTTCATCTTGTGGCCGAAGTGGTGCTTCGACGCAAAGATCCTGTTGGACGGGTTCGCCGCCCAGACGGTGCCGTCCAGGTACCCGACGAGGACGAAGGGATGGTGCGTGCCCGCGGCGAGGCAGGTGGGCAGCCGGTCGCCGTCCATGACCTTGCGGACCTGCGCCGCGTACCACCGCGAGTGGACGAAGCCGACCGACGCGTTGAGCGGGTTCGCCGATGGCACGACGGTGAAGAAGCCCCGCAGGTGGTCGTGCCACTGGAGCAGGTTCGGCTGCGGGGTGATTGCGAAGCAGGGGAAGCTCGTCCGTTCGCACGAGGGGTCGGAGAAATCGACCAGCGTGGTGTAGCCAGCGATGGGCGTCGACGCAACGAGGTAGGGGTCTGAGGGGTAGGCCGTGTCAATGTGCATGACGCGCGTTGAGTGCACGTCGTGGCGGGCGAGGAGAATGCGCGGCGAGATTGACCACAGCGTGAGGCAGCCGTCCGAGTGGCCGAGAACGATGCGGTTGGTGTTGACCCAGGCGAAGCATGTGGCGGTCACGTTGGTCTCGGAGGGAATTCCTAGGGAGACGATGGGGTTTTCGAGTTTGGCTTGCCCGGCTATCAGTACGTGGTGGCCGAGGAGGGAGGTAGTTGGGTAAGGGGTCTCTTACTGAAAGCATCCTGCTCGCCGTCGCCAATGTCCTTGACCACGACAATATGGACCTGGCCATCACTACAAAGCACCGCGAGGAGGCCCATGGCGCCGTTCTCTCTGTATGACACCGGACACCACTTGAGCCTCGTGACTCTGCCCCAGTCGCAGCAGATAGTTCGAGCAAGACGGGCTGGGCTCGCAAGAGGTCTCGTGATGTCATTTTCATCCTTCTGGCCACAGAGCGCCCACAGTTGGATGATTCCCTTGCTCTGATCGTAAGCACCCTCAGAATCCAATATGTGGTCTGTGTGCGGGATGACAGCAAGCGCAAGGACCTGCGCCTCCTGTTCCGTCCTGCTGGCCCATTCCATGCCGATGACGATGCCGCCCACATCAAACATCCACCCTGCCGGCTTTTCGTCCGTGGGAGTCGTAAATGGCAGTCCCGATTCGGACAGCACAACACCATCGTACGGTGTGATTTTGACCTCTTGCTGGCCAAGGTACGGCCCAATCACGGACACCAAATGACCGCCAGGCTGAAGCCGATACCCCTCAGCTTCCTCGGCGCTCATCTGCCTCTCGCCCTCACTTGCCCCCTTGACGCCCTTCAGTCTCTCGAACCACGCTTTCGCAGATCGGTACTGATCCTCGACGAACTCTGGGTCGAGCCAGGGGCTCGGGACCGGAGGCGCGGGCCCGTCAGGTAACTTGCTTGGCAGAACGGCGTACCCTGCCCAGCGGTTCAGCAACCAGGTGGCAACGCCGACAGCCTCCTCCTGAGGCCCGTAGAAGAAGTCGAGGACCTGTATCCTCTGGCCTCGCTTCAGCGCGCCAGTATAGTGCCTCGTAGGCCGTCCATCGGCATGATAGGTCCCGAGGGCGGCCATGTCTACTGGTAGTTTTTTCAGGCCGGCGGAGCTGGTGTAGGCGGGCAACTCATCCTCGTCGTCATCATCGGCGTTCCGCGGGCCGTCCAGTGCGAGGTCGGAAGGGTCGTGGGCCTCAAAATCGTCGTCGCCGCCGTCGGCGTCGATAGGGTCATCTTCATCGTCTTCTGGGTCCGGGGGCGGCGCCTCGAAATTTTCATCGTCAAGGTCGTCGTGGACATCGAGCGGCTCGCCATCTGAGCCATAGTCTATGACGGCGACGCGTCTTGTTTTATTGCGAGGTCGTGTCCGCACCATCGCGACGCGGCTACTGGGCGTGGGCCGTGTATGTAACTAAGGCGAGGTGAGTGAGTGAGTGAGTGAGTGAGAGCGAGTTGAAAATTGGACGTTGAAACTCGGATTCTTGCTCGATGACACACTGTGTGCACGGTGCGGGGTCATGCGTTACAGCGGCAACAGCTCTACGCCGAGCCGCTGTGGTTCCTGGGAGACAGCGGGACGTTCAGCGGGCGTACAGTGTTGATATCAAAGCGCGCACATTGATGTTCCTCTGTCGACCTGTCTTGTATCAAGCTATTCGCCGACAAACCTTGGCCTACATGAGCCAGGAGAAACAGTGATCAGATACCGGATCTTCCTAACTCTGACAAACTGAAACATGCACTTGGTTCTGGACCTCTTCTTGGAAATTGACATGCCCTCTGATCTGACCGACAGCTCACCCTGAAGCTCCAAGCCTTTTCCACCAAGTCTTCTCTTTCACATCAAAACTGACCAAGATTCCTAACAGACGAATTGGGAGATTAACGGGCGGCAAGGTGCCCTTCTTCACCATTAAAAAAATCAATTATTCAATCTTATTGAGCTGGTGCAAGGTCTATGGACAGACAAGACCCGTCCCGAAGTTGTGGCTGCAGCGTGTCGACGGGCTCGACATAATACCCGAGTGGTAGAGTATGTCTTTCCAGCAGATTCATCGCTCCAACAACCGAGGGTGATTCTTGCTTTACGTACGAGTGAGGGAAAAACGCAGATGGCTAGGCAACCTGGGAACCTCCCCCCCCCTTGACGGCAAACAGTACCGGTGGAGAACCCTACATCGGAGGTCTTTCACTATACGTAGCATCTCAATGTGCTCTTGCACGTCTGGTCCAAGGTGATTCAGACGAGGCTGGAAATTCGAGGTCATTCGACGTCATTGGAGCTTGAAATAGACTTTGATATGAGGGTTGGTGTTATGGACGACAACCAGCATGAACCTCATCGTGGGAAAACACCCTTACGAGTTCCACTCGGGGCATGGCCAGCAGGGCAGCCCTGACGAAGTCGTCCTTCATATCCAACGTCGCCGCCGCAGCCGTAGCCGCAGAAGCCCGTGTTCGCGCCTCTGACGCTTCAGTCTCCAGCTGTCCTCTCGTTCCCCCTTCAACCCGCCCTCCGGCCTCTCCTCCGATCTCCGCCGCCAGCTCCTCCGCCTTGGCCATGACCCACCCTCTCGCGACCTCGCTCATCCACGTTCCGGGCAACCGCCGCATCCAGCCTTCATCCCTTGGGCCCGTTCCGACACCGAACCCTCTCTCCCTCGCCCAGGCCTCCAGGTCGAACGCGCAGAACACGGGGTTCCGCCAGTGCTCCCGCAAGACGCCCTTGACCCACGCGATCTCGCCCGCGTTCTCGAGGTCCATGGTGACGACGGTGCCGGCGTCGCCGAAGAGGCGCCTCACAACGCCCGTGTCCCAAACGCAGGGACTGACCGAGACGGCGTCAAACATAAGACTGAGCCGCCTGAGATGAGCCGTCTGCCGGAACAGGCGGGCGAACCACTCGGCCTCGGCGCGCGGGGCGAGGATATGCTGCGCGTCGCGGACGAGGTCCCTGCTGCCGCGCGGCTCGTCGCCCGCGACGTCGAACCGCCTGTCCAGCTCGAGCACGTCGTGGCAGCTGTCGAACCAGTACTGGGTCGTCCGTATGGGGCTCTCGGGGTTGGCGGTATCGTGCTTAAGGTAGACGATCCCCCCGTTTCGCGTTGCTACCGCTCGCGCCTCGCGGCAGGCCCCGGCGATGGCGGGGGGGCTCACGAGCAGCGTTGCGTGCTTCTTGCTGGCCCGTCTCGATAGCCGCAGGACCCGGGTGGGGATGGCGAGTGACCAGATGCGGTGTCTTAGCTCGGGCGGCAGCCGTCGGAATTGCGGAAAGTAGGGCGCCGGTCCTTGTCGGCCGATGAGCCTCTCTATCGCGTCGAGTCTCTTTTCCAATACCCTTTGCGATTGCGCAATCTTTTCCAGGAGGCTGATCGCCTGCAACTGCAACTCGGTCGCCATTCTCTCGTCGGTTGGAACTGTGTAGTTTACGGTTAATCTAGTCGCAAGACTCTAAGCAGTCTTTTTGTGACAGGACACCCAGATACCCTCGGGCTGTTGAGCTCACACCCGTCAAGTAGATATAAGGTCATGATATGATTGGGGACAGAACGAGCCCCAGACGGGGAGCCGCGGGGAGCTGTCGACCTTTTGGAGCGTTCCCGATTCCGCCCTCGTCGTGCGTGCTTGACTTCCTGTATTGACTAGCGCATCGTCTGTTTGCAAATGGTTTGTCATTCTGCCGCACCATGCAGGCCTCGCAACTAAGCATCTTGGTAAGCGGATCGACCGTCTGATTGCGCATGCACAATCCGTGCGAAGCTTCGTTCATTGGCAAGTTTATTGGGGGTATCTTGCGAGTGAGGCGATGGCTTGGCTCTAATTGGATGGGTGCCGTCCTTCCGACCCCACGGATACGTAAACAACACATTCCATTCATCATTATTTCTTTCCCTCTTTTAGATTTTCCTTTCTACAGCTTGAAGTCGGCATTGTTCTTTTCCCAGCCCCGCGGTGTCTCGTCCAGGTCGGCAACCTTGTCAATGAGTCTCAGCTTGAGATTGCGGTTCCGCTCGGTGCAGAGCTCGTACGTCGTGCTGAGGTTGAAGAGAAGGGTGTGTGACGAGTAGCCAGTGCTCACCATGTCCTCGAATATGGACCGGGCCTGTTAGGTCAGCAAACCATCATGTTGAATTCAAAAAGACGACTCTCACCTCCGTGAGCTTGCCAGTGTAAAGGAGGCACACTGCGAGGTTGACCCCGACCATCTCATCATCCAACTCCCCCTTCAGTACCTTCCAGGATTGCAGTGCTGTGTCGTATTCGCCGTCGGCCATATGGCAAAGTGCGGTTACGACGCCCTCAGCATGCTTTCCGTCCTCTCCTAAATCCTGAACACAGCTACGTGCGGCCTCCGTATCACCGAGGTGCAGCCAGAGAAGCGCTCGGGACAGCGCCATCTTGCCGTCGCCGTGGTCCTTAAGCGTCTTCAAGTGATGCGCAGCGCCGGCCAGATCGTCCATCTCGATTAGGGCGCCAGCAACGTTGATGCCCAGGTCTGTCAGCCGTGCCTTCCAAAGCTCCCGTGCCGAGTTGTCGTGCCGGGTCTTCGCCTTGATGATCTGCTCTCGCGCTTCCCTCGCCAGATCGTGATAGCTCATTACAGACCTCCGCGGGTCGTTGAACCCGAGTGCCTGCAGCCGCACGTTGAGGACCCGCAGCTCCCAAGGCACGAGGTGTTCGCCGGTGGTCTCGTCAATGTAGATGCTGGCGTTGAGGTCTTCGAGTGCCCTGACCTCCTGCGCCGCTATCGACGTTGCGTCGATGAGCGTCAGGCACGCCAGCCGCGTGTATAGCAGGCTGAATATTCTATGATGGTCTGAGGGGTCAACACTACCTCGCACCGCCCCGCCCGTGGCCGTGAGTTCTTGCACAGCAGCGATGGCAGCCGCTCGGAAATGACCTTTAGCCACAAGGTCTTCCAATGACGCGTCGGCTGGAGGTTGCTTGGATGAGTTTCTGAAGGCGAGCGGTATGTTGGCCGGGTTGACATTGTGGTAAATCTCTGGACGTAGGAGAAAGCCAAAGTTCTTGGTGACGGCCGTCTGCACAGGCGGTGTCGGGGAATGCGGCATGGCCGGAGAGCGTTGGCCAGATATCGGGCGCTGCTGCGCCGATTCTTCCTTAGCGGCAGCCTTGGGCGACAACGGGTCATTCAGAGGTGTGCTGTGAGAGCGTATCAGTCAATGAGTCGTACTTGGATGAGAGGAGGGGGGGCTTCACTCGTCCAGGTCCAGCGGGCCCTTGGTAGAAGACCTGGGACGGACAGCTAAACGTTGGTTAACTGTTAGCTTCATCTACACCCCATCTTACACAGGTGCCCTCTGGCCCGGGTCATGTTCGAATTGTAGCACCTCGGAGGACCACTACAGCAGCAGGGCATGGATACAAAACAGCGTAAGAGGGGCCGCGAAGTCAACCAAGTATGGCGAGTAGACAAAAGACCTACCTCTCGTTACTGATATGGTCCGACCATGTCCGCGATTTACTGATGGCTGGCTCATATTGTCGGCCCGAGATCCAATGGTTTTGGGAGGTGTTGATGAAGGAGCAAGGAGATGCGCATGGCCCTGAAGTGCCCAGGTGCCCATGTCACTTGGTCCGTGCCGCACTGTGAGTGAGTAGCAGGCGAGGGAGCTAGGGTGTTGTCAAGTCGGAGAAATGGCGGTTATCTGATCGTCACCAGCAATACCCCTCCCCCACTCTCCTCTTGGATAAAATCCTGCCATCTGCAAGCTCTCAAGATTCATCACATTGGACATTTATTGAAACAAGTCACGTTCGGTTCAGCAGAGGTGGCGTGACAAAAGACTTCTATTAGCCGGCGAGGATATCTAAACCGAAAGAAAGGCAGAGCTTTTGTGATCAACCCTAATATCTGAATTTTCCATCGGATATTCGTTCTCTAACCCTTGGCAGCACCGGCCTTGATCAGCAGAATGTCTCCGTCCTCCACGACGTAATCCTTGCCCTTGGTCATAACTTTGCCCTTGGCCTTAACCTCGGCTTCGCTACCAAGCTCCTTCAGGGTCGTGAAGTTGTAGACGAGAGCCTGGATAAAGGTCTTTTCGAAATCAGTATGAATAACACCAGCAGCCTGGGGCGCCTTGGTGCCGTTGCGGATGGTCCATTGGCGGACCTCGTCCGTGCCGGTGGTGAAGAAGCTGCCAAGGTTGAGGACCTTGCGCATCTGAAGAACGATCTTGGGCAGAGCCGACTCAGCGCCGACCTTCTTCTGCTCCTCCTTGGACTCCTCCTCAGTCTCGAAGCGGGTCAGACGCTCCTCGAAGGAGACAGAGATGGGAATGATGGGGTCACCCTGAGCGTGCTCCTTGACCCACTCAGCGACCTTGGGAAGGTACTTGTTCTTCTTGCGAATGAAGTCCTTTTCCGACAGGTTCACCAGGTAGACAACGGGCTTGGCAGTCAGGAGGAACAAGGGGTTGATGACTTCGACCTGGGATATTGTCAGCTCGAGATCCTGCGCATCAATATACAGAATCAAGTGAGAAATATCATGTCGTATCAGAATGGGTTTCTTATCTCAGTAGACCTTTGGCCTTCGAAGAGCTGGGTTAAGATTATCGGACCATAGGTCCTTTGTCATCATTCGACAGGGGGAGCGCATGTGTGCTTGGTAGGAGGGCATGAAGAAAACAAAACTGAGATGAGTGCTGTCTTACCTCCTTGGGACCCCAGGTACCCTTTCGGACTTCGTTGCCGTCCTTGAGGAACTGGAGAATCTTCTCCATGGTGGCTTGCTCCTCCATGGCCTTCTTGTGCTCAAGACCCTTGCCGCCAGAGCGGGTCTTCTTCTTCTGATTCTCAAGGGCCTTCTCGGTGAACTCAATGTCCTTCAACCGCAGCTCATCGCTGATGATCTCGAGATCACGAGTGGGGTTGACGTCACCCTCGACGTGGATGATCTCGGCATCGTCGAAGCAACGAACGACCTGGAAGATGGCATCGACGGCGCGGATGTGCGACAAGAAGGCGTTACCGAGACCGGCACCGGTGGAGGCACCTCGCGTCAGGCCAGCGATATCGTAGACCGTCAGGTTGGCGGGGACGCGCGACTTGGGGTTGTACTTTTCGCAAAGCCAATCATAGCGTTCGTCGGGGACGATGACGCGCGCCTCCTCGGGGTCGATGGTGGCATAGGGGAAGTTTGCGGGGTTTCCCAGGTTGCACTTGGTAATGGCCTGGAAGAGGGTGGACTTTCCAACATTTGCAAGGCCAACCTGAAGAGGGGGTCAGCCTGATCCCGCACAGGTTCTAAGGCGTAACACCCACAATTCCACTCTTCAGGTTGTTACCGGGCCTGCCCAGGAGAATCTTCTCTTCGACGACTTGCTTCTTGGGAGGCATGGTGCGTCTTGATTTTGCGTACTGACGGGTGGTTTTGTGGAGTACGGTGCACTTGAGCACTGGAGCTTGGCGAAAGGCAGAGCTAGCTGCGCGGGGGAGCAAAGAGGGGGATGGAGAAACGAAGAGAGGGAAGAGGATGAAGGACGTCGTTTTGGCGACTGTGGCCGTGCGACCAGCCCTCAATCACGCGGATTGCCCGAGCTTGGGAGAGTAGAGCGGTAAAGAAGAGAGAGAGAGGAAGAAAGAGGAGGAAGAAATCACGAGGATTGTTGAACGAGATGAAAAAGCTTTTGCGCCTGACGGTTGTGTGGCCTTGGTAGATGAAATTTAACGGCCCCACCAAAAAGCAACGGGGCGCGGGGGGGGAGGACCTGAGGTGTTCGGCGAAACGGAGGAATAAAACACCGGGTGGGGTTGCGTAAATGGACAGTGGAAGCTTACCTAAAGTAGGTACCTGCCTAGGCACCCGGCTGCCTGGGCATCTAGGTACCTGTAGGTAGGTAAACAGTTTATACCTTAGGTACCTATCAGGTACGTACCTTCTTACGTAGCTGGGAGCGTGAAGGGTAGGTACACTACTCCGTAGAAACGAACGAAGCTCAGCTGCACCGGAAGCAAGCTCGAGGAAAGCGCGGGGCTGGGACACTCACTGCATGTCGTGCCGCGACTCGCTGCACAGCACCCTCTGACCACATTCCTCGGCTTTTCATTGGATCGCATCGTGCGAAACCCGCTTGCGGTGAAGAGTACCTGGATGATCCCCTTGTCAGCGCCCAATTTGTGCTGCCTGTGCCGTCTTTCCAAAGTATATTTCTGCTCGGCCAGTAACAGCAACCCTTGCATCACTTGTAGTGTAGTGTAGCCAACATCCGCCGAGCTAATAATGTTCGGCCAATGTCCAGTAGCCGCGAGGCGAAGCGACGGGTGCGTGTTGAGGAGGAGGAGGAGGAGGAGGAGGAGAAGGAAGACGCTGTTCTTTGCCGGCTGCATAATGTTTGCCGCAGCCAGCTGGTTATTCAGAGACGGTTTGATTACCGAAACATCCATTCACCTTTGTGCTATCCGTATAGATTTACACACTCGCTCCCCTAAAAACCATTCTTATCACATCGGGGTACCTCTACCTGAACAGCTCCGTTTCTTACTTCGTCTCATCTTACCCCCGAAAGCCCCCCTCCTCCCAATCAAGAAACGACTCGTGCTGCCTTGCGACGTTCTACGCTGAGGAGAAGGAAATAAAGCGAGGACGAAGAAGAGGGGGGAAATCCGCTTCCACTGCTGGTCGAACATGGCTCCCCGACCGAGCAATCCTAGGCAATCCGTTGCGTCGCACAGATCGACATTATCGCTGTCAAAGACCGAAGTCACCATCCACATCTACGACCTGCTTCCTGTAAGTTGCTGGACCCACCTCGATACTCGGTGGTACCGTCACCGCGCGTGCTAATTGATTCGCCAGCCCGGACGGTTATCATCCGTTCTCTGGACGGTGGGAGCCTCGCTTCTTCATTCTGGCGTCGTGATCAATGGCAGAGAGTACGCATACGGCGGACACGAGCGCCGCGGAGTGACCGGAGTCTACTGGACGAAGCCCAAGACTGAGCCGCCTGGCGGCACCTTCAAGTCCGAGATCCTCCACGGCTTCATGTTTGCGACCCAGGCCGAGATCGATGCGATACTGGAAGAAGCCTCGAGGGAATTCCTCGGCACTTCCTACAACCTTTTGACCAAGAACTGCAACCACTTCACCTCGTACCTGTGCAAGAAGCTCACCGGACGCCCCGGACCCGGCTGGCTGAACCGTGCGGCAAGCATCGGCGTCGCTTTGCCATGCGTCGTCCCCCGGGACTGGATCGACCCGCCCGAGTACGAGACCGCCGACGGAGCTCTCTTGGAGGAGGACGACGACCATGCACACGAAGGCTCTAGGATGCTGAAGCAGTCGCCGCCCAGATTCCTTGCCGAGAACGTAAAGGCCGCCAATGCCGACTGGGACAGCGAGGAGGAACGCCGCCGCGGTGGCAACGGCAAGGGCAAGAAGGCCGTGAGAGATACGGCAGGGCGTGATTTGCCTACCGCGGAGAGGGCCCCTGCTCCCAAGTAGGGCCGTAGTCGCCAACGATGATACGATCCATGCGGCACATTCGGGGTTACGGGACTGGCGTTTTACTTGGGGGGGGTTGGACGGCATATAGCACTTGATACCAGAGGGGGGTTGGACATTCACATCCCAACACACAAACACCTGAATGCAAGGAAAACTGCTCTTGCGATGTATGTATAGTACAGTTTCACAGATATTGTACATGTGTTTGGTTGCGTCCTCGACAGTTTCCAACCGCCACGTACCGCCATCCCGCTAGATACGCCTCGGGTTCTTGCTCTTCGTTCCACCAAACTTCAGCCTCGTCGAGTCAGCCACCCGGACAACCTTGCTTCTCCAAACCTTGCCTTCGGGGGCCATAAGCACCCTGACTGCCGCATCGCGTCCGGGACCGAATCCTCTCAGTACGATCTCAAGCTTGTTGATTTTCTTGTGCCATCCCCCGTAAACCAACTTCTCCAGGACATATGCCGTCAACTGGTATGCCGGATCGTAACCCCTTCTCTTGCCCTTCTTGAAGCCAATGTTGCCGGTCGAAAGGGAGACGATAGCGCCGCGGTCTGGTTTTGTAACCGTAACATGTGTGTTATGCTTGTGGGAGTAGATATGCATGTGGTATGGCTCTAACAAGTCTTCTTGGTCGGGAACCAGGTCGTCGAGGCCTGAGCCCAAGTTGCCAGTGGTGCTGGTGGCACGGTTCAGAGTATCGATCAGCGAACTGGTGGTCTCATTGATCGTGCTCGAGGCGGAGCTTTTCGGCGTCGTGGCAGCTGGCGAGCGCGAGCCGTACATGGCGGCGAGGAGCGCCTGGCCTCCTGTCTTTGCTTCATCGGCGCGCGGTGTTGGGGTCTGTGAGAAGGGTCGGAGGAGGGCAGGAGAGCATCGCGCGATCGATGACGTGCGAGCGGCGTTCTGGAAGATGGATCTCGCCAGGAGGCGGGTCGTCGGTACGGAACTCATCGCGAGAGAGCTGTCGCAGTTGGGAGAGCCTGCACCGTGATGATGGCCCCGTGAAGTTTTCAGAAATTTGGCAAAGCTCTCGTTGAAGTCTGGAGACATTAGCGTCGTCTGATTGGTGCCGAGGGACCCCAGGGGGCGCCGGGTCGTCTTCGGGTGAACAGGGCCCAGATTTTTCCGCGCTCCGCCTGCAACCGAAATCGCAGAGCTTCCAAAGTCTGGACTCCGTCCCGTCGCGAGCCAAAATTTCTCTGCAGCTTTTACTCGCCCCCTCCCCGAATCGTCATCCGCATCTTTAATCCGCCCCTCTTCCTTTTCCTCTTTTTTTCTGTCTGTTTCGTTGCTCATCGTCGGGAGGCGGTCGGCTTGGAACCTCCACATTATGAACTCTTTAGTGCAAGCAGCGAGGAGCAATCCTCAGAATGCTCTTGTCAGAGCTTCCGCGCGAGCGGTCCAAACCCACGGCAGGGCGCCCGCATACCGCCGGTTACTATCTACAGAGCTCAGTGGCAACGCTGCGCTAGCATTCTCACGACAACCATCCGCGTTCCGAACCACCCCGCTGCGGTCGCAGTTCCTCCCCGAAGATGTCCGCTTCATCTCGAGCTCGATGCAATCGCGCTCCTTCCGCATGACGGCCCGACAGCTGCAGAAGCAGGAGACCGAAAAGCCCAAGCCCTCCGAGGAGACGAAGACCAAGGAAGCCGATTCGGAGGCCAAAGAGGAGTCCACCGAGAAGAAGGAGGGCGAGGAGAAGACCGAGGGGAAAGAGGAGGGCCAAGAGGGCGAGCAGAAGCAAAAGAAGGATGATGCGCCGCCCCCTCCGCCCCACGGCGACAAGACCCCATGGGAGGTTTTCAGAGAGACGCTGCAGACCGAGTTCAGCAAGTCCAAGGAGTGGAACGAGTCGACAAAGGCCCTTTCTGGGGAAATCCAGGATTTCGCCGAGAGCGAGAGGGTTCGCAAGGCCCGCGAGGCCTACGAGAAGTCGTCTGGTGCCATTTCTTCCGCTGCAACCACCGCCGTTAAGACCACTGCTGGAGCAATCGGCAAGGGTGCCGCCTGGACTTGGGACACTACCGCCATGAAGGGTGTCCGCAAGGTCGCCAGCGTCACGGGAGACGCCCTCGACAAGGCGACGAAGCCTATCCGTGAGACCGAGGCCTATAAGAACGTCAAAGAAGTCATCGATGATGGCAGCAGCTCCCGCTACGGCGGTTGGGTTGAGAAGGAGGAACGTAGGAAGAAGCGTGAGGCCGAGGCGCTCAAGTCTGGCAAGCCCGAGATCTTCGAGGAGGACCCCAAGTAAGTTGACAGGAGCTCATCTCTACAGCACTCAACTAACCTCAGCAAAGCGCCGGCACCAATGTTACGCTTCACAAGGACGCCGCTTGGAAGGAGGCGTGGAGGGACTTCAAGGACTCCAACAAGTTCGCCCAGGGTTTCTTCAGCGCTGGCAAGGTATACCGCGAATCCGACAATCCCCTCATCGAGACCGCACGACTGGTCACGGACAAGATTGGAGGCTGGTTCGCCGAAAACGAGACCGCGCAGGTCATCAAGAAGTTCCGCACAATGGACCCCAACTTCCAGACGGAACCTTTCCTGAAGGAGCTCCGCGAGTACATTCTGCCCGAGGTTCTTGATGCCTACGTCAAGGGCGACATCGAGACCCTGAAGCTCTGGCTGTCCGAGGCCCAGTACTCCGTATACGAGGCTCTGACGAAGCAATACCTGACGGCCGGCTTGAAGTCGGACGGCAAGATCCTCGATATCCGCCACGTCGACATTGTCCGCGCACGCATGCTCGACCCCGGTGAAATCCCCGTCTTCGTCATCACCTGCAGGACGCAGGAGGTCCACGTCTACCGCAACGCCAAGTCTGGCGAGCTCGCGGCCGGCATGGAGGACAAGGTGCAGTTGGTGACATACGCCATCGGCATCACCCGCGTGCCGGAGGACGTTAGCAACCCCGAGACGAGGGGATGGCGTCTCATTGAGATGCAGAAGAGCGGAAAGGACTACTACTAAGCCAACCAACCATTGACAACCACAGACGTGACCCTTCCCCCCCTTTGGGATTGGGCCATGTCTTTCTCTCAACTGTAAACGCGAGGCAGGCCCGAGGACGTTGGACGATGAACAAAATATTCCTCCTCTCGTAAAGAAAAGAAAAAAACAAACCCTCTCAGCCGACAAAAAAGTGTTTTATTACTTGTACAAAAAATAGATCGGGGGCATATGGGAACTGGCGAACATTGGGCGATATTGCTGCAATGACGAAGCGCGGTCGGTCGGAGGGAAAAGAAAAAATCAACACCGCTCTTGAAGGCTATATGTGTGTGTACGTGTAGAAGAGAGATGTCTCTCATTGTAGGAGAGACGATTACCATATTTGCGATGTAATACCACGGGACCCAAGCGTCCTCACCCCAAGCCAAGCTCCGAACAGTCTCCCTATCCCCCTTCCGCCATCCGTCTTGACTCCTCACCCTGCCCCGCGACATCCTGCACCTGGGCTCGTTGCCTCTTCGCACGAGCCCTGCTCTTCTCTTCCTTCCTCTCCCTCTGCATCTCATGCTCCTCCCTCAACGCCTTCCTGACCTCCATCAACACCTTGCCGAGCAGGTTCAGACCCCACAGGTGCCGGTCCGTCGACGGTGCCTCCTCGGGGCCAAACCCGATGCCCCAGACGCGGTCCAGCGGGCTCGCCTCGACCAGCTCCCGCTCGCCCGTCGCCAGCAGCTTCTCCCGCAGCTCCGGCGCGCAGCGGAACTTGAGCAGGTTCCCCTCGCGGACGACGCGCTCCCTATGGGACGTCCACAGCGCCTCGTCGAAGCCCCTCACCCGGCGGCCGAGCGCCTTCGCTTTGCGCGGGTTGTCCGCCCGGAGGACCGCCCGCGCGGCGTCGGCGTCGCCGAAGAGGAGGGCCTTGCCGTGCATCATGTAGTGCTCCGCGGTCTTGAAGGTTACGGGGGGCGAAGAGGAGGTGAAGGGGTCTCTGGCCCACCACTGGGAGAGGTAGCCTTCTTCGCCGGCCTGACCCCAGAAATAGATTGGCGATGTGTCCATGTCAGGGGTGTGTCAATATATGCGGACGTGGGTGTGGGTTTTTTGTCTTACTTTTAAATAAGTCGATTAAGCCACGGGTTGAGGATTCGTCTTGTTTTATGTTGTAGACAAGGCCGCGGTCTAAACCGGTCCAAACTGCGTTAGGCAGCATACAAGACCGCCGGATGAGTCAACCACCGCATTCGAGGCTGCCGGATGAGTCAACCAAAGATTGCCGTGATACTACACTCGTACTTGTCGCAAACATCGTTCAATCGTGAGATGAACGAAGCAGACATAAGGAAGTAGGCGAGCCAACACATCGATTTATGTATCTGACATGAGAGTAATGTCTACTCAAGAGCCCTCCATGTAGATGGTACCCAAGGCAATCTATCCGTATAACTACCCTGCAGGCATATGTTGTAGCCTCAGCGCACGGGAAACTTTGGATCCGTTCAACTAGCTGACCTCTCTTACTGACAGCCGGCCTCTAGAGATCATTAAATGCAACCTCCTTAAGTTGGATGCCTTGATACGGCATTAAAGGGTGTTGTTCTTGGATGCAGCCTACTGTAGAACTACGATGGATCCTTATAGTCTGTCAGTAAAGAATCTGCTATTGCGCCAAGTCTGAGATATAATTCTTTTGTCAAAAGGAATCGGAGAGATTTGGCCCTAAGCTTGAGTTGCCATGAGAAGCAGACCTTATTCGTGAAGCATGTAACTCTAGGAAGTCGTATCAGAGTTTCACAAATCCGCAGGATGTTTAGACCGCATACTCGCTGACATCTTCATATATCCGATATTTGTGCATCCCTTATGATCCGGCGAATCTCGGGTGTCATCAAGGTATGGTCAGAATTGTGCCGGTCTGCCTGCAAGCTAATGACATAGGCACTTCATCAAGCCCGTAATCCAATATGACCAGAATCTCCGAGTTGCACCGCTTGCAGTGGCAGTGGAGGATATTTCGCCTCCCGAGTGTCTAAAGTGTGGAGCACAGAGTAGACGCCGGATCACAAGACCGTCCAACCGAAAAGGCAACGCCGGCAGACCGTACTACATACGTTGCCGCTGCGACAATTTCTGCTGTTTTGCAGATCTTCGAGGTTGTCACCCAAGCAACCCTCATTGTGCTAATTGTGATTGCCCCAGTAGGATGCAAGTTGCTGGTCGTGTACGCAACCCACCCGGTGGACTTCACTATGTTTGTCAGCGACCGACTTGCGACTTCCACTCGCCTCGTATCAATGAGAATGAGAAATAGGGGTGTGTGGTTGACGACGGTATGATATCTCTTCTAGCCAGACTTTCCGTCATATAACATGGGTTTCGAAGGTGTGGCATCAAGGTTGCGTTGACGATTTGATGCCCGTAAAAGCTGAAGATGGCCTAGCCTTGTGTAACTCAGTAGCAACAGGAACGAGGAATTGTGCTATTTGTGTGAAGCGCTTATTAGTATATGTGAGCCCTGGCTTTTACAACAGTCAGAGCGGAGCTCAAAGCAGGCAATTAGATATCATTCTGCATACTTTGAATTGAAGGTATTTGTAAATGAAATACTTGCCGTTTTCTTCCGGCTCCAGTAAGATCTTTCTTTGATGCGATTGAGCCTTGGTCCGCCTCGCTGAATATCAGTGCCGCCGCCGAATGAGTCAACCAAATTCGAAGACCTCGACACCCAAAATCCTTACAAGGTTAGCAAAACGAAATAGCTGAAATGGCAACTGCTTCGGGATATTGGGACTCTGGCTGAACTATTGACGCTATAGCACACAAGCACACGAGTGCCTCATTCACAGAAACGTATTCTCCTGCCGCCACCGAATTGTTTTCATCCTCACGGCGCAGCCCGCTCAGCCAGAACTCGAGGGCAGGCCGGCCAGCTGCTCGTGCCTCCTAAGGGCATCATCAAAGCTCGCCAGCCCGGCCGCCCCCTCCCCCTGTGCAAAGGCCTCGTACACGGCCGCGATGCACCGGGCAGGCACGGGCAGCTCGTCCTGCCAGTCCGCCCACGCCCACGCGACCCGCTCGACCTCGTCGCTCGCGAAGTCGTGGACCTCGATCCGCACCGCGTCGCCGTCGGCGAACGCCTGTAGCGCCACGCTGTTCTGGGACGTGAGCCGGATATCGCCCCGCTCGCCGTGGATAGTCCAAAAGAGCTGCGGGTCGCCGGGGAATGGCTGGCCGCGGCGGAAGCGCGTGAGGAGCGTGGCGCCCGGGGCGACGAGATCCGAGGCTGGGAGCGTCGCGGTCACGGCGAGCAGGTCGGGGACGTCGGTCAGGACCGTCTCGACGATCTGCCGGGTCGCCGGGTCGCGGATGCGGACGTTGGGCCGCTGGATCTGGGCGTGGCTCTGCTGGATGGTTGCCTCGCCCAAAGCGTATTGGATTTGGTCAAACACTTAAAGACACCCCTGTCAGCCAGTCACACGCAAACACAAACGCACGTATGACCCGCACGAACTGAACGGGAGGATCGCTTGACTTACAGTGGCCGAACCCGATGGTGACGATGTTCCCCCCAATCTCACGCTGGGTGAAGTACTTCAACCCAGGCGGTAGCATCTCGCGGTCGAGCGTGCCGCCGGCGGCCCTGACCTCGCTGCTCAGGACCTTCCCGATCAGCCCCTCCTTCAAAAGGCTCCGGACCTTGAGCAGCGGCGGCGCGAACCGCCCCTGCACACCAACCGCCGTCCGGACCCCGCTCTGCCGCGCGGCGTCCGCCAGCTCCCGCGCGCGCCCGGCGTTCTCCGCAAGCGGCCACTCGACGTACACGTTCTGGCCGGCCCGCAAGCTCGGCAGCGCCGTGTCGTAGTGCTGATCGACGCGCGTACAGACGACGACGAGGTCGATGTCCGAGTCGGCGGCCAGGTCCGCGGGGCTGCCGTAGGCCTTGGTCGCGGCGGGGAGGCCGTACGTCCCGATGGCGCGGCGGGCGGCTTCAACGCTCGAGTTGCAGAGGGCCGTGATGGCGTACTTGGAGCGGCCGCGCGGGGATAAGAGGTAGGGGAGGTGGGCGCTGCTCGCCCAGGCCGTCTTGGCGGAGGAGGAGAGCCCGATGATGCCGACGCGGATGGGTGCCATTTTTGAGAGGGTCGGTTTTGGTGCTCTTTGGTTCTAATTACTCTTAGAAATTGAGGATTGAATGCTTTTGAACAGCGTATGGCGTCATAGCCCAGGAAGGGAACCTGGGTGAATGATATAGGCGTGTGCGTACAAGTAATGATGTGATCGTTGGATTTGTAAGCCCTCCATGGTGACTGTGTGGCTTGGCCCCTTGGGTAGATGAGGGGTTGGTTGTCTGCCGCCTTATTTGTAATCGGCTTGTGGTTCAACTACGATTTCAATCCTCCCAACGAGTAAGCCGTTCATGGCAATCCCCAGTCGCCGTGGTGAACTTTTGTCCGAGAGGTTACTTTCCGCGGGTGGGGGGTCCCGGATCATGTAAATGGAGGGTGCATCGGAGCGCAGCACAATGTCTCTTCAACGGCGTTCCATGGCCTCGGAGTCGTAGTCATCTGCTTCTCAACTCGTCATACCATCAAGTGTAAGCCAAAGAGACCAGAGTTGGTTGCAAAGATTTAATTACCAAAGGACGTTCTATGCCCCCCAAATGCCATATCCAGCATGCTACGGTCTGGCAAAACCACAGCATATGAATCAGTAATGTACAATGGCTAGTATTAACTCACAGCATCTCATCGTCTCCAAAGCTCTCTTCTGCCTCGCTGATATCATACCCCATCTCCCTTGCATGCTCTACTCTCTCGCTGGCTACGCGCGCGGCGTGCCAAGCATCCCATTTGGCCCTGTCCTCTGACGACTCCATGAGCGGCTTCAACAGTCCCCTCTTGCGGAGGCGGCGGCGGTGTTGCCGCTTTTCGTAGAAGCCGAGGGTGTTGATATCGACAGTGGTAATATCGGTGCCGGTGACAAAGTCTACAGCGTCTGCCCAAAGATCTGAGGCCTCTTCAGAGAACTGGTTGGCGACATGGCGGCCCCACCCGTTTGTTGCCCACTCGTCGAGTTTCACCGGGATGGCAACACCCCAGGTCGGGTCTGTGGAGGACCACACACACGGTGTTGAAGAGCAGGTAGCAGGTCGGCAGTAAAACTCGCACATGGCCGACTCGGCAGCGTACCATAGTGAGACGATAAGGAAAACTAGGCCGACGAAAGTCAACCGGAAAGGCTTGCGCCTGTAGAGGCTCGGCACAGGAAGGTGAAGGTACGAGACCTCTTTGACAGGAGTTGCTCCGACACAATCTGGGCAGTCGCGAGCGTGATCTGGGTGGTGACGATGATGCGACGGTTTTTCTGATTGCTGCTCCTCTGAGCCCTCCCCAACCGTCGCTCTGTCGCCTTGTTTGCCCTCGGCATGGGATACCTGGCCCTCCAGCCGCTCGATGCCCTGTTTGGCTGTGCGGATGCTGAGAAGTCCATCTTTCAACGTCTTGCTCATCCTGTCATATTGCTCCAGTTCTTGGTCTCGTTCCGTCTTTGTGAGGTTTGGCTTCGCCGCGACTTCCTCTATCTTCATCGAGATCTCGTCAAGCATAGACTCGATCTCAGGGGAAGTTGTGCTTCGAAGTGTTTGTAAGTTGAACATTTCTTCGAAGTCGTCGAGAGTCGAGTCTTCGATCTGGTGTCTACGCTGAAGCTCAAGAATATCATCTTTGACAGTGGGCGGCTTAACCGAGTTGGTCAGAGGAGGGCGTGGCCGCGAAGTTGACCTAGTGCGACGTCGCAGTGTAGAGGTTGTAGCTGCCCCCGTGGAGTGTGGCCATTGCTCTCTGTCACCGCTTGCTTCGGGACCTGCTTCGCTTGCTTTGAAAAAAGAGCCTGCCCTGGACGAAGGGCGCGAGCCTCGACGAGTCGGTGGCCTGCTGTCGCTTTCCGTCGATGTCGTCTCGGGCTTGGCCAAGGGCTTGATGTCTTCTTGGACGTGTTCAACTCGGGTCGTCGCAGGCGTCTCAACGTAGGCGCCAGTTACTCTGGGGGTGGGCAGGGACAACGGATCGACCTTGACAGGTCGGGGGGTTTCATCGGCGAAGAGGTTCTTATCCTCATCCTTGATGGAGGGTTCCACAGATGTGGCTCTCACCGATCCTCGTTCAGACTGGTTATCGACAGGCGCAAAAAGTTTCATTTCTTGTTCGATGCGGTCGGTAGGATCACCGTCCGAAGAAGCCATGCTCTTTCGACCGTCCTTAGCAGAGTCAGTTGAGCGTTGACGGCGTTCTCGTCGCCGTCCAGCAAATCCTCCGGCAGATTTCGGCCGCTCTTCTTCTGGTGGCTTCGGTTCATCCGTAGGACGAGGTGGTGGATCGTCTGCCTTCTCAACAAGAGCCGATTCGGGAGCTTTAGCTTGTTCTTTGAGGCTGGGTCGCGGTGGGCTGGCCTTCGGTACCGGTTCGGGAACCGGCCGTTCGGGCTCACTTCTGCGCTCACTTCTGCGTCGCCGTAATGGGGCCTCCTTAACGGGCTCTTCTACTGTTTCTTGAGGCTCCGGTGGAGCCATTATGTTCTTAATCTTGTCCTCGGAGTCGACCTGTTGGTTGCTCTGAAGACTGGCGTAGTCACGTCGACTAACCTTGTCTTCGAATCTCTCTAGTGGACGGTGGCTTTGAAGTTCCGCGTGGTCACGTCGACTGATGTTGTCTTCGTCACGCTTCTCCGTTTTCTCGTTGTTGCCATTATTAAACTTCTTCGCCTCACCCGCGACTTCGGGCTGACCTTGAGCCTCGGGAGCAGGGCTGCTGCTAGCAGCTCTCGCAAGTCTCTGAAGCAAGTCCCTAGAGTCTGTCCTCGTGTGTGCCACCTGAGGCCTCGCAGACTTGGGGCTTGACAGGTCTTTGCGAGTCTCTTTGGGCGACGTGACATGTGGATTGCGATCATTGGAGGCCATGTAGCTGTGGTAAACAGTGACGGGGGTGTTGGGTATATGCTCGCCATCCCCGCCCGTTGATCCGTCTTCTCTGACTGTCTCGCGGGCAGGCGCCGGGTCCCTGCTGAAGTCACCGCTACGCCGAGCCTCTGGAGACATGGACCTTGAGATGGAATTCTGCTCCCGGATTTCCTCCAGTCGGCTGGAGGCCATGGCCTTCTTTGACAAGGACTCAGCCTCTCGTGTGCGGATGTAGTCAAGCTTCGTATTCTTCGGCCGAGGGCGCTCCTCCGGATCTTCGCTAATCGGAAGGTCTTCGGGCGTCGGGTAGTATGAACGCAGCTGCGCCCTCGACTGTTTGGCCATCTCGTCTTCAACCTCGGCTTCTCGCTTGCCAATTTCTTGCAGCCTCGTGTTCCTAGTTCGTAGCTGCCGTTTTTGCTGCTCCGCAAGCTCAGCATTGGCTAGTTCTTCCCGCTGGCGAATCTCATCAATCTTATTGTTCGACCGCCCTACTCTGGGAGTGATGCCCATTGATGAGTCTCGCCTAGATGGTCCGTTCGCCTCAGGAGCATCGTATGCACTTGTGGCGGGATTTCGTCCATTCGGAACTGTGCCATACGCCGTACCGCCCATTGTTATGCGCGGACTGTCCGATACCTGCAAGTCTTCTGCCGTGAAATCTGCGTCCAGCTGCCAGGCGTAGCTCTTCTCAGGTGAAAACATTTCGGGGTTCGTAGAAGTCGGCCGCGATGTTGGTGGGGTAGGTTCCTGTGGGAGGCGAGAAGTCTCGATGGAGGGGAGTGGCTCGTCGGGCGAGCTTTGTTGGCTCATCTTGGTGCTGACGGATCGCTTGATACCCATTTCATCCTGCTGCAACAGTTCCTTGATTCTGCCTTCAGGGACGTGGCTCTTTGCGAAAGCTCCGTGACGGGGGCTGTTGCTTGAACCACCATAACTTGTTCTCCTACCCAAGTTCTGACTGCCATTCAAGCTGCTGTTGCTCGCCCTTCGACCCAGGCCCTGGGCTCCGTTGAGGCTGCTGTTGCTCGTGCGTCGCGCCAAAGCGTGACCAGTCTCGGCGATCTTGGGCCCCGTCCTGATTTTGCCAAAGAGGTTGTCTGGCTCCCGTGAGGCGCTCGGCGATTGACTCATCTGGCGTTCGTATTCCCTGATTCGACGGTCGAAGCTTCCGGAGCTCGAGAGGCTGGTTTGCGACCCAGGACTAGTTCCATACCGGGCAACATAGCTGTCGCGCAAAGAGTCGCTCGACAATCTCGAAAGAGGCCTGGCTCGGGAGTAGTCAACTGCCTCTTTGCCCAGCCTTCGTTGTGTTTTGGCATCATCCTGGGTTTGTCGGCTGATGTAGGGCCGCGGGGCAGGGCTAGGTGACGCGTCGATGGCGGGGGACACTCTTCGCGGTCTTTCAAGAGTCCGCACCCGGTTCTCGTCCGCCAACTTCCAAGCCTCGGCGACAGAGGCGCCCGTGCCTTTGGGGAATATCCCAATCATCGACTTGGGTCTTGGTATACGAGAGCCAGGAGAGATAATATCGGCTGAATGGTTGGAGTTGATTGAGGGCGTCTGCGAGGCAGAGCTCGATGGCCGGGGAATAGCAGCTCGTGAGGGTGGGCGGCCAGTCGGGTTAGCATTCAAGCTGGTGTTGTTGTTGTTGTTCGTAGGCGAATAGCCAAAACGGTTGGTTCCCGGTATCGTCTGCGCAGGACTGGGGGGTTCGAGATTCTCTCTCGACGGCTTAGAGAACAGTGGTTTTCGGCCTTGTTCGTCGATTGTCAGATGAGTAGAAGCACGGCGATTCGGACGCGCTCCAAAAGCGCGGGAAGGAGGTCGGTTGTGGTCCATGGCGATGTCGGTTTGCGACCGCGATCGCGTTCTTGAGCGAGTGTGAGGTGTGTCAAGCTGCTGCGCGGAACTGCATTATTTGGCTTGCGATTTGGCGACAGGTCGCGTCATATCATGGCTTAACGCGTTCAAATTGACGAAATAATCAGATGTTGGCAAGGAAAGGTGTCAAGCTGTCAAGGCCATCATCGTCGTCTCGAGTCGCACCGCGCACCTTGGTCAGGGGAAATGATTGCGCAAATGAGAAGGTCAATAATTATTTGGGGCTGCGCACGAGCAAGTGGTGGTGCATCGCGTCGTCCACTGTGGAGATTGACCGGGGAGGAAGGCCCACCCTGGCCAGGCCTCTTTCCCTTTTGGGTCCAACCCCCACATGGTCACCCTCCAATCATCGGACCGGAAAAGCATCGGAACGGATGACTAATCGGCAGCATCCGGTCAACCTGGTCTGAGCTCCACGCTGACAGGCTAATTTCGGACCGTGAATACCGTTTGGGAAGACGGGCTGTCCGACACACCCGGAACGAACGCCATGGAAAGACGTTGGACGGCGTGGAATGGCGTTTTCTTTGACACATTGTCCCCAGATAAGCAACTGTTGGAACCCAGTGCACCAATGACTCAGAGGTCTCAGAGATTCCCAAAGGTTTGCTGGCCTCACTCAAACTACTAGTGTACGTAGGCCTGCCTCCACAGCTCATTACCATTCATATCCCAACCCAAGATTACGGTATGTCGGCACAGCCCAGCTCCTTGGATAACCCCTGTGCAGTGATCTAACCGGAATCGGAGGACGCACGGCAAGGTCGGGAAACTGTGCCTAAGAGACGTCTACACTCCCTTTATTGCATCTCATCAACTCCTACACCAACAAGTGACCATCGCCACCTTACACGCTTTCAACCTTGATTCCGATAGCCTTCATCGCCCGCCCGCCATGAAGTCCCAAGCAGCCCCAGTACGGCCATGCGGCAATATGTACCGTCTGAGGAACCCGCTTCTTGCTATAATGAAGTCTGACGTAGTCTAGGGAGAAGTACTCCACTGCCCGTCACTCGCTCGGCTTGTATCGATGCGTCTCAGTGACGTGTCGGTATGCCGTCCCACCAGGCACCGGGCTTGAAGAACTCAAGATGGAGCTCCGCCGAGCCATTGCGCAAGTCATTATGGAGCAACCTTTTATGCGCGTTGGCATCGTCGATGAAGACAAACAGGCCCCTTATTATGTCCATGTTTCGCGAATCGACCTCACAGCGCAGATCCAGTGGTATGGGCCGTCCCACCCAGACGCAGCAGACGCCGCCCTCTGCAAACATCTTTCTTTCCAGCACGACCAGCTATGGCCACACGTTGGCCAGCGCCCGCCCTGGAAGATTGCAATCATTCCCATCGAAACAATTCAGGCTTCTCCCGTACAAATCGAGGTCGTCTACTCGTTTCACCATGCCATTGGCGATGGCACAAGCGGTTCCATCTTCCATAAGCGGCTACTTGACGCACTCAGCAATCCGGTCACCGTTGCAGGGCTTGACGCCAATCAGCTCAATCTTCCGGAACCACCGGTACTACCTAGACCACAGGACCAACTCGTCGATGGGCGAATAAGTTGGTCGTACTTTCTCTGGGAGCTGTGGGATGCCTTTGGCCCTTCATGGCTGAAGACTAAGCCAGAGATTGTTCCCTGGACAGCTCGCGCCATCGACTTTTCCATGCCTTACCAGACCAGCGTCCGAATTCTGCGGGTTCCTGCTGCGACAGCAGCGGGGCTACTGGCGGCATCTCGGGCTCATTCTATGACCCTGACACCATTGTTGCACGCACTCGTCGCCGCCTCACTCTCTCGCCATCTTCCCGCCTCTGAGGCATCCTCTTTCAACCCAAGTTCGGCCATTAGCTTGAGACGTTTTGTTCCTGCTTCCACAGGGCTCGATGTAGACAATCAATTCTCGATTCTCGTCACATCAACGGATCACTTGATATCCGAGTCGTTGACCACAAACATGCGAAAACCCTCCGATCAAACCCTCGAGCAAGCCATTTGGGACGCCGCAGCTTCTGTCAGAAAAGAGCTCCGAGATAGGCTGGTAACTTTGCCTCACGATGATATCACAGCCATGTTAAAGTATGTCAGCGACTTTCATGAATTCTTCACAGTGAAGGATGGCAGTGAGCGCGGCAACAGCTGGGAGGTCAGCAACCTAGGTGCGATCAGTGGCGGTGCCATCGAAGGAGGCTGGAAGTTGACCCGTGCTGTGTTCTCGCAGTCAGCCATGACGGCAGGACCCGGCTTCGCTGTCAACGTGGCAGGCATCGCTGGTGGAGAAGTCACCGTTACACTGACGTGGAATGAATCTTCTATAGATGCAGCTTTAATGGAGTCGCTGGCTACAGATCTGCAAGCATGGACGCAACATCTCGCAGCCGGCATACCTCTCTAACTTCATAATACTCAACTTATCACTTTCCTCGTTTTCTCGGAACAAACCCCGTTCGAACCCGAAGAACAAGGTATGACGACAGAAAAGTCAGTCACCAATTTTGAAGGAAGGATTCGTGTCGGAGCTGATCACCGTCTGGTCCGGACCAGTTGCCATACTTTTGACCATCAAATGGACTGCCCAGCTGCCTACGGGCTCCTTGCGCTGGATGCTCGCTTTGCCATCGCCAATGGAAAAGAAACCAGACCTTGCTGTAACCGCGGGTCGAGGTCTCTCTAGTTTTGAAATCGTTGCGCGCGAGACGACTTGAGATGCCGAGTGGTTTCCATTGCGCTACTAGCCCCATGTCGAATCCAAGTCTTCTCGAAGGCGCCGCCTTAGCTCCGATTGTTCTATGATACGTCATCTCGTTTCGCTTGGGCTTGATATGCGCCTGCTGAAATGAGCGTTCTTGGTAGATGAAAAACCACCACACTGATTGGGGAGTTTGAATTCGCCCTGTTCTGGGAAACCTTGATTGGACGGGCTGGGACTCCCCAGATGGATGAGATTATGCTCATCGGCGTGTCGCCGACGATCTGGGCTTCCGAGATATGCTCTCGGGCTGACCATAGCAATAGGACAAGCAGCCTGAAGTGTTGGAGTCAGCTTGTATAACGGCAGCATGACTAAGAACAACTATCCGGAAGAGATGCAGTTTCCCGCGAAACTAAGGGAAGGATCAAGGTAGTCGTCCGAGGTTTTGTCGGATAGGTAAATAATCATCGAATCTGTTTTTTTGTCGCATATTTTGATAAACCTGTACTCTCTACCTTTCTATGTGTTGGCTCGGCAAAACAATCCTGGCCACATGTCGAAACTCGTCAATAGGGGTAAGTGTGGTCCATTTTCAATCAATCATCTTACATGGATCGCGACAGCATTGTGCGTTCATTCGCGAATCTTTCCCAAGGTCCATTTGTAAGGCCACTCTTTGCCACAAACGCATTTCGATGATCATTCTGTCTCTGCGGCGTCGACTGTCGTCGTCACTATCGCTAGGCTTGGCTCGGGCCGAGGCATTGTCATATTGGTCCGATGCGCCGTGCGGCCGGCCGCTGGACGGGTCCGCCGGCGCCCTGGAACTCACGACGGACAAATCCCTGGTTCCATCGCCCAATACCCAAGACTTGCCGCATACTCTCCGAAGCCCGCTATTGAATTAATCTCAATGCGCAATCTTTGATGAAGCTTCAAGCGATTCTGGTTGGTCAAACATTGCCAGGACCCATATCGGCCTCCGCGGGCGCGGGGGACCGGGCCAATGCGTCCTCCGCGGCCGCGGCCCGATATCCTTCTTCAACCGCACGCCTCCCTGCTATCTCTGTATGAAAAGGACCAAAAGTTCACCACGGGTATGTCATATGAAATCGCCAACTAATCTTTGAATTCTCATCTGTTTGTCTCCGTCTCACGCTACTCTCAGAACCGCCCCCACCCCAATTAACAATGTTGTCCCATCAAGAGTACCCTGCATCCAAGCTATTGGAGATCGCGGCAACCGACGTCAGATCACCGCTGCAACAGTCGGACTACGCCGCGATTCTCTCCAGGCCCCCATTTCATTGTGTCCCCGGGACGTTCAACACCAGGGACATCGGCCAAGTCCCCGGCAGCGCCGTGCGGCCGGGCTTGGCGTTCCGCTCCGGCTCGCTCGAGGCCATCGGCGAACCAGGCGCAGCCGTCATCGCGAAGCAGCTCGGGGTCAGAAGGATATTCGATCTGAGATCGGGAGACGAGCGGGAGAAATACCCCGAGCCGGAGATCCCGGGCGTGGCGAACGACTGGATCCCCACCCCGTACAACAACAAGGTCGACATGAACGATTTCGCCAGCGGCGGCGGCGAGGAGGGCTACTGCAAGATGTACATGGGCATCATGGAGGTCTACGCCCCCACTTTCAAGGCAATTCTGGAGCACGTACGAGACAGGCCGGAGGAGCCGTTCCTGTTCCATTGCGCACGTAGGTCGAGTCTCCGGAGACGCTTCCCCCCCCCCCCCCCCCCCCCTCTCTCTCTCACTGCAGCGAGGGCCACGGCTAACTTGGGGGAACCGTGACAGTGGGACGCGACAGAACTGGTATCGTGGCCGAGATGCTGCTGTTTCTGGCCGGGTCGGATGAAGACACCCTGACTCTGGACTACATGATGACGCGGATTGGGTCGGAACCGCTTCGTGATGTCTTGCTCGAGAGGGCAGTTCAAGACAACGGGGCTGTTAACGGGCTTGAGGACCCAACCTTCCAAAACCTCTGCAACCTGAGGGCTTCGACGTGGGAGCTCTTTGTGAAGCAGGTCAAGAGCCAGTATGGCGGCTTCGACGGCTACGTCACCGGCAAACTAGGGTTTTCCAAAGAGGATTTAGAGGTTATCAGAAAGAATTTGAGAGGTTAAACATGAAAATAGATATCAACTAGATATGTACATGAAGCTATGAAAACAGAGGCTTTTTTTTCTTCCGCATTCCATCTCTTCGCCTCAAGGTAAGGTGGGAGATGTCAGATCAACCCTACAATTCGATGTGCAAAAGAAAGACAGTATGTCTTGGGGACAACATCCGCCAATCTCGAGTTAGAAACAGCGAGTTTACACCTAGAACCTGAAGAGGTATCAAACAGCGATGTGACTGAAAACATGTATTTAGTTTGCTTCACTGTATCTATATTATCTATATACGCATGTGGCTATAGGCGGAATCACTTGCTCAAGTGGGAAAGATATGAGTCCGATCTTCCACATTTGAATGACCCGTGGGGGCATTGACTGGTTGTTAATACAATGAGCAGATGTCGCGCCGTGATTTACATCACTGATGGAACCGTATCACGCACAAAGTCATTTGAGGTGGTCTACATAAGCGGATAATACAAGAGAGTAAGAAAAAAGAATAGAGGGGGGGGAGGAGGCAAGCGGAGAATTTCGATCGAGGCTTGCCGTCAATCTGGTCATGGGTCTGAATTTAGACACAGGAAAGGAACAAAATACTACGAACAGGTACGTTGAACAATATGCCTTTCTGTAAAGGCCACATCTAGCCCTAGACGGCAGGATCGTCCTTTGACAAGTCTAGGGAAGCTATCCAGGGCAAGGGTATCAGAGGGCTTGGGCGCGTTGGAGGCCAGCAATGTTGAAATTAGCCTTGTTGGTACAACTGTTCAATTGTTAGTAATGGCCTAGTTGGCCGACCGTCAGCTTCGCGGAGAGGCACAATTCCTACATGCACGTATTTGGGCATTGGTCTTTAAAAAGATACAAAGAAGGCCGCTTGAAGCATGGTGTCGGTGCTTCGCCTGCATCCGCTTTAAACTCGTATTAAGGATAGGGGAGGCCCAGTTGTTATCGGAGTGTCGCTTGTCCACGTGGCCAGTCAAACCAGAGCCTTCTAGAAGCCACACTGCTAAAACGCTTTTGTAATTCAGGGGTATCAAATGCACAAATATGATCTTCCTAATTTCCTTAGCCATACCATCACTTGGCTCGAACCTTCCGAATGACGACCTTGTTCCCATCAAGCTCCCAGCCGACGCCACGGTCTCTTGTCAACGCCTCCCAACTCTCCCCGGCACACCTCTCCAACCACTCCCGGTCGACGGCGAGATAGGTCCTCCCGAAGCACTTGAGCACGTGCGTCCGCATCTCGGCCTCGGCGAACTCCAGCAGCTTCGCCCGGTGGCCGTCGACGCTCCTCTTGATCCTCCGGAACGCGATGTAGTTGTCGTGCGCCAGCGCCGCCAGCAGCGCGTCGACTTTGGCATCGCGTAGCCCGTACCGGTGGCGGATCGTGTACGCCTCGGCCAGGTCCCCGCGGCGACAGGCGGCGTCGAGGACGAGGTAGGCCAGGACCTCCTGTAGCTCGACACTCGTCAAGTTCCGGGCGGGGTGGATGGCGCGGAGGACGTGCAGGATGGCGGGGTGGTAGGACTCGGGGTGCTTGACGAGAACCGAGAGGCGGATATTGAACAGGTAGGCCTGGATGGCAAACTCGTCGGTGCGCTTCGAGGCGACGATGCCCTCGCGGAGCTTGCGCAGCGCCATCATGACGTCGGAGAGGGCCTTTGTGCTGGCGGGGTCGTCAAGGCGCGGTGACGAGGCGGCGGACACTGAGGGGTAGTCTTTGAGGTCGAGAGAGGCGAAGCGGCGGAGGAGCTCGTCGCGCTCACCGGCGTCTGAGCAGAAGGTCATGTAGCGCTCGACGATCTTGGTGTAGTACCGTTCCTGCGTCTTGAAGTCCAGAAGCCTGGACCGTAACACACGTCAGTCAGGCAATCGTGTACCAATCGACATCTGGAGGGGTGCAGGGCTCACCTGGTGTCGCCTTTGGAGGGGAGACCGATGCTGTCGAGAGGGTCCAAGTCGACGGGCTTGAGTCTTCCCCAAGGACCCGAATGTGTACGGCCACCTCGACCAACACCACCGCCGCCACCAGCACCACCACTACCGCCTCCAGGGCCGCCTCCCCTTCCTCTTCCGCGAAAGACCCTGCTTCCGCCTTGACCTCCGCGATTTGACATGATTGCAAAACAGGGTTTGGTGATTTGGACTCGGCACAACGGGGTGCAGAAGGCGGGGGGCGCGCAGGAGAGAGACAGAGAGATGGATACACACCAACCTGTCGTCAAAACAGAGGCGGAGACATCCCACCTTTTTCCTTTATCTTATCTAATCCCCGACGGGGCGCCAAGGCCGGAGCTCAGGTACGAATTACCCCAGATGTCGCTTCCGAGAGGGGAAAGGACTGGAGGGGGCGTCTTTCCAGTGTTTAACGTGCTCATACTAGGTACCGAACCAAGGAGAGAAACTGTCCCCATTGATGCGTAAAAAAGAGCATATATACCCTGATTACGGGACGGCCAGTTGGAATGTAACATTTCACCTTGGGGAACCTATGATCAGAGCTTCTGTCGATCTGGTTATTCGATACCGAACAGCTCTACCCCACCACCAGTACCTCGTCTAGTAGTAGGGGCGGATAGACAAACCGCGGGGAACCTCGGCAGGCCAGGGGTTGGTCTCGAAGCGAAGCTTTAAGTCTTGCACATCAGCATTGTGCAATATACCCCCTCCACCCCCCTCCAGAGAGCCACAGATTGGTTGAGAGGAGCATATAGTAATTGAAAAATTGAACATCATCCTTCACCGCATTTATCACCAACATGTCGGACCGTGTGACGCAAATCGCCTCCCACCTCAACTATCCCAAGGGCATGCTTGCCGGCCAGGTGGCTATCATTACCGGGAGCGGACAAGGGATTGGGGCAGAAACGGCACGGTTGTTCGCCAACGAAGGCGCGAAAGTCGTCGTCTCTGATATTGACGCCAGTATGCTTTGCTTCTCTTCAGCAACATCAACAAACGACAACACAGCCAGATTGCATCCTTACTGACACCCCACCGCCATAGAAAAGGCCCAAGAGGTAGCGGACGGCATCAACGCCGGCGGCGGCCAGGCCCTCAGCGTGCCCGGCGACGTGCTCTCGGCGGACTACATCACCGAGCTCGTGGCCAAGGCCGCCTCCTTCGGCGGCGGCAAGATCCACCACCTGGTCAACAACGCCGGCTACACCTGGGACGGCGTCGTCCACAAGATGACGGACGCCCAGTGGGACGCCATCGTCGCGCTGCACGCCACGGCGCCCTTCCGCCTCGTGCGCGCCGCCGCCCCCTACTTCCGCGTGCGCGACGGCGCCAACCGCTGCGTCGTCAACATCAGCTCCACCTCGGGCGTCCACGGCAACGCCGGCCAGGCCAACTACGCCGTGGCCAAGGCCGGCGTCACCGGCCTGACCAAGACCGTTGCCAAGGAGTGGGGGCCCGCCTTCGGCGTCCGCGCCAACACCGTCGCCTTCGGGCGCATTGCGACGCGCCTGACGGACGCCAAGGAGAAGGGCGTCTTCGTCGAGGGGCCAGGCGGCGAGAGGATCGCGCTGGGGATCCCGCAGGCGCAGGAGGGAGCCGGCCAGCAGCAGCAGCAGCAGCAGCAGCAGCAGCCGCACGCCGACATCCCGCTGGGGAGGCCCGGCACACCGACCGAGGCAGCGTCCGTCATCTTGGCCGTCGTCAGTCCGCTCTTCAGCTACGTGACCGGTCAGACGATCATGGTGACGGGCGGGCGAAACATGTAGAGGGCTCGCAACCTTCTCTCCTGCACACTTTTCTTGGCACACACTACCCCATGGGATCGCAACGTTGGTTGTGCTACCACTTGACACAGTCAAAATAGGTGATGGATTCGTTGACTATGTACGGAGTATCTAAGCTTGGACTTCGGCTGACAGGTGGATCCATCGGCAAGGCCGTGGATCTACCGGGCTGGCCACCTTGTCCCGTGACATTAGGCCCTTATATTACTTTAAAAGGACGTCACTACTCCCTTTAGCCCGGCGAAGCCTAGGGTATAGAGGTCTCTTAACGCCCATGACGGATGTCTTTTGATTCATCCAGTCCACGCTTTCCTCGCATATCTCTACGTCATAAGTGAAAAAGAACTTGGCCGCAAAAAGTCTCACTTCGTGATAGCCGAGGCTGAAACAGTCAGTAAAGATGCTAAGCAGTGGCATTGATTGTGAAGAGTGTATACTTTTTACCCATACAATCTCTTGGGCCAGCAGAGAAGGCATGAACTGCGTCTAGGCAGTCGGTCTTGAATTCTTCAGGAGGTGGCGAAAGCCACCGCTCCGGGATGAATTCTTTAGGGCGAGCAAAGTGGGTAGCAGAAAGAAATGATGCAGCGTGCGAGTAAAAGACGACAGTCTGTAGACCTATTAGTATGGATATCTGTTTTGAACTCAATCGTAAGAGAACTGACGTCAGGTGGCAGGATGTGGCCGTCGAGGGTTGCTCCTTCTGGTCCGGTCCGTCGAGGAAGACCTTCAGGCAGAGGAGGGTAGCAACGCAGTGCTTCTTCAACGCAAGCTTGGAGGTATTTTAGATGAGGTACGGTCGGAGTTGTCATTTCTTCGGTTGATGTGAAGTTTTGGCGGAGTTCATCGGTGAGTTTCTTTAACTTGTCTGGGTGGTGAGCCACAAGAAACATTCATGCCGTTATTACAGACGAAGTCGTTTCAGTGGCAGCAGTCAGCATAACAAATCCGTTCTGACGCATCTCACCAGAAGTCAGCCCCTGGCCTGTGTATTCAGCCTCCTGGACTAGAATCCACAAATCTGGGTGATCAGTACCCTTTCTGTTTAACCTTTTGTCGACCCTCTCACCAACAAACTTGAATAGCTGCCATCACTTCTTGGTTATAGATTTCGGCACTAGCATTATGAAGATCTTTTCCAACCAAGGAAACGATCGGAGAGTTCTCCGCCAAGCGACAAATTTGACAACTTGGAAAATGTTTTTCAGGAAAGGTTCGTACTCCATCCTCTCCAAAAGGCGAAGAGTTTCGCCAAAGACAAGATCCGTGGCAATATCAAAGGTAGCAAAGCAAAGTTAGAGAACATATACATATCAACCTTGCCGTTCTGGTCGAACCATTCACCAGATTTCTGCACAAAGAGATCTGTATACTTTTTCAGCATACCCTCTCGACTGCGAATCCCCTTCTCGCTGAAAGCCGGCGTAAAGATCTTTCGCATCCGGCGATGGTCTTCATCACTGGCGGTCAAGATACTCTCAGACCCATCGCCTAGTCCATTCTTCATATAGTAGACCTTGAAATCCTTGCCGACTTGCTTGGTAGCATTGCGATGTCCGTACACGTCTGTTACCGCGACAGGATTGATGGTACTCAACTCCCCAGGCGCGATGCGCACGTACTGACCGTACTTCTCGTGAAGCTTGGTAAAGACAACAGGTTCGTTTCCGGCTATTCGCTGTATGCTTATAGGTATTTGAGATGCAGCGTAGTGCCATGGGCCTGGGAACTTGGCAAGAGGATGGAAGTAGAGTCGATAGATGGTCGTAATCAAAACGTGACCGATGATCTACTCCAGAGCATAATAGTTGTTGAACTTGAGCACAAACAGATATTAGCTAGGTTTTTACCGCGATGAAACCGAAGAGCCATAAAGACAAAATTGTGTTTTCCATTATGAAAGCCTTGACTGTTGATGTCGACATGGTTGAAGTTTGAGCTTCAACAAACAGCCTTTAAGGCAAGTAATTATCAATGACGTATGGCCTGTATACTTCTAATATTCAGAGATCTTAAGTAGGATTGGCGGCACTTGTGTAAAGTCCATGCCGGAGATTATTATAACTTGTAAGAAAGTGGCAAGAAGATATGGGAATTAGAGAATGTTATTCCTAAAGCTCTGTGCTAGACTGGCCACTGTTATCTAATGTCATGTAAGAGTAAAGTGACCTATGGAGTAGATAGCTACGAGTAATTACCTAGCACTGAAAGTAAGACTAATGATAAATAAAGTTCAGGGGCGTCTGATCTAGGTTTAATTTACTAGAAGAAACCCCCGGTGCCCTAGTGCCTGCCTACTGTACTCACTCGTTTAACTATTATTCTACTTTTTCCTATCTAACGATGATAGGCAAGGTGATTACTGAAAAGACCTAGCAAATCAGCATCAGATGTTGACAGAGGCATGTAATCGGCCAACCTAAGTACACGTAGAGTGTTAGTTAAACGAGTAGATACAGTAGGCTACCTCCCCATAGAGCTAAATTTGATATAGAGTTAGGTCAACTATTAGCTTACGCATTACTGCAAAACTTTTGGCCTTCAGAATGTCAAACTATATATGTTTCTAGTGAAACATAGTATAGGAATGTTGAAGTCTAATAAGACTTTGAGCTTAACGTAAAAGCATAAGCAGGTTTACTAGTAATAGTGACGAGTAATGTAAGTAAACTAAGATTTAAAGTTTATTATAAATCATTCTGCTGAAGGTTTATACAGCTAGGTTATTCAGGTTCACTAGCAAACCTGACAGAACATCCTAGATGCTTATTGTAAGCTCGTTTTGCTGCTTATTGTACAAAGCTGCAAAGGAAACATATCGTTTGTTGAGAATTATCCTCATGAGAGTAAAGGCTACAAGAGGTACCCAAGGTGCCTAGGTAGTAGCTCCCCCACCCTATATCCGAGCCACCATCATCATCCTTCAAATCCAGCATATCTAGATAGGTTGTTAGATGGGAACCACTGGGCCTGGACTGACTTGCCCTTATATATAACTAATGGGCATAGGGCCCTCCCATGGGCAGATACACACTCGATGAGGGAGATCCATGCCCTGGATCCAGGCTGCTTCTTTCGGATGTTTTGCGATGCGGCAGAGCCCATCATTAGCCCATTGGCCCCTCTGCCCTTCATTATGCCAGTTTCATCCATATTCCATCTTTCAGATGGATGGATTCCCTGGATGGCAGGGATACTGGCTAGACGATGGAAGTAATCCTGGATAACCTCGTCTCACAGGACAAGTGCTCCGGAACAGCCAGAACAGTAGATAGTGTGGGACAGTGATCAAATACCCAACAGGCACGTAAATATTCACGTGCCCACCGAGTATATATATCACTACCACAAGACCTCCTATTAGGAAGGGGGTCAACCTAGAGACAACTATTATTACTGTTACCTATCTTGTCCTGTGTCACTTGTTCAGCTTCTCGTTATTGCTTGCCTTGCTTACTGCTCTACTGTTACGCTTCACCTTCGCACTGCGTCACTTCACAACACTATTGTGTATTTGCATTACACCACCGCAGCCTAGCTACTCCTGTCAGATCCGCAACGGCTGCCAGGAAGGCTGTGTCACCTCGGGAGAATGGGCTGCCCATCTTCGGGCATCTAATATTGCTCTGGATTGCAGGGTTCTAATAGATAGGTTTTGCCGCAGGAATTAGGCCATCTATCTCCTCCCTATGCGTTGCTGCCTATCACCTATTATACGCTCTCCTAGGCCCTTCACTTGTTAATAGGTAGCGTATCTACGAAGGGAAGCTTGGAGGGATATATAGGCAGCTAGATTATCCTTCTGGGCCTGGGAGGAATGCTGCTTATCTTCAAAGGCAGTATTTCTGCTTTGCCTGCTGTAGTATTGATGTTGAAGTGTTCACTATAGTATACCCTAGTAGTATTAGAGATAGACTGAGCGGGCGCCCTGTGCCACCTAGATGGACTTGTCGGGCGTTGAATATCATCATCATCATCATCATCATCATCATCATCATCATCATCATCATCATCATGTAGAGGGCTGGTTCCTGGCGTAATACAAAGAAACATCCAGAGTGAGAACACACTGGAATGGCCTATCATCACTGAACAGAATGTAGAATTTTATGTGACTTATCAATAATTAGGTATCGGTACTTGATTCCCGTGCCATCCCCAACGCCCATTTCATGCCAATTGTTTCCTGGAACAACAAAGAATAAATATCCCTCGGTATCGTATCACCCCTTTCCGTCTCCGCTTATTGTCTTTTTTCCCCTCCTACTCTCCCTCCCTTAGACCTTCATCCACAGGGACAGCACACCCTTAGCGTACTCGACGATTTCATCGCCGCCCAGCTTGCTGTCGCCGTAGACGCGGTCGACAAAGGAGATGGGCACCTCAGCGACGGAGCAGCCCATGGCCTTGGCGCGGACCATCATCTCCATCTGGAAGGTGTAGCCCTTGCTCTCGGTGCTGGAGATGACCTTGTCGAGGATGCTCTTCTTGTAGAGGCGGAAGGAGCCCGTCAGGTCGCTGACGCCGGGGCGCAGGACGGTGTCGGCGAAGAGGTTGGCGCCGCGGGAGACGAACTTGCGCTTGAGGTCCCAGCCGTAGACGCCGCCGTTGCCGGCGTAGCGGGTGCCCGTGACGATGTCGTAGTCGGCCTCCTTCTGGCGGGCGACCATCTGGGGGATGAACTTGGGGTGGTGTGAGAAGTCGGCGTCCATGATGATGACGAAGTCGCCCGTGACGAACTGCAGGCCGTGGACGTAGGCGGTGCCGAGGCCCAGCTTGCCGGTGCGGGCCTTGAGGATGACGTGCGGGGCGTAGGCCTTGACGAGCTGGTTGGCAACCTCCTGGGTGCCGTCGGGGGAGCCGTCGTCGACGATGATGAGTTCCCAGTCGAGCTTGCTGTTGGAAAGGGGGAGCGAAGGTCAGCAGGTTTTCGACAACTTCAGGAAACACCGGAATCAAAGAATGGGGGACGGGAGATCTGGCTCCAAGAAGCTGCAAGGTGCACGCGCAACTTACTTCTCGGTGAAGGTGCGGTTCAGCAGCCAGGTGACGATAGGGAGGTTGCGGCGCTCATTGTAGGTCGGCAGGATGACCGAGTACTTGTGAGGCGCCATTTCTGCTACGGAACGGAATCGGTATGATTACAAGAACAAGCTGGAGAAGAGAAAAAAAAGTTGCGGTGGTCTTGGGCGGAAAGGAGCGTGATGAAGTTGGCTGCGCGTTGGGCTAAGCTTTACGACGATGCTGTCCTTTGGCGGCGGAATGCCATTTTGGCACCCTGAGGGGAGGATGACTAAGCACGACCCAGCCCCTGAGATCCAAGGGGGGGGACGGTGACAAGGCGAGGGTCTCCCAGCTTGCATGCTTCCAGATTCTCGACCTTTTCGACGGCAATGATTCAATTACGGGAATCTGGCTGGCATGTTTGCGCCTAAATCCAATTACAATGGCTAATTGCCTGATTTTTCATGACCCTCTGCTATGTTTCCTGTGTAGCTTCTGCATACTACATTACACGCCTTTCGGCTTAGTCCACGTAGATATCTTGTTGTTTGATAGCCGCTGTTGAGGATGGAAGGAAAATAGAGTACAAAAAAGAAAATAAATCTCGATAAGAAGAAAATCAATGGTCGAGTTTCTCGAGTTCACCGTTAGTAGAGGTGGTTTCCTGACTTTACAGTTGCTGCTTGGGGTGGTTGACTGTATCGATTCCATTTCGGTGCAACGAGACAACATTTCGCATTCTACGGTTTCGCCTGCAAGATATCGACATGCCGACGTCTCAATATCAGTGTTGAGGCGAGAATGCGATTTTGCGAGCGTCCCTGCGCAGCAGCAACCATGTCACATGGCATGCACCACGGACAATAGACCTACAGGACTTAATATCGTCTACCTCTCCATATCGCACTCTTGAACTGGATTGAAAACAAACAACGTGTACACTACAGGGCCCGTATTTCTCTGTTCGACAGCGATGCAACCAGCCGCAGCACATGCTCATACGCCTCGAGCCGATCGCAGATGGCGTGCAGCAAACTCGGAAGCTCAGACCACGGTTCGGGGATGACGGCGAGCGCTCATTGGTTCCAGAAAACAGAAGTTGGCGGGAGGGGGTGGGGGACGCGCCGCGCCACCGTCCCCGCATCGCTATGCTGCAACACCGCGATGCTGCCGCTTTCTGCCCTGGCAAGCAGACGTGGCTGGAAACTCATCGAAAAAATTGAGATAGAATAAATAAATGAAAGGAAATAGAAAAGAAAAAACCACATCGCGAAATATGCTGGTTTTGCTTCTGCCGATGTTGCTGCGGCGCCGGCGACACAGTGTTGTCGAGAAAAATGCACACATGGTCCTTGGGCCATCACCTTCATGGGGGGAGGGGGGGATAATCGGCGTCACATCCGCTGAGACGAACTTGCAACACAATTTACTATGTAGGTAGCTGTGTCAACCGCCAAAAGGAGCTCTGTGCCTCTGTTACACCTTCGTCTATTCTCTGCTGCTTCCTGCTGAACAGAAGAAACGACTATGCTATGCCGCCGTTCAACCGCAGTCAGCTACTCACTCACAATTACCAGCCAGAGAAACAACCTTCTCTCTCACCCTTTCCCCTTCCCCATCAAATCCAGCTCGGCAGCCCCATGAAATGACTAGGCCTCTTTTGGATTGCCCGGGTCTTAACCGGGGCTGAGCTCCAGCCTCCAGCCGCCCTGCACCGGCGGTCGTGGAGCTGCTTCGTCACGTCAGGTCAGGTTGACATGACGGCGGACCAAGGTTCCTCTCCACTTGATTTTGCTGCGAGGGGGAACCTTGCTCTCGCCGGCAGTCGCTTGCAAACCTCATAGCATCTCTTATGTTTGTCGCTCGAGGTCCGCTCCCTGTTCTGTTAGCTATGCAGTAGCAGTAACAGCTCCCTCCCCCGATGGCCCGCGCAGACACGTTATGTGCGTGCGCGCACACACTCACCGAGTCGATGGCCGCCGCCCTTACCCTTGCCATCTAACCCCATGTTTCTGTGCGATGACCTGCCGTGTGGTTGCAGCAAGCCCAGCAGGTCAAGAGGAGTAAGAGCTCTCCCATGCTTCCTGCTGCTTCTCCGACTCCGACTCTAACCTCACCTCTTCTTTTCGCTTCTCTCATCCCTTCTTTCTCTCCTCTTCCCAACTCAACTTCATCCTCTTCGTACCAGCTTTCCATCGTCAATCGACATCACCGTAGCCCACTCCATCATCACCAAACGATTATCGATACTCGAGTACGGCCATTGAGCCCATATTCAAGACCGACTGCGACATTCCTGACCGCGCACTCTGCGCCCACCAACACTGCTTTACGTCATCGCCATGGACCCCGTACCCGTTGCTGCACCTGCTCCCGCTGCCAACGGCGCCGACAAAGGTGAGTGTGAGGCATCACGAAGCTTTAATTGTGATCGCGTCGAGTCGGTACAGCTGCTCGATGTTGCGCCTTTTGCCTTGGCCAAACTCAACGTGCTTGCTGTATAAGCGAGGCTCTCCCGTCGCTATTCACCCATCATGCCCGGACCATCATGCGCTAACATCCTTTTCCCGATCGCAGTCGCAGAGACTGTCGCGACCACTACCAGCGCGGACACCAAGGCCACGGAGCCTCCGGTCGCTGAGATGAAGCCTGCCGAGGAGAAGAAGGACGAGAAAAAGGAAGAAACCGCGCCCGTGCCTGAGACATCAGCAGCTGCACCCGTCGACGAATCTACCAAGCCGGAGGAACCGTCTGCGCTTGCTCCACCAGCGGATGCACCGGCTACGGCAGATATTACAGTTGATGCGCCAAAGCCTGCCTCCGTCGAAGAGGTTCCCGACCAGGATGGCCCGGCTTCAACCGGCGTCCGAGAGCCAGATCCCACCCCAGTTGAGCAGCCGGCCGTGACATCTGCGCCTACTGATGAGCCTGTGAAGGCATCGGTAGAAGCGCCCATCGCGCAAGAACCCGCCAAAGCGCCCGTGGCTGAGGACGAGCCCATCAAGGAGCCCATCATCGACAAGACTGAAGCTGTCAACGGTGACGCCACCAAGGGTGTCGAGATGACGGGCGCTCTCAACGATGCCGAACCTGCCGACGCAGGCGAAGGTGAAGCCGCGCCGCAGGTTATTCCGCCTGAACCCAAGGTTGGGGACAAGCGCAAGGCGGATGACTCCGTCGAGACCAACGGGGCCAACGGGGCCCACGGTACCGACGGCACCAACGGCGTCGGGGAGACGTTGGAGGAAAAGCCAGCCGAGAAGAAGGCCAAGAGGGGGCCCGGTCGCCCTCCTTCAAACGGTGCGGCCAAGGAATCGTCGAAAAAGGAAAAGGAGTCGTTGGGTCACAAGGTGGCCAGAAATGTGAAGAAGGTCATTCACCCCGTCGGCAGGACTGCGCGCAAGACTCGCTCCCAGGGTCCCGTTTAACAAGGCCGTGGATGGTGCGGACGTTCAGGAAGCGGACAATTTATCGTGTCAACTTTGCTTGAGTAACAGCAGGCAGCACAGGACCACTCGTTGACCAAGGCCCGGATGGAGCCAGTCACGCGGGCATGTTTCCTATCCTCGTATGTTCATGATGGGCAGGCAAAAAAAGGTGGTGCGGGGATCATGCTCTTGTTTCCTTTTCTTATTGCTTTCCTGCGCGGGCTCGAATTTGGATCAACAATGGAATGGATCGGGGGGAGATCTTTGCATGTATACAACACGATGCTTGCATATGCAGCTTTGAATTACGGTTTGATTACGGATACGATGTTGGCCTCGGCGACCGATGTGGTATACAGACATTGACCCGCGAAGTTTCCGAACACTGGGTAAATAAAAGCAAAGTGTTGTTTCATGATGGCCGATCGGGTCGGACAGAACCGTTGATCCGAGCCATCAGCATGTTACCATCCATGGCCGAGCAGAAGAGCAACAACTAGGCGATGACGTCAACTAAGACGGCACTTGGTAGCTCTTCGGCTCAAGCGGCGGTGGTACGTAGAATCCGAGGGTCCACGGATCGCGCCACCAAGGGCCATTGATTTGCAGACCATGTTGAAGACCACGGGAATGGAAGGGCGGGTGTGAGGACCCCTTTTCTTAAAGTTCTTTAACGGGACGAAAGCCCTAGGAATGTGGAGAGAGGGAGAGAGAGAGAGCAACATGCGCCTCTTACTGTTTCCTGTTTTTGTATTAGTTGCCAGGTACCCGAGCGAGTGTGTCGGTCTGGCTGGAATGCAGAAAGGGGAAAACCAGGACGGCTCATCCGGGCCGGGAAAGAGGCAACCGGGCGAGTCGTGACGAATGTAGCCCATGCCAGGGACGAGAGCGTAAACAAAGGGAAACCAGGAGAAGAAAAAAGAAAAGAAAAAAGCTCCCCTAAGGACGCTAGGCGATATCGAGGGGAAAGGCGAACGGAACGGCTTCTTCCTTCCTTCCACGCACGGGTTGCCGTGCGTTCCAGGGCCAAAAAAGAAGAAGCCACAAGGAAGGGAAGGAAGGGCTTTGTGGAAGTCGAATGGAAAAATGGCTACTACGTAGTGGCTCTGGGGGGGGGGGGGGGGGGCTGTGACGTAACTGCGCGAGGAGGCGTTTCTAGCCTGTAGCCACATACCAACAACAACGCTACCTTACCGTCTGTTCTGGAATCCCTTCAGGTAAGACGGCGTGGGTTTGAGGCATAATCGGGGGGGGCGGAGAGGAGGTGGAGAATGGCCCTTGCCCCCCTACCCCCCTTCCATTTAGACCCTGCTTCGAAGCCCTCGTGACTTGACGGATTGGGAGGGGCGAGAGAGAGCTGGTTTCCGCTTGGTAAACGGAAGGAAAGCGGGTGCTTATTTTGCGACTCGCGTGAGAGAGTGAGTCTTGTTTTCTGAAGTGATTGCTAACAAGCGCTGCGTGGCGAAGTCGCGGGTGATTCTTGTTGCATTCATCATTCATGGCGGGTATTTTCTTCTTCTTTAGGTACCCTGCTATGTACAGATATGTCATCTCATGCTTCCCGCAAGGTACGGGACGGGGAGGGGGGGAGCATCTAGGTGATCACTCGTGCACAGCCGATTGCTCTCCTGACTGGCATTGTGGCTTTTTGCATTGAGTTTGACCCGTTCCAACTTCCGCCGGCCATTTCTTCTTCTTCTTCTTTTTTTTTTCTTCCGCTGGTTGGTTGGGTCTCGAACAACTCTGACCCATTCAATTGGCTCCAGTCTCAATGCATAGCCCTGCTGGACGCCTTTCTGTACCTTGAGAGAGGAAGGGGCTTCCCCTGATTGATGACATGCGAGGCGTAAAGGTATTTGGTTCTCGTGGGAGAGAGAGAGAGAGGGGGGGGGGGGGGGGGGGGAAAAACCAAAAAAAAGGCCCCCGTTCCTCCTTTAACCTGGAACCCCGGCCCAGGGGGCCCAGGCCAACCATGGTACCGCTAGCCTCGGTTTTGCCTGCCTCACTTCACAGAAACGTTACGTCCCGGCAAGTCGCCGGCTGTTTACCTACCGAGTGAGTCGCATTCACAGAGCACCCGCCTGTAAGGAACCGGGGCTGTTATGGTTTAGACCGACGTTTTAAGGGAAGGTCTGTCGTAGCCAGTAAGTTCTACCGACGGTCTGATTGGAATCACACCGACTTCCATCCGTCTGTTCTCTTGGAGAATCTAGGTTTATACCTGAGGATCCTATCAGCACTTCCGCCCCAGGCCCCTTCTATGAGTAACAGAATCGAGTCGCATTCCGAGCACTAATAAAAGAAGCGGAGAGTAGGCTCCCGCTGCTCCTCCGCGAGAGGGGCGGTATGCATACGGGCTTCACTCTTTTCGGATAGGAGAGGTGAGAGTTGATTTAGGTCACTAATGGAAGGTGATAACTTTAGGTGAGCGGTCGTCAGCCATAGTTGTAGGAGAGCGTTTCCGGTGTAAACATCTGACCATTACTTTCGGCTATCTCCTCCAGCCCTCGCGGAGTACGCTCGGCGAATCACGATTGATTGACAAAAACGGCTATAGTCGACTTCGGTGCTACACGACGGAAAAAAAAAAAAAGGGGGGGGGGGGGGGGGGGAGCAGAACCCAAAAGACAGGTCCTCTGTTCGTCATTTAACCTGACACCCAGGCACAGGGTGCCGCTTGACGTTGCAATTGAGATTCAAAGATGGGAGGAATGAAGAGCCGTGATCGACACGCCGCCTTTCCGGGGCGCGGCGCATACCGGTACTGCATACCTACCTAGAAGGCCAAAACGATACGAAACGGAAAGGGAGGGAGAAACATTGAACCATTTGAAAAGCCGGCGGCTCGAGAATGGGCATCATCGCCGTAAGCCCGCGCACACGCAATCAGAAACTCTCTCTCTTTCTCTAGCTTCTCACGAAGGATTTTCTGTTGATGGCTGGAACGTCTACTCCCCTCCGCCAATGTACAGATCTGCGTCTGTTCCTCAGACGAGGTGCGGGGATCACGCAAATCTGAGCATCAATCGACCAGACATAGCAGCACGGCAGGGAAAAAAAAATAGACAAATGACCCGAGCGTGCCAGTAGTGTATACTATACTAACGGCCAGCTGGAACAGAGACACTGGGCAACTGGACGTTGGAAGTGGGGGGCTAGCATGTTGGCGGCCTCGTATCCATCGGTTTATCGATTTATCGACCTCAATGCCATGCCTCTCTCTCTCAGCAGGTGTGCAGGCACAGGGTCCTATTCAGTCCTAGGTCTCGTCTCGTCTCTGCCAGCGCGCGCGTGGTGTGGTGTGTGTGTGTGTGTGTGTGTGTGTGTGTGTGGGTGATGATGAATGGTTGAAGGAAGGTGTACAGGTGGGTGCCGAGGAGCAACAATGCTGGGCCCCACTTGGTGCGGTATGTCAAAAATAGCCACAGCCACAGCGGGCGGCGGGCTTGCCGATGCGCCTGCGAAGACGGTTGGTTTTCCTTTGGCACGAGGGAGGGCGGAGGGGGGCCCATGCTCCCTCGAGTCCCGAGCTTGGCTGGAGTGAGCTGTTTGCGTGTGTAAACTACAGCCAGGCCCATCTCAACCGCTTGGGGGGTGTCTATTGTCTTCTTTACAAGTTTGTATGCACCACGTAGGTAGGTAGTTCCGTCCGCGAAACAAGAGGAACCCTCTCCGCCAAAACCGTTCCGGGCGGATGGGTACGTACCGCACATGTATCGTACCTATGAACAAGCGTACATTCACAACCTACATAACCAGCGTTCCTGCAGCTGTGGGCAGAGCGAGACATACATGGAAAACATACAAAGTATATCCTTGTGGAAACATGGAGACTGCGTTTCATATCATGGTATGAACACTTACGAACACACTACATCTTTGCAGTCAGCCAAAACCATGAGCAGCCACCCATCTATGTGAGGGCAAAGGGAGAATGCATGACCTGGCAATGAGCCCCAGGTCCGGATACAGCGCACTACCGGCAGCTAGGTACGTACCGCTAACTGGGTCGAATGAGGTGGGTCTTTTCTCCTCGCGACCCCATTAGCGCAAAAATTGCAGGGACGTAAGGGGCGGCGCTGTGTTCTCTTACGCATGCTCTTTTTGTATTTTTATTTATTTTATCCTTTTATTGTATTTTATCCGTACCATGCTCACGAGCTAGTAGGACTCTGTCCAGCAGAATGGGTCAGAGTCAACCACACACACACACAAACACACACACACTCTCTCCTCCAGTGATACACCGGATGTCGGCGCACCCATAGGACTGGGATGGGCCTGGAGTGACATACGCAATCCTCTCTCTTGGCTCAACAAACCACCTCGCTCCGTGCTCCCTCATCTGCCATCTGCACTCCATCCTATCCCTCCCTCTTTACCTCCTTTGCCCCCCCCCCCCCCCCCCCCTGCCGTCTCTTAACCTCTTCATCCCGTACTCCCTACTGTACCTTACTTTTTACCTTACCTTAACCTTGTTCTTCACACTCGCTTGAAAACACCATCCCTCGTTTCCCCAATTCTCCCGACCATCTCTTCTCCCCCGACTCTCGTTGCGGCTCCCGGCGTCATTCACTTGTCGTCCTGCACTCGTCTTTGTACTCCCGGTAACACTCGCACGAACGGACAAACCGAAACCGCCCTTTAATCTGCGATACCGACGAATCCGCGTAATACCGACGAGAAACCTCGCATCACCGCCGCCCTTAATACGTCACGGCCAACCGACCGGCCGTGCCCCCCTTCCGAATCGTCGCCGCCTGATCCAACACCTGCAAAGATAGCATCGCTAACGAGGACCTCCGGCGTCTGCTTGTTCGCCGGGACGCACCTGGAGAAACACTTCAACCCCTCGTGCCCCGAGGGGGCCCGTCAGCCAAAATGAGCGAAGATGCCGGCAAGCAGCTGTTGAACTTGATCAAGAATCCCTACAGTCAACAGGTGGGGAAAACCCTTCAGTCCTCGGTTTAGCGTACCGCCATCATTTCCGCTTACTGACTGTCGAAAAACAGCTGCAAAAGAACTCCATCTGGGCTGCCTTGGGCACTTCTCTCGGCGTCACCATCGGCATCGCCCTCACCTTCTCCCTGCTCCGGCCATACAACCAGTCCGTATACGCGCCCAAGCTCAAACATGCCGACGAAAAACATGCTCCTCCGCCCATAGGGAAGAAGATATGGTCCTGGATCCCGCCCCTATGGAACACAAGCGAGGCTGATCTGGTCCATCATGCCGGCATGGACGCCACTATTTTCCTCCGCTTCATCCGCATGTGTCTTTACATGTTCTGCACCATCTCCGTCTTTTGCCTTGCTATCCTGATCCCCACCTATCTGGCTAACCGTACGGATGGTATTGACGAGACTTGGCTCGATGCGATTACACCCATAGCGGTCTGGGGCGAGGCCTACTGGGCTCAGGTCGCCGTCGCGTACATGATTACATTCACCGTCATGGGTTTCTTATGGTGGAACTACCGCAAGGTGATGCTACTCCGCCGTAGGTACTTCGAGAGCGAGGAGTATCAGAACAGCTTGCATGCGCGGACGTTGATGGTGAGTGGCGCTGGAACGTGCCCTCCTTTTCTCATGTCGAGGCTGACAATGGTAGATGTACGATATTCCCAAGGACAAATGCTCCGATGAGGGCATTGCGAGAATCATCGACAAAGTCGTGCCCTCTTCTTCTTTCTCCCGTACTGCCATTGCCCGAAACGTAAAGGACCTACCCAAGTTGATCGAGCAGCACGACCACACAGTTCGCAAGCTGGAACAGGTCTTGGCCAAGTACATGAAGAAGCCCGACCAGCTTCCGGCAGCCCGTCCGATGTGCAAGCCCTCAAAGAAGGATCCGTCCTTCGCCACGTATCCCAAGGGTCAAAAGGTAGACGCCATCGAGTACCTGACGCAGCGGATCAAGGAGCTTGAAATCGAGATCAGGGAAGTCCGGCTCAGCGTCGATAAGCGGAGCACCATGCCCTACGGCTTTGCCAGTTACTCTGATATCGCCGAGGCCCACAACATCGCCTACGCCAGCCGCAAGAAGCGCCCGAATGGCGCGGTAATCACCTTGGCCCCTCGCCCGAATGACATCATCTGGGACAATTTGCCTCTGAGCTCCTCGGTCCGTCGGTGGAGGCGTATTGTCAATAACCTCTGGATCGCAGTGCTCACTTTCGTATGGGTTGCCCCCAACGCCATGATTGCCATCTTTCTCATCAACTTGGACAACCTCGGCAACGTATGGCCGGCATTCCAACGAGAGCTTGCGAGGGACCCGAGCTGGTGGGCTATCGTCCAAGGTATCGCGTCGCCCGCCATCACGTCGCTCGTCTATCTCGTTCTTCCCATCATCTTCCGCCGGCTGTCTATGAAAGCCGGAGATCAGACAAAGACGGGTCGTGAGCGTCACGTTATGGCCAAGCTTTACGCCTTCTTCGTCTTCAACAACCTCATTGTGTTCTCACTCTTTAGCGCCGTCTGGTCCTTTGTGTCCGCTGTTGTCTCGGAGACGAATGGCAACAAGAGCATTGATGCTTGGCACGCCATTATTGACCAGAATCTTGCGACGACAATCTTTACGGCCCTCTGCAAAGTCAGTCCTTTCTGGGTTACATGGCTTCTCCAGCGCAACCTCGGTGCTGCCATCGACCTCGCCCAGCTCTGGACGCTCGTCTACAGTTTCTTCGTGCGCAAGTTCTCGAGCCCGACCCCCAGAGAGCTCATCGAGCTCACGGCGCCTCCTTCGTTCGACTACGCCATGTACTACAACTACTTCCTCTACTATGCGACCGTCGCCCTGGGCTTCTCTGGCATTCAGCCTTTGGTCCTCCCGGCCGCCACCTTGTACTACGCCATCGACTACTGGCTCAAGAAGTACTTGCTTCTCTACATCTTCGTCACCAAGACCGAGTCTGGAGGCATGTTTTGGCGCGTCCTCGTAAACCGCATGCTTTTTGCCGTTTTCCTATCGAACTGCGTCTTCTTCCTCAGCGCGTGGGCCCGAGCCGACTGGGCGACTCACAGCCAGGCCTTGGCCATCGCCCCTCTGCCCATTTTATTGATCATCTTCAAGGTCGTCTGCTCCAGGGTTTTTGACGACAAGATTCATTACCTGTCGACGACCAACATTTCCAAGCATCCCGAAGCCGGCATGCAGAAGGAAACACGCCTGCGCAGCGAGCGCCTGGCATCGCGTTTCGGTCACCCTGCGTTGTACAAGCCGCTCATCACGCCAATGGTGCACCAAAAAGCACAGCCGTATCTGCACATCGTCTACAAGGGCCGTCTTTCGGATGGAAGAGAGGTCAACAGCGGCGACATGATGAGCGTTTCGGGCTACTCGGACACATACGCGTTGGACCCCATGAGCTCTGGCAAGCCCGGCAAGTCGGCGAACGTGCCCGGATTCGAATTCGTCTCCGAGTCGAACCTCGACTTCGAGTTCTACAAGAACAGGGCAGAATTCGCGGACGAGCACGGCCAGGGTGACCTATTCGGCCGGGATCTCGACATCATGCGCCCCGGCACGCCCGGATCCATGTCTGACTACGGCTCCCGTCCCGGGACTCCTACCGGCGTTCAATTGCAGGGTGGCATGACGGGACAACGGCGCGACATTTCTGGTCAGTCGGGGTTCTCGGCCTACAAACCCAACCCGCCGGCCTACATGTCGCCCACCGCCAGCGGCCGGCAGTCTCCGACAAGATTGGGCTCACCACAGGCCGGCTTCACTCAACAGGCGATGATGGGTGATCGGTCTCGTAGCCCTTTATACAATATCAACAGCAACGGAAGCGACACGGCGCTGGTGCGCAACGCTGCGGGCATGCCCGTGAGCGCTCCCACACCGGGCCCTACTGTGGGCGCGTTGGGCGGCGGACCGAGGGGCTATAGTGGACTCCCCCAGGCCGACGCGGATTCGCTCGACCAGGACCCGTCGCAATACGACTACTTTCGCGGGTCGAGGCGGCGCCCCAACGACGGATGGTGAAACGAGATGGTGACGGAATGACGGGCTTCTTTCTTTTGTGAGCGATGATAGAGCGAAGGGTCGACTCGCGGTCCGGGGATTTGGTGTCCATGTAAAATGCATGAAATTCGGCGTTGATTTTCAGCGAAAAGGGGGAGGGGCCTTGAAATGTCCCGCGAGGAATGCGGGTGCGCTGAGGGTGTTTTTTGGACCCCTCGGAGCTTTTTGCCCCCTCCACCCCCTGGATTCACAAAGTGATAATGACCAAAGAGATGAGACGTAGACTGAATATTGCATGGGGGGCCCGGCAGCGCCCTCCACACGAATCTCCCGGCACGGCGCCGGTGAGAGTACATTATACATTTAATAAGTAAACCCTTTCCGACTGAAGTTGTCTACGAGCCAAAACAATCCCCTATGGAAAGTATCTTGGTCTCACTCATCCGCCATGTTATTCAGAATACGATGTCACAAATTCTTAATCTTCCTTTGACAGCGCCGAATCGACGCTGTCTTGAACGATTGCTGAATTGTAGACCAACTGTAGACTGTGATACCGCCATGTAGAAAGCGGAGAAGACCAGAGCCTCCTTAGGACGGGACAGGGCACTCCCCAACAGAAGAACACCCCTGTAACCTCAAAGGTCTGCGCGACCCGCCCACGTCCTGTCAACCAAGGCCCAACCAGGACAGCGCGGTCACCACGAACTCCGATACCCCATTGCTAGAATCGACTGTGGCTTAGCATGAGTTCACTTGGCGAGCCGCGGCTCTCCATGTACGGCGTTTGGGCAGGGCGTCGTGCTACGGATTAAGTAACAATCCGAATGCACTAGCCACTCAAAATGATGAATCGCAGCGTCTAGTCATTTAAGGGTAAAGTACGGATTGTTGTCTTAGGTATTAAGAATCTATGTATGTATGGACCGGAGGAGTGGTAGAAATACGTATCCCAAGCGGTCCGTGCGGGTGGTACGCCACATCTGTGGTGGCTTCCACTGGTACCAGCCACACGAAGCTATTCCAGCTTCACGACACAGTATATTTCTCTGGGCTTGCACATGAGACCTGAGGATTTGGTCATCACAATCGCACTAAACTTCAGGTGCCACGGAAACTTGCCACTTTCACCCAATGCCCTCGCTGAAACATTTCTTAAAACCTACTGCCCTGGCTGGCATTCCCTCTTTCACTTTCAACCTCACATACTCGTTTCTGATCACCTCCCACTGTTCATCTCACCTGATTTTCCGAATGAATTGTCTCGTACCGTTGTGGCGCTGAATCCACTTCTAGGCTTCTGGAGGTTCTCCTGGTGAGTGCATCTTTATTCGACCTTTTTTTTGCCTGAAATTGGAATCTAAGGCTCGTACTAAATGCACAACAAGCCAAACGCAGCGCCGGCCATAGAGAGGGCGGCGCTCGAGTCCGGGTCCCAGCAGCTGCTAGTATTGCCGAGTTCGACGAGACGTGCTGGTAGCATACAAATGCGACCTGGCACCCCATCATCGAGCTCGTCACTTGCGACTGAAAACGTCTAATGCGACCCGCGCCCCCTTCACTCAAGTGTGCTGACAAACTTCGAGAATGGCTGCCCCTTTGCCTCACGGGTATCGTTCCATCACCGAATACCATCCCCGCGAGGATCAGGGCGACGCAATTGTTCGAGTCGCTGCTTACCATCGCAAAGACTACGGTCGGTCTGTGGATATGGTTCTCAACTCGCGAACACGACCGTGTTCTGTCCTCGATAGCAACGCCCTTCGAGCGGACGTCCAATACGGGACTCGGCTCCCTCGATCGCCTTCCCCTCGAGCTCTTACATGACGTATTACTCCATCTGGATATACGTTCTCTATTCAACTTTCGACAAACAAATCTCAGATCGAGAGAGACAGTGGATTCTGTGAAACAATATCAGATGGTGGCCACACATGGGCTGAACCTTGTCTGCGCCTTACTACGAACACAAATCGTCACCGGCGTTTCTCTGCGTGAATTCTACGACGCTTTATGTACCAAGGCTTGCACTCTTTGCGGCAAACTTGGGGATTTGTATCCCTCCTGACCCGGAATCGATGCTATTTTGTATGCCTCCAAAGAGCTCCGGAAACTCAAGTGCGAACTCTTGCCGCTGTCCGGAAGCAACTTAACTTGACCGCCGGAATTACCCATATTCCCTTTCTAACTATCTAAATCCTGACCCCAACTTGACAAACCTCCTAAACTACCAATCCTGCAAGGCTTACTGAATGTACAGTCTTTACTTAAGCTCCAGCTGCAGCGCCTATCTTAAAGGCGGACGGCAGTTCACAATTCTCAATTTGGGCCGAGCCAAAAGCCGTGCTAGATCTACAATCGCTGGTACGAGCTACGGAAGATGGCATGGGTCTTCCCAAACCGACTCCTTACAGGGTCAGGGGCACTTCAAGGTATCCAGGCCTTTGGAACTAGACCATGTAGGGAGACCTGTTCGCTGTTGAGTGGTGCCATGCTTCGCCAGCTCCGATCTCCTATCCACAGCTGCCATCCTGACGAGCCCAGGGAACAGGCGGGCGGGGTGCCGTACGCTCGCATGGCGTCCGTGCGGATTCGGCTCCGCTCAACGGGAGGTCCGAGCGGACGCGGTCCCTCGCCGATGGCAGTGCTTCGCCATCTCTGCCGCACAATACGTCACGTGTCGAAAGTTTGGGCTCACCCTACCATACTGTAGGCCCTGCAGTATGGTAGGGTGAGTTCAAGGAGGCACGTCGCATATCCGTATATAAACTACATGCTAGGCAAGTTTGACATATCAACAAGTTGCTGCAGGTACTAGCGCGGCGCACAGACATCGCATATCCCACGACGGACAACGTAGCCACATTTGGAGGGTAATTATACCCTCGAGTCTGAGCCGGTCTAACTCGTGCGCTGACAGGGCTAGATGATGGCCATGAGAGCGTATCGACAAACAGCCGTTCCTAGACACCTTGTGATGCTCGCGGATGTATCTCGGGTGAACGAAGAGAGAGCACAGCAAGGTGTTTGGGGTGCTCTCTGTCCTCGTTCGGCAAAGTCCATCGTTTCAACATGTCGGAAGGGGAGGGGTACCACTGGGGCTATTGACGACCCCACTGGCCAATGCGGGTTATCGGATTCTTCAACGGCGCTGGAAAGGTCAATCATTCATCGCCCCCCTGGTGCACCGATCTCCCACAAGTCCGGAGGTGTTCTACGGGTCCTGAGAGGGTCGGAGGATTCGTGACCCGAGTCAAGAAAGCCCACTCATCTTGTATCCATTCGTGGACCCCATTCATTTTCGCTCCGCCGAAGCCAAGAGCAGAGATCGATAAGATGACCAGGCGTTTCTTTCTAAATCTATGTTGATGTTTGCTTTTCTGCCCGTTTCCTGCAACCTTATGTCGAAAGTCTGTGGAAAACAACCGTCAACATGGTTGCCGTCCGATTCTTCGCGTTGCTTGCTTCCTTGTTTATGCTGGGAAGCATCGTGAGTGCGTTGGATCCGATGATGTCCATGGGATTTCCGCCCTGCGAAGTGAGTGACCCTTCCCAGCAATGCCTTCGTCACAGCACTTGCTCATGCGGTCAGATCGAATGCATCCGTCAAGAACTCCATAACACCCACTGTCCCACCACAGACATAGCCTGCCTGTGCAACGATAAGGCCTTCTCGCGCTACGTTCAAAGCTGCGTCGTTACGAATTGCACCGCCATTGATATGCTGGGTGAGGGAAACCGGACCTGACGGTGTCGAAACCGGGGATCGAGGCTGACTGACCGTGCCTTCTGAACAGTTGCCAAAAACCATACGGATGCTGTCTGCGGCGTGCCCATGGTTCAGCGCGAAAGCCCCATAGCGTGCATCCAGGTGGCCCTCTTCATTTTCACAACCCTTGTGATCGTTACGCGGATCGCCCACAAGTGCATGAAGATATCGCCTTGGGGTTGGGACGATACAACAGTCATGGTTGCATATGTATTACTCACCCTCCATGACTCTCTTATCATCTTTCCGAATCACCATTGACTCTGATGCAGGTTGCTTTCGCGGTGCTTACCCCCATCGCCTATATCGGTAAGCTGTTGCAGAACAACGTCATAATCCATCACGGGCCTAACCTAACGTACGTCTGTAGCTGATGCTGCCGAGTCTGGAAGAGATGTGTGGTACCTTTCCCCTGACGAAATTACTGAAGGCCTCAAAGTAAGAATCGCACACTTTCGAACCCCTCTACTCGTCGTCAATGTAAGCTAACCCGAAACCAAAGACATTCTTCATCGTAACCTTCTTGTACATACTGGGCCTAGCCTTCGTCAAGGCGTCCGTCCTGTTCCTGTACCTCCGCGTCTTCCCCGATCAACGGTTTCGGAGGGTCTTGTGGCTTACCCAAGCTTTCAACCCCATGCTGTTACTTTCCTTCCTTACCGCCTCGCTCGCCTCCTGCAGGCCCTTGAACTATGCCTGGGACGGATGGACGGGCAAGACGGAGGGCCGGTGCACCAGCTCGAACCCCCCCGCCTTGGCCCACGGCGCGCTGAACTTCATCCTGGACATTTGGATGCTGCTTCTTCCGGTATTGCAGATCTACAGACTGAACATTCCGCGCAAGCAGAAGCTGGACGTCATGTCCATGTTCAGCGCGGGTATATTGTGAGTGAATGAGAGTGCAAGAGTTCTTTGCAGTAGATAAAGCTTCCGCGACAAAGAACCGTGGCTAATTGAGGGTGATTAGCCTTACCGCAGCCAGCGGCTATCGGATCAAGGTGATTCGGCCGTTTGGGGCCTCTTTTGACCCTGAAGGTCAGATACCCTCCACACTGAGGCATGCTTTTCCGCTTTTTGCGCCGAGTGCTAATGTTGCCAGTAGTCGCGTTCCAAACCGTCATCTGGTCCGCAATAGAGCTTGCTGTGGGGATCTTCGTGGCCTGCCTCCCGAACATACGCCAGTTCTGGGTAGTAGTGCTGCCGAAGATCCTGCAGGCCACTGGCATCTCGTCGCGGACACACGAGACCACCAGGGGCTCGACGGTCCCGGGGCAACCCCCGCGAACGACATCAGAGAGCCGCGCGCGGCGGTCCGGCGCGGTCCAGAACGACGCGTCGTCAACTTCGAGCTTGGTGGGCGTGGACATTCACAGGACGAAATCCAGCCAGTCCGACTCGATCGGCGCGACGGCGGCGCCGGGGGACGGAGTCGAGTCGACGATGGCGGCCCACATCTGGCGGCTCGAGGGGCAATTGAAGTCAGGGTCTAAGGGCCCGCCTGAAGAGTTCGACCTCCAGGAAACCAAAAAATGAGAAAGATGTAAGGAAAGTCGCCAAAGAAAAGGCGTTGGGCGCAGCAGCGGAGAGAGCAGAGAGAGGAGCCATTTCTTTTAGGAAACCTATAGATAGATACCCGTTTACATGACTTATGATATGAGTATGAGCTCTGGCATATGAGACGCACAGCACCCTGACGGGACTTTGGCTGATTGCCCGTCAAATATATTTTCAAGCAGAAAAGTGCAATGCACGTTTGAGTAATCAAAGCTGACTGCCAGCCACTATCGTGCTCTTGCAAGGCTTTTTGAGTACACACAAACTGGGTACATCACTACCTGATTTGTAAATAAGTAGTAGTTTTGGCCAGTAATAATTTCCGTGAAAGCGACAACGCGATGTAACACCTTTTTGTGGCTTTGGCAGATAGGAATCTGGTATGTGATTGCCAATATTGGCTTTGCAAAAGCCATCGATGACCTCTCTCACAGAGAACAAACGGGTGGTCTGCAATTCAGTGCTAGAATCAGGTACGAATACTGTTTGGTCGCACCCTTCGAGTCTTCTTGACGCATCTTTAGGCATTCCTGAACTTGTGATACCTCATAGGGTCTGCTGTTGGAGCTGTTTATGCAATGTCATCTGGAGCTATCTGCACAGTTCGGTTGTTGTCAGGAATGTATTGGACGGAAAGTCGTGGCTTTTGATCGGCGGATGTGATATAGAAGGATTGATGGAAGGGGTATATATAGACCTTATCGCCGAGAAACAACTTTTTCTGGAGGAATTCAGACTTCTATGAAGGGATGCATTTTAGACTCAGAGATACTACCATACTGATGTTAACCAACTCTTGAGAGAATATACACAAAAAGAAAAGCCATGGGTAAAGAAGCCAGGATAGCAAGAAAGCTGAAATCAAATGATTCCGAGTCTCGGATCCCAACAATGACCTACACAGATGGTCGTCTTCTCCCTCTTTCCTCTTTCAGGCAACAGATTGAATAGCCGATGTTGCGATGCTTGATCTAGCTTTCTTTCTCCTTATATGAACCTTTCTTATATCTATTCGCTCTTGCGCTGGAGATTAAATTATGTAAGATACCATGTACACTTTGTGGTTGCTGTTCATCTTGTCTTCGTTTGCACTCCCCAACTATAGGGTCCAGTGATTTAAATAATTGTTTTCTTTCCGAGCTGTTGACACTGGTAGAGGCGATTGCAATAACGCGTTTGCTTGGCCCACCGCCCGCTAGCTCCGAGCTCATCTCAGATTTCACTTGCAGATTCAAAGCAGCCAAGTGAAGTTGAGTAGCTAGAAAAGGTGAGTTCTCTTAGATTATGGAGTGTAATACCAGTAGGGAGGGGAGAGGAATTGATTCGATATTGATAGAAGCCGGGAAATAGTTGCGTCCGGTATAGTCGGGGAATGTGTACGTAGAAGGAAGGGAGTCCGCTCCTTCCTATTTAATCCCCTAAGAGATTCCTCGTCTGATATTTCTCTTCTATCGACTCTCTCACTCACACTCTTTGCAGTCCGCCTTACCTTGGTCCTCTTCCTTTCTGCAGCCCGACCTCTTGCAGCTCTACAAGATTCGTACAATGGAAGACGAAGAGTTTCATCAAGCCAAAAGGCAAAAGACAACGCACGGCAAACAGTCACAGTAAGCACAAGGCGGTTCCAGATCTCGATTTGTTGCGCTCACAATTTTCCACAGATCCCCTCCCATGGCAGATGTCGTTCTCAGCAACGCCGTTGTGTCCGTCCAAGAGGACTGGCTTTGCGACAACTCAGAGTTCTTCAGAGTGTGCCTCCGTGGAGGTTGGAAGGAAACCATCACAAAGGCTGTCCACCTTGAACATGTTGACGCCCAGACCTTCCTACTCCTTGTAGAGGCTATGGAGGTTGTGCTGAACTCGCCCGATATCAAGATTCGCCACCACTTCGAGAAAGCGTCCGATCGTGTTATCTCCTTCCTCCCAGACTCCCAGCCGATCACAGCATTCTCCCGACTTGTGCGCCTTGCAGACTTCCTGCTGATGACAAACCTCTACTTCTTCCTGCGACGCGTATAGGAGACGCTCTGGCGCCGGTTACACATGAGACCAAACGTGGCCGAAGATGCGCGCACAGCAATCATCGAGTGTGGCGACGACGACGTCCTCGCGCGGATTAAAAACAACTGTGTCATGGTCGCTTCCCGGAAAAGATGAGGAAGGTCTTTATTGATACAAATAGTATCATACGATGGATCTCTTTTGGATTCTTACTGGATCAAACAAAAAAAATACAAGATGAAGGGGCTATAGTTGAAAGAAATGAGCGAATACGGGGCAAACGGATCAAAGCTGGCTAGCAAAGGAATGATGAAAGACGTGTTTGGTGGACCAATACTGAGAATAGAAGGTTATATGACTTTCCCACAGCCCTCCATTTCCCAAAGCGTGCCATCCACCAAGCCCCAGCGACCAGCATCGAGAGGATCCTCATCGCCGAAATCCAGTCCTGGGAGGTTGATGAAGTCATCCTGGAAGCACGATGAAACTGTTTGTCGCGCTTTCTCGTTGAGCTCCGTGCAAGCTTCATGGATCCGCTTCAGCCTGTCGTCGTCAGTGACCTTGATGAGGCGCTCAAGAAGGAGCAGCGCCGAATCGACATTGCTCTGGTCGGTCTGACGGAACGGGTTGTCCGGGCACGCGAGGTTGTTGACCGTGATGAACATGACGCTCGTGAGATAACCACACGATACCAACCTAGGAAGCGAGCCAGTTAGTCGCGCACACACGTCCCAGCTGAAGCGTCCAGAAATCGAAGTCGTACCATGTAAGAGCCGAGTCATTCTCGGGAGTCGCCGCATAGAGCTGCATGCACGTCCGCGACTGCGCGACCAGCTTGTTCCAGCAGCTCGGCAGACGAGCGGCCAAGTCGGACCGCACGGAGGGAGCCTGCCTCTTGGTGCAGTCGAGGATCTCCTGCATCCATTCCATGTGGTGCGAGTCCGTGTGGTGTGTCGTCGCGACGAGCTGGAGGTGGGTGTAGTGCATCAGCGAGATGCACCGGAGGCGTTCTCTGGGCACCATTCCCTCCACGAGGTGCGGCTGGAAGTCCATCGGTATCGCCTCCAGCCAGCCGTCCAGCATAGCCCGGACGCGAAGCGTATTTCGCCTCCGCTCGTGCTCCAGCAGTCGAAGCGCCTGTGCGGACCTGAGCATGGCGTGGAGCCGACCCTCGATGTAGGCCAGCTGGACGCGGCTGCGGAAGAAGTTGAACACCTGGCCCGAGAAGCCGCGGATCAGGCCTGCGCCGTCTGGGGGGTCGGGGACCGGGAGGTCCACGTCGATGTCCGCGTCCTGGTGGATCGGCGGCTGCGATGTCCTCATCGCCAAGTCGCGGTCGAGGATGAAGGCGAGCCAGAACACCCGGGTCCGCTGGAGGGCTTCCGCCGGTGAGAGGTTTCGATTCCCGGCCTTTGTGTGCAGCTTCAGGGTCTGGGCCAGCCTCATAGCCGTCGCGATTATGACTGAGGCCGGGCGCTGGTCCGCCGAACCGTGAAACACCAGGACCAGCCCCAATATGATCTGCAGGGCAAGAAGACTCGGTTCGTTGAACGCCAGCTGGTTCAAGACCGACTGGACGTTACAGACGTACCGCCGCATGTTCTGGGTCTCCTCGGGGCTGGAGGCATAGGTGTGCCGGCGCGCCAGCGCGAGGACAACATTGACGGCCGCCCATGCGTCTGGTGTGCGACACGCTGGGTGCGCGTACCAGTCGCGGAGCATCTTCATGAAGGCTCCCCTGTCGAAAAGAGGAAGGACTTGGTTCGAGTTTCGGAAGTAGTCTTCTATCGTCGGAAGAATGTGGGGGAGGGACGGCAGGGTCTTGACGTCGCCCTCCCGATGGACGTTGTGGCCCGTCAAGAATGCAGGGCAATCGTCGACCGATGATTCGGCATGGAGAGCCCATGTTTCATTTTCATTGGAGATTCGAGTCTGCGAGCCAGTTTCGCTGGACAGAATAGCCAGGCCCTGAGTGATCTGGAGCGGTGGTGGCCCGTGGTCGTTCTGCGCTTCCAGCTGCGCCACCCGGGCCTCCAGCATCTCGATCTTCTGACGACTGGAACTTATATATTATCAACTTTTATATCCGACTCTACGTGTCCTATAAATAGATAAGCATTCACTCACTCGTTTGGTTGAACAGCGGCCGCCCTCGTGGGGCCGGTGTAAGTGCATTCTGAGTTGTACAGCTTGCAGCCCGAACAGAGGGGCTGTTTCCTGTCGCATTTGATTTTCTTGTGGTAACAAAGGTCACAAGCCTAAATGAAATCCGGTGAGCCGTTGGTGATCACTCCATGCTTAAGCATCTGTAAACGCGAAAGGGGCGTCTACCTTCCTCTGCCTGGCTTTTTTGAGCTTCGTCGTTTCCATAGTTGCAATAAGTTTTGAGGACTTATTAATGTTGCCAATCGGTGGACTACCCTGCAGGCTTAGATTCGGCCAGCTTTATGGATTCTCACAGAAAGGCGTTTAAGACTATCAACTCAATGAGACCGACCAAGTGGGTGAGGAGGAACACAATGGCATACCGAAGCTAGGAGGACCTTAAAAGGAGAGGCCTGTTTGCTTATTAATCCGCTGACACTTACCTAACCCACGTGAGAATTACTCAATATCAACCCACATAATCGTACAAGATGTGAAGAGTCATTTTTCCTACATCGGTGCACCAGAAATCAAAAGTAGTGATACAGCAGCCGATGTTGCAACAAGTAAGGATCAGGCTTGATCAAGAAATCAAAAAACGACGTTGGCCTGATTCGAACAGACGCTCCCGAAGGAACAAGATTTCTAGTCTTGCGCATTAGACCACTCTGCCACAACGCCGACCGATCAAGTGGACATTAGTGGTTAGTCGATATAAGACACCTATAGCCTATTAGCCGTATGAATGGCAGCCTCCTAGATCATTCGTGGACTCAGCACTGCTAGATAGATCGCTAGCAATAACATCAGGTGTTTCTAATAGAATCCTGATAAACTACAAGACAGTAATATTCTAGTAAAATCGCCTCTAATTCACCGGCCTATAGAAGTTACTTATACAGAGACAGGTATATCTGAACAGAAACCGCGTCGCTGCGCTAGTCTGCAGGCCAAGCAGACCGTCGTATTGCAAATTGAGCAATAAAAGCTGGATGCAAACAACTGGCAGCGGGGACAGGCAGGAGAAACGAAAGCTTTCATTTCTGGCCACCAGCCTTGCCAGTGATGGTGGGTCTTGGGACAGAGACGCTTCTGTGGATGCGAATCTGCATAACTTTCCCTGAGCCGACGAACCGTCTTGTCTGTAGACTTTGCTTCCATATCTGTGGCACATGAAGTCTCTGACCACGCTTGCCGGCTGCGGTCTTTCTCGTACTCTTCTGCGGCGTCTGAAACTTCCTTGTGCCCCTCGTTCCGAGGCGTACCGCCCACGAACACCGTCGATTGCTGCGTCCTGCGCTCCTTCATCTTGTCCATGAACTTCTGCGAGTAGCTCGTGAGCTTGTTGCGGAGCATGCTGTCCCCTCTCCCTACCGTCGTGTCTTCTACCCTTTGCCACTCAGTCCACTTCCGGTAACGAAACCATGCAGCTCTGATATTTGCATACTCGTTGTCGTATTTTGCGCGCTCTGATGGCTGGCATAGAGCCTCGTACGCTGTCCGTGCTTGTGTCATGCTGTCAGTCATAGCACTGTCACGGTGGATTTTCTGGGGTCTTTCCGTTCGATCTGTACGCCACTTTTTCTCCAAGATTCCAAAGGCTTTCTGGATTTCTTCAAGTGTTACTATTTGATCAATGCCGAGGTCTTGGTAGTAGTCCGGAGTTGAAGGTCGTTGCATAATGAGTAACAGGGGCGACTTCGGGTCTTCGATTGAGAACAAGGTAGCCGAAGTTATCGTTACCTTGCCCTAGCCTCTACAAAAGAGAAAGGAGGAGAGAGGTTGTCGTAATTTTGAATGCTGCCACTGGTCACTTTACCTAGCAGGGGCTACCTGTATCGTATTTACGTTTCAGTAGTATCAGGACACCGTCCTTCGCGAAGTTGTGTGGTATCGCTAGTTCTGAATGCCGTCAGAATGATTGTTCTGTAAGTTATCTAGAGAACGGAAGAGCAGGAAATAAGTATATTACATGTTCGTCTACTATATAATGCACGTTGAGGTTGGAAGAACATTGCTCTTTGTGGCCAATTCAACTTGCATCTGGATTCTTCAAGACCCTAACTCCCCCACCCTATATCCGAACCACCCCCGCATCCAAACCACCCGAAATTCCCGCATTTCCCCTCCTTTATCAACACCACTACCTTTTTCAAACTATCATAACAATTACTATTTATCGCTAAATAACGCTATTTTTTTAGGATACCTTCTTTAACCCATTATAAAGTAATATTCCAAAGATAAGCTCTAATAGGCCCTCCTAGATATATAGTCTAGGCAGTATAGCCTCTAGGCTACTGCTTATAGATAAGGTATACCATATGCAACACTTTGGCATTAATACTTTAGTAGGTAAAGCAGGAATACTACCTTTAAAGATAGGCAGCACTTATCCTAGGCCTAGGAGGATAATCTAGCTGCCTATATATCCCTCTAAGCTTCCCTTAGCAGGCAGATCACCTATTAATAAGTAAAGGGCCTAGTAAAGCGTATAATAGGTAATAGGCATCCTCCTATAGGGAGGAAATAGATAGCCTAATTTATATAGTAAAATCTATTTATTAGAACCCTCTAATCTAAAGTAATTAATACCTAGTAATAGGCAGCTTATTCCCTTAAGGTTATCTAGGATTTCTTTTATTACCTTAGTAGTATCCTTACTATCTAAGGTATTTATCTATTTAATAGATAGAATATAGATAAGACTAATATTATAAAGGGTAAAGAAGTTAATAGGCTAGTGTTAGGCTTTATAATATTATAATATATCTAGAAAAAGCAGCTAGGATCTTAAGTATAAGTATCTATTATTAAGTATATATCTACTACTAAGAGCTCCTTACCCCCCTTACTTATATATAAAGGTAAGTTACTTTAGGCCTAGTAGTTTATATCTAACCTATCTAACTTATCTAGATATAAGGCTTAGTAATTTATAGTAATAGATAATAGCTAGATAACTAATAATACTACCCTTAAATAGCTAGAGGAGGTCTTTATTCTATATACTAGGCCTACCTAGCTAAAAGAGGCTAGACTACTAGTTCTTAATAGGTATTATAGCTATATAACTATTAACTTTATATAAAAATACTAGTAGTATTATATCTATCTGTTATTTCTACTACTACACACCTTTACTATCCTCTAGCCTCTAGATATAGCTGTCTTTAGCCTATTAAAGCAGGCCTATTACTAGAGGGTTAGATATCTAGATAACTAGGTAATAGATTTAACTATTACTAGTAAAAGGGTATTTCTAAAGTGTTATTTTAAGGCCTACAAGGTATCTATTATAGATATTAACATTAAGAGTAGCTAGAGGGCTACTAGGTTATAGCTAGTATCTAAAAGGCACCCTCTATCTAACCTACTAGTCACTAAGGCCTAGTAGGCCAGCCAGGCCAGCCAGGCTAGCTAGTAGTCTAGTAGCTAATAGTAAGATAAAGCTAAATCTATTATCCTATAGTTAACTCCCTATTAATCTACTAATCTATAGTATTAATTATACTAGTTAACCTAGCTAGGTAAGGATAGGTTAGATACCTATACTATCTGTTACTTATCTAGAAAGGTGTAAAAAGGATATAATAAGCAGGTATCTAAAGCAGCCTTTCTAAAGAGGCAAGTTAACTTATTATAGGCCTAGTTAGATAATATATAGTTATGTAAGAGGAAAAAGGTCTGCCTATTGCCTAACAGCACTTTTGCCACTATAGAGGATATAATCTGGGCGCAGAGTCTGGATGCCGGTAATATAGATAGTCCGGATGAATCTAGGGTATCTAAATTGCCTAGTGAGGCCGAAAGTTGCATATGGGTGGGCGGCAGAGATGGTGAAATAAGTGGTGATAGTGGTGGCGATGGTGGTGATGATGGTGGTTCGGATGTGGGGGTGGTTTGGATATAGGGTGGGGGAGTTACTAGATAGCTTTAATGAGAATTGAAGTCGCCAAGTTGCCAAGAGCTTGTAGAGATGAAAGAGTGTCCATATCGGGTTGTGCATTCATCTATCGGCAAAGGGAAGCCGCAACAAAAACCTATTACTGGTTCCATTATTGGTTCATCTTTGACACAGATTGCAGGTTTTCTTGTTCGGTATTAGAGCTTTTTGGTTGAACAATAAGATTGTAGAAGCGAGACAAGTCTTTGTGTCTGTGCTTTGGAACCACACAATAATTGCTGACCAATAGTCAGTCACTATAGAAAGACTGTGTCCGGTTCGAGTAGGTTTTCTGCCAACTGTCACAGAGTAATTGTCGTGACTGTCTGCCCGTTGGCTTTTTCCCAACAACTGTATATAAGACTGTCGGTGGCATTTTTGGACAAATGAAAACTGGTTGGTCAATCGACCTTGTATTAATACGAAAATTGCAAATTTTTCAAAGTGGGTAACGTTATGTCGGGCGCTTCTTTGAAATTCAAAAAAAAAAAAAAGGAACAGAAGACAAAACAAAACGATAACGCGTGATAGCACAACCTGGTTTCGATCCAGGGACCTCTGGGTTATGAGCCCAGCGCTCTACCCCTGAGCTATTGTGCTTGATCTAATTGTTAAGAATCCTTGATTCCAATATTTTCATAGAGGATAAGGTGGAGTCAAGTGTGTGGCGCACCTCAGCTTTGATTACGCGGACCCATCGTCAAGCTTGTCTTATTAAATGAGCTTTCTCCTTTAGATATGCTTGTGAACAATAGCCTATTATGCCATCACAACTCCCAAACCTCTTCTCCTTCATTCTTCTTCTTCTTCTCGGATTGGCTCTTGCTCTTTTTTTGGCCTCGGAATCTGACCTGCAAGATACCGAAGCTACATTGCCATCCGACTCAGCATCCAAGTCTGGTCCAGAAGAGTTTGTCAAATGGCTTGTCCTAGAGGACGTCTCTGTATCCAATTCAGACTTAGAGGACAACTTCTCCTTCTATTTATTTCTCTTAGCACGCACTACCAGTGCAGGCCACAACCTATTACTAGTTTTACTAACACATAGTAAAACCCCTACTAGCTACCTATAGGTGAGCCTAGGTAGCTGGATAGGCATTACCCATACCTCTAATAATACTGCCTTACTTAGTGCTACAAGCGATAGCTTTAACCTCTAGCCTATTAGAGATAACTATGATTAAGAGCTTAACAGCTTAACTCTCCTCTTATAACTTTACTTACACGCGCGAGGAAATAGGTCGCGGATTTGATATTTCCGAATTGTCAAGGGACAGGGCGCAGATTGAATTCTCATTTAATACAGACCGATGTCGCATAAAAATGACTCTTATCAAACCTATTTCTCAATGGATCCCAAATCTGGAGTATTACTGGCATCTAAGATCCACTCAACACTGCATGTCCAAAAGTCCACGTCCTACATATGCAGGAGAGACGTGGTTGGACATGACTTCGCAGTCCACTACTACACTATCTAATCATCGCAGAAAGTTCTTATTCTGTTGCTAAGATTTTGGGAGAATAAAGATTATTCGCAGAGGTGGAAGAATCAGATCAAATGTTCACTGTTTTGTAAACTCCTTCAAGTCACTACGCTCTTTGACTGCGTCAGCTGCTGGCCTTCCTTAGACCCTGGGCTCTGGAAGTTACTCGCTCGTTTTCGATGACTTTTCCCTCTTCTGTGCTGATCAACGCCAGGGTAAGGTTTTTCCCCCCGCCGGTCAGTGGTGTTGATATGATCAAATTGAATCCAGTCAGTTGCTACACCTATTTTCATTCCCTCAGAGTTCCATACTGGCGCCATTCTGACCCGAAACTCGACCATGGCCCAGCCTCCTCTGGCGGCTTTGAAAGCGACTGCCATACGGTTCAGGGACTAGAAGCCCCGCAGAAACGCTTTGAGTCGCTGCTGCGTCCAGCAATCTCCCGTTTGGAACTGACTCCATGCGTGAGCCGCTCCTGCTTCGTATTTCCGATTCCACACGGTCGATCGTGATGTCCCGATCCGCGGTCGTCTTGACACCATCATCTGTAGAGACGAGTATGCCAGCGAGGTAGACGTCCTCTGCCCCAACTGCCTTCAACGTCAACATCAACCATCTGACCAGGGCCAGGATCATAACCTCTGGAACTCGCCAAGCTATATGTTTTGGAGCGGTTGATCCGCCTGAAATAGTGCGGCCACTGTAGTTGACGAGGGTCCCATCGCCGCTTGATGAGTTGCCGCTATATACCGGCTGAGAAATTTTGGAAGCCGGCGGCTGTGTAGTTTCCTGTAGCAGAAACTCTTTCAACTCGTTGGTACCCTCATCCGGAGCTTCCAAAAGACTGTTCAAAATGGCCTCGTCTGCATACGGTATTGCGTTCCAAGCCACTGGCTTAAATGTAGCCTGAGTAGGTACCAGCATCTCTACGGGGATCGCCTCAAGATTAGTCCTCTGCATGTCTATATTGAGACCAAACGCTAATTGGTCGAGCTTGTGCTGGAAGTCGTTTATTGCCGTTGACAGATCGATTCGAGTGACCATGACGTTATCTTTGTCGCTGGATCTCGAGCGGGATCTCAAGAGCCGTTGATTCCCTTGCTTGGCCTTGCTCTTGAGGCGTCCCTCGATCTCGACGCACATATCAACTGACCTCCCGCTGTGTTAGAATGCGAAAGCCGTATGAAACACGTGATTATGCAACGGCTTCTTCTCGGTGTCATTCTCTGTCAGCTCCCATTCGAGACACCGTAGACCTATGCCGTCCTTGGCTCGTTTCTGTGTTCCTTTGAAAGTCCAGCTGTCAATGTATTGACGAGTGACGCTTTGGCGAGTTCCCATCCCACCAATTTCAACCATACCGCCAGCCCCTATGGTGGGTTGGAATGCCCTCTCGTTGGTTGCGAGGCTCTTACCTTGAGGGCCGTGGATAGCATGAGGCCCGAAGTACTCGGTAACCTGCACGGCGTGTTCCGAATCCAATGATGTCCGGATGGGTCTCCTGCGACCAAATCTACCGTGGGCAGGAGGCGCGTCTTCGCTCAGTGTGATGAGAACGTTGGCGTTGCTGAGCATGTGTTCCGGGGGCTGCTTAAAAGATATGTCGATATAGACGATGCCCGCTGGATTCTGGTTTGGCCAAAGCACCCCCCCCATCGCGTGTTTCTCCAACAATAATTGCACTCGATCTCGACTTTGCAAATGCTGCTCAAACCCAGTAATATATGAGAACCAACAGCAGCTTCTTCATTGAACCGTTCAAAGTCAGAACGGCCGAAACGACGAATACTCAGCCCAGGCCGTTGCTGATTGTGTCTGATGTTCAATCTCGGTCCAATGGCAGCATCTGCCCTCACCGAAGGGGAGGCGGGCTGCCGATATTCGTTCTCGACACAAATTCCGCTACTATCGTTTGAGTTGTTCCTCTTGCTCTTCGCCGCTGCCCTAAGAGCAGCGGCAGTGAGCGGCACCGGGTAGCCGCCTATGATGTCGTCTCGATACGCTGTAGCGGCGTGATCAGCTTTGCTCATTTTGTATTTCGAAGTAGCTAACAGGTTGTTAGCGGTATGGTTGAAGAAGAAAGAGGTTCAAGTTGGGAATGTTTGAGGCAAATTCAATCAGGCTCTGCGGTCTCTCAACGACTGGTGTTGGGAGGCCCGAATTATCACTAGGCATGCAGGATAGTAGTGTGTGGCGGAGGCCTGCATGGGAGATGCCCTTCGCTCATTTGGAAAGACAACTTCCCACCCCATGCTTACATGAAGCTTTACCGAAAATGGACGTCGGCTCTGACTATCCTGTTTTGGACACGACTCCAGCCGTTGGAGAGTGAGAGGACATCGCAACAAACCAGCGTGGCCCGCTAAAGTGGCTGGGGTCAGTACAGCCTGCCAGCTTTGAGGTAATAATAGGTAAGCTAGCTGCATGCACAGCCAGGCGCCCATGTCCTCAATCAGGTTCGGGTTTTCCGCAGTTCGGATGCTTGCGGCCTGATTGTTCCCAAGCAAGCCATACCGTTCCTTTCCAGAGATCTATCTGTCTACCTGAACACCACGCTACTCAACATCTTCCGCGTTTGAGGTTGCTACCTTCTTCGCGGTTCGTTTCGCATACACCAATCTTTGTGCTGCACGAGATACATTCGCCTTCGACAGCCAATATGGGCAACGTACGAGCCCAGATGCGAGTAGTACGAGGTCACATTCCACCAGAACCAGAACCAACCAAAAAGTCATCAAGGCCAGACGTGTCCTCTCTCAACGACAACCAACATGATTGGAAACATCTGTCTGTTGCGTTTTCAAGAGAGCGGCTCGGCTCTCGTCATATCAATCAACAAACATTTCAACCCGATGAAGATGTACCACGTGCACTTTTTGAGGCATATTCTGCAAGGGAGCAAAGTAAACAAGAAATCCGAGAGCTTTAGAAGACACAAGGATCAGGCGAAATCGAAAAAGACAAGGCGTCTGCGGAGACGAGGCGTTCCCAGTTCTTCCTAGATCTAGAACGGGCGCAAAAAGAATTCGACCATTGGGATGACCAGGCGAGGCAAATTTCTCTAGGGAGTGGTCGTAGAGGGTTCCCTCAGCCATACATGGAGTCGACCGAAAACATCAACCGGATGCCCCCGAGAACCTTCAATCACGCACCTTCACAACCAGAACCCAAGCTACCGAGCCCGCCACGATTCATACAGGAACCCTTTCCAGTTCGAAAACGAGAAGTGGTACGGAGAAGACACAGCATGGCATCTGAGAAAGAACCCCGCACCAGCAAGTCATCCCCTACCGTGGATGTCCATGTCAACCCCAATGAGTGTCGAGATGTCGCGTTACACTTGGACTTGGATGTGACCGGAGATGTAGAAGAAGAGCTCGAAGAGTTCTCAAAGCTCTGAAGAATAGGTCACTTTAATGCGGCAAAGCGATATTTCGAGGAGCATCTCGAACGCTGCATCGGCAACGCATACGTCTTGAATCAGTATGGTCAATTCTTGTTGGAGATTTCAGACGTCCATGCGCTCATCAAATTGGCGAGGGAGTACCCGTCAGAAGATGTAGAGAAGGTCGCATCAGCCAACTGGGTTCTGGCATGTGAACGAGCCCATCAATTTAATGATGATGTTTGTCCGCAAGGTCAAAGACGCCAAACCTTCAGAAATTGCTGCAAAACTGGCCAAAGCTGGACTCTCTACTGAAGTAAATTGCCTGTATTATGCTTCAATCAAGATTGCCTGACCAATTTTCAGCTGCAATGTCTCATCAACAACCTGCTTATTGTGGGCACAATAGAGGAGCACACCGCAGAAGAATTTGGCGAGCTGTATGCACATCTCCAGCATGAAGACCGCATTTGGGACTTCAGAGACCTGTGTTACGGGCTTCTGACCACCAGATCACTAGAGGAAACGATTCATTGCCTTTTCAACAGATATTTGTCCTCACAGAACGAGAATGCAACCGGGGTTACTCAAGTGATTCAACAGCACTGGGAAGGTCCTACTGGAGATGAAGTAACATCCTTAGCCTTGCTGGATATATTCACAGCGTTCACCATGGGTGCCCTGGAAGCTGCCAACAATCTGTACGAAGATTCACTAGCTGACTCCGAGGAGCTTCAGACCGCAAAAATGTACCTCCAGATCGCCCATCACTACGCCACTGGAGTCCTACGCCAAAATTCCCTCAACCTGAAGTCTCGACCCTACCTCCAGTGGGTTGTTGCCAAAGCTCTAGTGGAGAAGAACACCAGTACAGCCCGCTGCGGACAAGCTGCCCTTTGGAAGTATTTATCCAGTCTGCAAGGGGAAACTAAGGTCAGCTCAGGGGTGTTTTATGGACTGCTTTCTTTTCCGGACATTGTTTACTACACGCCAAAGCAAGACGAGGCTCCGGATTGGCAGCCGGATTCTTCTATCGCATTTTCCTACGAGCAGGAAAAGGCTATCCTCATGGTCGCAAGAAATGCGAGAGAGCTTGGCGATATTATGCTGGAAGCAGCTTGCCTACAGCAGCTGACATGTTCATCCCCGAATCCCGAGGTGCACCTAGTCGATTTGTGCAATTTATGGCGCTCCGTGGGAAATCGGTCGGGTCTGCTGAGAGCCTATCTTTATCGTTACATTTTGAAGCGATCGCCAGACGCCAGCAATGATTTACGAAGGGATCTGCTAGAGTTGGGAGATGCTGAGTGTTATGTCGACTTGCAGAAAACCCGATTCATGATTCTTCGGGCACTATCGACCAGGTCATACGAAAAGAGGTGTATCTCGAAAGATTACTAGACCTAGAAGATGAACAACGTCTCAGTCCGTCTGACAGGAGCGAGTTATCTTCCGAGGATCATTCTGCGCTCAATGATGATGACGACTGGCATACAATCCCAAGCCTGACTACTGTCAAAGGGCGAACATCGAACGAGGAAGAAACTTTATTGGAGAATGAACGGAAGTGTTACATAAAAGAGCATGAAGCTGCATTCTTCGACCCGCAGTCCCCGATAGATACCTTGTCCGTAAGGGGTGACTCTATGGAAACGAGCAAGGGCCCCGAGGCGGCTCAAGAAGAAAAGACTATTCTGAACTCCGACAGTCGAAGGACGAAGAAAGGGTTCGGAGACGAGGAGGGCATTATCAACGTGGTGGATAACGACGAGCAACGACGTGGGAAAGAGAAAATTGGTCAGTAAATTGTATTTGACCTTGTTTTTGAAATCTTGGTTATCAATAACCTAACACAATTTGACGAACGCTCCTCTCTCACAGTATACTTAGATAATCCGGATTTCGGTGAGATTGAGGTTAAGTATTGCGAATCTCACGTTGTTGATGAAGAGAGGAACCTGGAACACGCGTAGAGTATAGGTTCTGTTAGCATATAGGTGATACAGCCTGGGCAGGTGGGTCACGTAACTCACCGCCTATAGCAGTATTAACCCCTACCCTTGCCTAAGGAGGTAGGCAAAGGAGGTAGGCAAGGGTGCCACTAGTACTAGGCCCTTAGACAAATCACCACTAATTATCCTATTTTTGTGTGCACACGCAACAAAACCAGGATATCCAACAAACCGTAAAATCAACAGGTTCGCAGGTTAGGAACTATGACGCCCCCACTGGTTAGGCTCACTCATGAGAATCCACATGACCCACGTCCGAGGCACCTTCATTAGTTGACATATCCAGTAATAAAGTAAAGAGCAAGGCTCGGAAAAGCTTGGGGGACAAAAAAGCTTGATTCTCATACGATTCTCGTGCCCTTCTGACTTGCAGACCTATTGTCTTATAAGTTTGCGCTTACATCTTCCAAGACGCTCGCCTGGACTCCTTATTGACAATCCAGAACCCATTTCCGAGGGCTTGGATGAAAAGCTAGTTGGGAAGTAGCCCCAAGTCTTGCAGCCCGAGTAACAGGAATGCCCCCGAACCAAATGTTCCTCTCCCTTAGCTTAAATGATTGTCATCGATTTGTCTTCGAGTACATGTCCAAGACGAATGCTGCGATGTCAAGCTTATCAGTAAACTCATCGCTTGTGTTAGAGGCTTGTATTTGTTTCCCGTCCAAGCACCGACTTTTGGATACCAATAAGACCATGATATCGACCACATTCAACCAGCATCCACTGCACTCGTCCATTCACTCAGTACCCTGTCACTTTCAGTTTTATCCATTTCCTCGACTCAATGCGTCCATTCCATCCTCTTAACGATGGATTAACGACATGTATCCTTCCTTCTTGACCTCATGGCCCACCTCGGCAATGCAGCTGCCCTTGGCCCGGCCGAGCTTGTCATGACTATTGACACCCTCCCGAACGTCGGAACCACCGTTAAAACCGTTCCGTTGTCACCACCTCCGACCTCATCATCTTCTTCGTTTTTACATTTATATACTACAACATGATAAAACTACTTGAGAAGCGTTAGCTTTCTGACCAATCATTGTTGAATCGGAGTTGGCATGTCCCGCCGGGCCTTGATAATCAGGACTAGATCTGCATTGTAAACTGCGCTGGAAGAGATTGACGGGTACAATTCTTTGGATCAATGGAAGGTACTGACATAACCATCAGCTCGACTTTACTTATCTGCCGGCGGGTTGCTGAGCTGCAGACAAGTGGATTTGCGGGGTTGAGGCTTCGATACGACAGACCGTTATCTTGGTGCAGATCCCGACCTCCATTAAGCCGATCCATTTTCCCGAAGCCATCGGGAAAACGCCACTGCGATGCATGATGACCGACACGTCGAAATGGGGTCGACACTCGGTTAACGGCCGTAATGACATATTCTCTGGCGATTTATACCCGTCACTTCGAGTAGGCCAGAAATGTTCCTATTGTCAAATCAAGAGAGCCGTTTTCTTTTCATACGTATTCAATCTACTGGCTCGTCGTGTCTGCCTTCGAGACTTTGCCTACAAAGTAACCAAAATGATAACTCCCGTGAGTGTTTTCTTGGCCTCAAGGGGTAGATCCACCTTCATAAACTAACTCAGTATTCTAGAGGTGGAGGCGTCTCGTGCGATTCATCGCAGAGGACGATTGGAAGGAGTATATCGGAGAGCCGATTGATGAGAACGTGGATGGTAAGAATACCCGCACCGGCTCCAAAATTCGCCAAGTCGCCTAAGACCGTGTTAGTTGGAGCCGCCCTAGCTGCATCGATTCCAGTCTCAGCTCGTGTCTTTACCGGAACCTCAGCACTTGATGCCTTGGCAGAGCCGACATCAAGAATACTCAAAATCCAGAAGCTTCTACCACCTCTGACACGGAAGGAAATCGGCACCATTCGGTGCATCGGCCTCAACTACCGCAAACACGCCAAGGAGATGAACCTTGAACTCCCGGAACACCCCACTCTCTTCTTCAAGCCAGCCAGCTGTCTGAACGCGTCAAACGCGCCGCTTCTTATCCCTCACCAAGCAACCGACTTGCAAGCCGACTATGAGGCTGAACTCGCGCTCGTCATCGGCCGCGACGCAAGGAACGTCAGTGTCGAGAACGCCATGGACTATGTCCTGGGCTACATGTGCTCCAACGACGTAACGGCAAGAAAACACCAGTTTGCGGGTGCCCAGTGGGGATTCGGCAAGGGGTTTGACGGCTTCGCGCCGATGGGACCCTGCATCGTTAGCGCGAGCAGTCTGCCGGACCCCTCAGTCATCGAACTCAAGACCGTCCTCAATGGCGAGGTTATGCAAGAAGGAAAGGGGGACGATATGATCTTCTCCATTGCCGAGATTGTGGCTTATCTCTCTCAGGGCACGACACTGGAAGCAGGAACAGTGATCATGACTGGAACGCCTCACGGAATCGGCGTGAGCAGGAGTCCGCCGGTCTTCCTGGCGCCTGGGGATGATCTTCGCATTGTGATGAGCCACGGGCTGGGCAGTTTAGTGAACAAGGTGGAATACGAAGAGAAGCCCCAGAAGGAAACTAATGGAATGAGCGGGCATGTCAAGGACGTCAAGGTTAACGGTGTTCACTGATCCTATATTAAAGAATTGAAGGTGTAATACCGGTGGAAAAGGACTCTCAACAACTAAAGATAAAATATGCTACGATCCCACAATGCTTCTCAGCAGGTGCGATATGTCATTTTGAAAGGTCACTCGGGATGGAATCAGAGGCTTGAGCTATGCAGCGCTTCTCATCTGAATGGCAAGTCTTTAGGCGCGAATCGAGAATGCATTATTTGCTAGCCTATTGACAAAGCTAGTTGTACATGCATATGCGTGCGAACAGAGCAGCTCCAGGTGCACGAGTCTACCCTGCCCAAGCTATACTCAAATACTTGTTTGGTCATGCATGATGGTGTTAAGAACATGCTCCCACTGCAACAAGTCCCCGTTCTCAGGTAGAAAGAATCCCGGGTCATCCCAAGTCATCTGCGCGCTCGCTGTGCTATACGGAAGCCCCAGACCTGCCATCAAAGGATCAAAGTCGGGGCTCTCAACCGGCAGCTGTGGTTGCGTGGGCATCATATGACTCTGCCCAACTGGTTGCGAGGGGCGCCTGCCCGGAGAAGCGGACGCGAGAGCGAGAGGTACCACCGTGCTTGCCGGTGGTGGTTGTGACTGTCGGGCTTTCTTGATGCATAGCTCGACGATCTTGACCTCGGCCATGGCAAACTCGTTGAGCCACACATCGTTCCTTTGCATCTCGCAGTATGCTGCCAGATCCTCTAGAATGGCCTGCGACCTTCGCGAGTGGGGATCGCGGACGGCAATGATACCCAGGACTAAAGCGCTATTGAAGAGGTTGTGCGGGCCGAGGGTCCACTTCAAGCGGTCATTGAGAGGCTGGCTGAAGAGCTTGAGACCCATGTCAAGGTCTGCGCAAGCGGACGCGATGCATACGTCGTGGCTGTGCTGGTATCTGTTCGTGATCGATTGCCGGAGAAGAAACGGGCGATGGAGGGTCACCCGCGCAAAGTGATACATGCTATGCAGATGAAGTCTTTGCCAAGGCAAAAAGGGGAGGCGTTCGTCTTTGCTCGTGCCAGGCTCTTTGAGGTTGAAGTATGGTGGTAAACTGCCCCTCCAGGTATCAATCTCCTTGTCTAGTGTCAAGACTGTTTCGTACGACACGGTAAACAGGCCGAAACACTGCTCCTGGATCTTGCCGACGACGACAGCAAGTTCGTGGGCAAGACGGCTAAAGACACTTGCAGTTGGCTCTGACAGAGGAGCCTCTGGGATAGCCGCCGCTTCCTCATCGTCAAGGTCATCCAACCATACGTTGGAGGCCTGCTTCACCAGACACTGTTGGTCGACGATGGCGAACGGCCGTCCGAGAGCGAGGGCAATGGTCTTATCGAGCATATAAAGATTGCTCCAGAGCCGCCGTCTGGTCTCTGTCTCTTTCCTGGGAAGCCTCCACCTCTCGCCGTCGATGTGCATGCCCTGGGCTTGGGCCATGCGCATCGCGAAGCTAGTTGTCAACCACGATTCAGGCACACGACGAGTATAAATCAGGTAACGCGTTACTAGAACGCCGGCTCGGACGAGATCGGTAGATTCGCCATAGAAAGTCGGGGCAATTACGATAGCTCTCCGGGCAGCCCAGTAGAACCGCTGCGAGGTGTCGTAGACTTCGCGTTGGATCTCTTTGTTCCGCGGTCTTGGGCAATCCAGGAGCACACCGTAGGCCATAACAATGAACAGCAGTGCCAGCCAACGGAGGTCGATTGTAGCGAAATCATCAAACCCGAATTTCCGAGACCAGAAGTTTTCGTACTTGGCCTTGAACGAGGTCGGCTGTACTGCGTCAATTGCCCAGTTGAGCTCGTTCAAGAAGCAGTCCGCCAATCGATCACAGGTTGACTTCTTTCGCGGGAGCAACCCCAGCAACTCCCATATCTGCGAAAAAGGGCCACCTTCGTCGCGGAATGAATGCGTTGAGCCTGCTTTAGCCTTTTGAGACAGACCGGACGAGAGTTCCGGTGCGGGGGCTTGTATGATTTTTGCTGCGGCTTGAGGACCGAAGTAGGAGGAACCAAAGAAAGAGGGTGCATCGCGGCTCTTGAAGAGGTTGCCGACGAGTGACTCTGACTGTTGGTCTTGGCCACTTTCACCTTGCAGCCTTCCTCCTCTACTTGGGGTTGTCGAGGGGACTGTGCCGGATGCTGAAGGTTCACCGGGTCTTCCGGTGTCCTCCGGAGGAACAGCGACTGTGGCGGAAGGGGATGCTGGCGTTGCAAAGTTGACTGCGGGTGAAGCTATGGCTGTTGCCTGCTGACGACACATTTCTCTTCCAACATTGTCGTCAAGGTGACTGTATGAACAAGAAGAACCAACCCCTCGCCGCTCGCAGTTGAAACATGGTTGCAATCCGTTGCACTGGCAATCCGAAGTCAGTAAATCATTGCAAGTTATCCGCACCCTAGCAACCCTGTTCCACTAGCTAGAGTGACCATCACAGATCTAACAGCTCTTTGAATCACAGAGGAATTGTCCAGGCCATTGGTGCAGCTGACGGCAAATATGTTTGGAACAAATGCCGTACTCGGCACACTGCCCCAGCTGGAAAGTTTGCTCGAAAACGCAACCGTACCACGCCGAGCCCATGAAGGCAGTGCTATCTTACCCTCTGTTTTCGCCGATGACACGACTCGCACGCAACGGCATGCCTCCCGCGTTTCCTCTTACGCGGATTCGGGGTTTTCGGTGCGGTCGCAGCTGACTGGGGCGTTGTCGAATCCATTGAGACCAGGAACCAGTTGTGAGATCGGGAAATTGTCTCTCCCTGAGGAGAACGGCGATGTCGGGGTTTTCATGTCCCCCCAGTAGAGGAGAGAGGGTTGCTTAGCAAGTTTCCTCCACCCTTGGCCGAGGGGAAGCTTGACCGTCCCGCGCCATTAGCGTACCCAAGAGATAAGAAACATATGTTCCCCGACTCTTTGACTCCACTAGACCAGGGATAATCAACTGGCGCCGCGATAAGCACCCCAGTTTCCCGATGAGAAGGGGTTGGCGTCGGGAAATGGCCTTGTTTGCTAGATAGGCGAATCTGGTGACCTCACTGTGCTGTTGGCAGTGTTTGTGGATATATGTCCAATACAGGAAGCCGTATTTAGTTGTTTGAACATGTCCCCAGTCTCAGGGGTTTCAACAATACAGCATTAACTTATCAATCGATTCATCAGATAAGAAACAAATCGTACACGATTGGAGAATGTCGCTCGAGAAAGTGCCCATTGAGACCCAAGATGGAGATGTCGATTCACCCCAGTCGGCAGTAGCAGACTCCTGTCTCACCATTGACCCAGAGGCGGAAAAGCGCTTGCTGAGGAAGTTGGACCTATGGCTCTCACCGATGATGATTATTGCCTTCTTGGTCGCCTACCTTGATCGCAGCAATATCGGTATGTCTCATTGGGCAAACTTTGGTCCATCTTCAAGTGCTGATATGCGAGTCGCAGGCAATGCAGCAATTGCGGGAATGACGGAGGACTTGGAGTTGACCGGTAACAGGCTTAATGTCGCTGTGACGGTCTTTTATGGTAAAGCAGCAAACTGTTCAAACCCAATCCAAACATTGACTAAACTCAAAGACTATAGTTACATACATTACATTCGAAATTCCCGCCTCCCTGATCCTCAAGAAAGCTCGACCAAGCCGCCTCATTCCCTTCTTTATCCTCTCCTGGAGCGCCACTGTCGTTGGCTCAGCCTTTATTACCAACTACGCCGGCTTGCTAGCAACTCGCCTTCTTATCGGTGTCTTCGAAAGCGGTCTCTTCCCATGCCTCACCCTCTATCTCAGCACGTACTATAAGCGAGAGGAACAAGCGCGCCGGATTTCCTATCTCTTCGTCGCCGCCGCCCTGTCCGGCGCCTTCGGTGGCCTTTTGGCCTATGGCCTCACGAGTCTCCATGGAGCCAGCGTCCTCGCTGGCTGGCGCTGGTTGTTTCTCGTCGAGGGAATCATCTCTCTGGCCGTTGGCTTTGCTTTCATTGTTTTGCTGCCAGACAGCTTCGAAACGGCGAAATGGCTTACGGAAGAAGAGAAGGCCCTGATGCGTATTCGTGCAGAGCAATCCAGGGTATACCAGGGAGAATCGGACACGTTTGACAAGCAGGAGGTGAAGCTTGCCTTCAAGGACCCGAAGGTCTGGCTGTCGGCGGGCTGCCAGTTCTGCGCGAACACATGCTCGTTCGGATTCGGGACCTTCTTGCCGGTCATCATCCGCGGTTTTGGATACAGCAGCATCAAGACGCAGTTGCTGACTGTTCCCGTCTACATCTGGGCCTCTGCCGTCTATCTGACTGTTGCATACTGTTCCGACAAGCTCAACAAGCGGGCTGTCTTCATGGTCCCAATGGCTCTTGTGACCGCCACGGGATACGCTCTCATGCTGGGAGTGAGTATGAAGTCCACGGCTGTCCTCTACTTTGCAACTTTCGTTACCGCGACCGGAATCTATTGCGTCGTCGGCCTGAACGTCACATGGGTTAGCAACTCCAATGCAGGCTACTTCAAACGCGCGACGGCCATCGGTCTGCAACAGGCCATTGGGAACAGCGCGGGTATCATGGCGGGACAAATCTACCGCATCACCGCGTCGGACGGAAGGTACACGATCGGCCACGCGGTCTCCATATGCACCATTACCATTGCCTCTGTCGGGTACTTTACCATGTGGACTTGGTTGAACAAAATCAACAACAAGAGGGATAATATGAGCATTGATGAGAGGTCGCGGGAAATCGACCAGGGGAAGAAGGGTGACAGACACCCCGATTTTAGATATACTCTGTAGTTAATTTTATCGTAATGGGATGTAATGCAAATGCATCTCACACTATATTAAAATCTATTGCAACGCTTTCCTCTGTCTCTGTCCTTGGTAAAACATTCGTTTGAAGCCCCTGCATAGGTGTTAAGTGCAGTTGCGACTAGTTATGTGCCATTGCAACTACCTGTAATGTAGGATACTCTTTCATTCAGTAGCGAATATCTTGAATATTAGACCACACACATTGGGCTTAACAACTCAAGGATCGCCAAGCCTCTAGTTCTTTTGTACAAGATGCTGAAACCCAGTCTGAGTGACACGTTGTCAGAATTCATTGTTTACAATTTAGCAGTAGTTATGCATGCTGTAAGAACCAAGACAACTAGAGGCAATGTATATACATAGTAACATACCTTTGTCAGCGATTTCGATTCGTAGTTAGTGGCATTATCGCGAACAAGAAAGAAAACCTGATTTGCCTATAAATTCTGCATTCGGCACATGTTGGCAAACTCTTTGCACCATCCTTCGACGTTATCAAGTCCTTTTTGTTTCCCACAACCAGACAATCTCCAAATATCCATTTCTTCTGCAAACCCATCCAGATGTTATCAAACCCGCTTTAGAGCCAGCTGCCAAGAAATTGGTATCTGTAAGTACCGGTTTCGAGGACCCAGCAAACTCTATCCATGATGCAGCAGCCTTCGACTGCCGACCATTATGGGGATCTCGGGATTCAGCAAAGCGCAACGCTCTCACAGATCCGACAGGCGTACCGAAAACAGGCCCTGAAGTACCACCCAGACAAAAACGCTCCTGGTGAAATGATTAACGCAGAGGATTTTCGCAGGGTACGTCGTACAGGTCTACGTGGCCCCCTTTTCTGATGAAAGAAAACAGTGCATTGGCTCATTGACACTCGTTTGCAGGTCCAAGAAGCCTGGGAAGTTCTTCGGGACGAATTCAAGCGAGCGGAGTACGACCAGGTTTACGCAGATATTCACCGCGCATGGGAGAAAAGCGTGGGCTCGTTTGAGATAAGACGGCCCGCTAGGGAAAGAGAGAGGCTAATAAGAGCCAAAGCAATCTTTTTGCTGTTTTTGTTGTTGTCGTCATATTTAACGCCGGGACGTTTTGAGTAGGACAAGAGAGAGAGGTTGAAGCGGCGAGCCGAAGACTTCAACAAGAGAGGATCTTTAGAGAAGAATTGATTGATATCTTGGACGATCGTCGCCAGAAAATGGAGAACGCTGAATCGCTGAGGGAAGAAATTGAAAGAGTTCTAAAGGAGATCCTAGAAGTTGTTGTTGAGCCAAAGGATAGAAACAAACCTAGCACAGCCGGGAAGTAGTAGACGCAGAGTTATCAGGTAATGCTTCTTCGCTCAGAGAGATCTGATAGTCAAAAGCTTGCCTTATTATCAATACCCCTTTCAATTGTTTTTTTTTCCCCAAAGCTCCATTGCCCTCAATTGACATGGCAATCTCATAGATCATCGAATTGAGGTCTAGTATTCGATACTGTTTCATGAACACGTATGGTTTTGTGGCAGGAACTTATCACATACCCTCACAACACACGCGAAATAAGTGAAATCCGAACAGGACAATCATGGGTCATTTATATGGAATCTGGGAATCTTGGTCTTCGTGTGAAGGCTGAGAGCTGCCGGCATCGGTAGAACGGCTCTAGCTATGGCCCATCTCAAGGCTCAAAAGCAGGCGACTTTCATCATTCGCGGAGAAATCTGCAGATCAGGAAAGGTTTTCAGGCAAGCAGCTCATCAGAATCTGAATCCCGCTGTGGCGCAGGAGCTCACGAGGGAGGACGAAAAGGGCGATATGGGTGCTGTGGTTTACAGACAGGCCGGGATGGTAGACAATGTCTGGAGAGCTGTGGGCAAGCTCAAGGGCCAATAGGTATGTGTTGTTCACTGACGACATGTTGATTGGTAGATCCGTGCTTACAATTACTGCCTTGTAGTAGTAGTTTGTGATTCTTTCAACTAGTCTTGAACAAAAATGAGGGTTGCCGTTTTAATATGATACGCTCCAGTCTTCAATTCCCAGTGCGTGAATTTATGGCTTTGTACTATTGCTATTAGGCATTGTTTGTTGTACAAGGTCCTATAAAAAGCTTGAATTTGATTTGTCAAGTTGATTAGATCACAGAAACACATGTTTACTAGGGCATTTTCTATCCTTGTTGATAATCACAAAATAAAAATCTTGTCTTTGCCTTCTCTAAAAAATGTTAACATACCAATGTATTTAAACTTGAGGTTGTTCTCAATCAACACCCTTATAGTGTTGGATGTCCAATGAACCTGATCCTTTCTGGCCGTATAGTTCAGTGCTCCCCTGAATACAGTCCAGAGCAACCATGATTACACACAAGGCAGCGAACTTGTCTACACAAGCGGGACCATGGTTCCCAATAGGCTGTTTGTAAACTCTAACACGAGACCGGAAACAAGCGTGTGACTGTGAGGATATAGTAAGTGCAGCTGTACCGGGTTCTGGGAAAGTGAATTGAAGCTACACCTTTCTCCGACCCAACCCATCTCCGTTACCGTGCCAGTTCATCTTTTTCACCTGGACTTCACTTCACTTTTTCCCTCGAGCTCCTTCCGCTTTCCTTCTTGACTCTTCAAAAGGGTGCTCTCATATTCACTAATCTTTCTCTGGAAACCAAACGTCCAGATCACCGGCTGTCTTCTCCTTCACCTTCACACCTCTAGCAAAGATTACAAGCCCAACAACCCCCTTCTTTCTAAACTGCTTCTATTCAACAACCCTTTACTTCCCATCACAAAGCCTTTGCTAAATCTACCTCATATCAACCAACCATGGGTATGATTGAGATCACCCCCCACGTCGCCCTGGGCCCCCTGGACCAGATTGCGCCCCGGATCTACGTCCGGTCGGTCTTCATCTTCGACACCGACACAAGCTTCGAGACCGGCACAGCACTGGGCCACATCGCCAATCGATTCCATGCCTCTCTTCTCCGATGGCCCTTCCTCGCCGGCCAGGTCCGTCCCGCCAGCTTCCCTTCTCGGCCCAACGAGCTCGAACTCCACTACCGCCGCAGTCAGGACCTGGCCGACCCTTCCCAGAGGCCGGACCTCTTCGCCTACCAGTCCTGCGCAACCCTCGGCGGCCTCACCTACAAGGATCTCAAGGCCCAGGGCATGCCTCCTTTCGCCATGGACAAGGACGTCCTTTCTCTGTCCCCTAACCACCCGAAGCCTGGAGAGTCGTGCCCTCCTGTCACCTTGAAGGTCACTAGGGTTGGCAACGGCGGTCTGATTCTCTGCTTTGCGACTCACCACGCAATCTTTGACGGGGGTTTCATCAAGACCTTCTTGGAGTTCTTTGGCAGAGGCTATGAGAGGATTCCAGGCCAGACCTTTGTCCGCGAGCATATGAGTAAGTCCCCTCCCAATCTCATGGCGTTACACAAACCTTTACAGCTCGCCTTTACTAACGATGTGTCTCTTAGCCAGGCCTAGCATGAAGCAGTATGAGAGAACCAGCATTAAGAACTCTGTGTTCCCTGAGTATGACTTCACAACCGAGACAACTATTGTCTCTAGCATGGGCAAGCTTGCTGTGAAGAACAATACAACCCAGGCCAAGAAGCCAGTGTGTGTCCTCTTTCAGATCCAGAACTCAACCCTCAAGAGGCTGCACAGCTCTGTCCTTGCTGAGCTCCGCGACAAGCATGGTCCAGACGCCTTTGTCTCCATGGTCGACACCCTATCCGCCCTCGTCTGGGTTTACACCACCCGCGCGCGCCTCCCCCACCTTGACCTCGACGACGTGACGTCCTTCACCACCGCCGCCGACGCCCGCCCTCGTCTCTGTCCTTCCTTCTCCCCCGACGCCTGGGGCAATGTATACACCCAAACCAGCGCCAGAACCAGCGTCAAGGACCTGGTCCAGATCCTAGGCAAAAGCAACAGCAACGGCAACTGCATGGCCACAGACACGACCTCCGCCATCGCCGCCGCCGCCTGGCGCATCCGCCAGGCCGTGGGCCAAGTGTCATCGCCCGGCTACATACCCTCGCGGATCGCCCTCGCCGCCTCTCTTGCCGACCCGACCATGGAGGGCGCCGCCTTCCGCAAGGCCCTGCGTCCCGACCACGCCGGCCTGGGCTGCAGCGTCTGGGTCCACATGGGCGCCGACGTCGACTTCGGCATCCCGGGCACCACCGGCGACGGCGGCAAGGCGGACCACGTGCGCAAGACGTGGTCGGCCAGCGACGGGAGCATGAACATCATGCAGCGCCGCGGCGTCACCAAGGGCGACGCGCCCTGGGAGGTGCTCCTGGCCCTCCGGGAGGACGACATGGAGAGGCTCTGCGCCCCGGGCGAGCTCGGCCGCTGGGCCAGCTCATGGTGCGCTTAGAGGGATTCGCTAGAGGGAGGGAGAAAAAAAGACGCTTTGATTTTGGAATTCGCCTTTTTTCCAGACTTGTTTTGGAGTTTTGGAGTTTTGGTAATACAAGGGGGTAAGGGAAGGGAAGGGCAAGATTGATACCCAACTTTGTGATTGTGTTGGGGAGTTTTACTACCTAGATACCACGAACGATCGATCCCATTAGAGTCAAGATACCAAGAATTCGGGGTAGGAGGCACCGGAAAGCCAGCTGCCTAATGCAATGAGAACATGATTCACTGATTACACACCTTGTTGACCTTTGTGTTAGGCGTAGCAACGACTCTAACTCCCCCAATCCCATCAACCAACACATTGTAGAGAGAAATGGTTGTTCGGTCTTCTATCCAGTCTTCCCGGTTCAGTTCTTCCAGCGACTGTGTTTCTTCCATTTCAATCACGAGCAAGGCCGAGGTAGCTAGCCCATTGACGAGTGGTAATGCGACCATGAACACGGCCAAGAGGCAAATCACTTCTACTGACAGCAGGCTCTGCGCAGCATGTCTGTGACCATGGTTACATCATAGGGCGAGAAGAAGCAGTCGAGTCTGGGTTTGGTTACTTAGACTCAGTCACCCAGACTTGATCAAAGCACGTCACATGTCATGGCAAAGACATCAGTGTCATGGGCCAAAGGTTCCTTATTGGCTATCATGCTCCTTTCCAAGGAGTTCAATCTCAGTATTGGGCCCTCCATCGGGCGACGACCAACGACCAACCTCCCACCGGATCCGTTTCCATCTGTCATTTCAACTGAATTTTCAAAGCCGCATACCACCACCACCGCCGGGCTATCATTTTCGAGTAGTAAGCCTGGGTAGACCTCCCCGTCGCGAAAAAGAAAACAAAAAACACGATTCCGTCGCGGCCGGTGACCATATCCGAATGTGTTTCCCCTCCCTGATTCTTTTTTTGATAGATCGTACACGCTCGAAGACCATACACATAGGTAATGAGTAGAGAGAAGAAAGTTTCCCCGTAGAAAGAGACCGCACTGAATTATCCTTGCCGCCTGCAGTTTAAAACCACCTGCAGGTCCAAAGAGAGTTTCGTTTGCTGACAAAACGCAATAGCTGGCGACGTGCTTGTGGGCACCGAGGCCTTAGCCGCTTCTCCCCATGTCGCAATGACGCGGGTGAGATGGCCGTCGACCACCACCTTCCTAGTGGTAGTTTCCGCCCCAGCCGCCGCGCTGCTGCTGCTGGTTGCCGCTGCCGTAGTATCCGCTGCCGTAGCCGCCCTGCTGCTGCTGGCCGTAGGAGCCGAACGGGGCGCTGCCATGCTGGCCGGTGGTGGCTCCTCCCATGCCGTAACCACTGGATCCGTGGAGACCGTGACCCTGCAGGTGGCTGGGGTAGCCGCCGTAACCGCCCATCTGAGAAGCGGACTGGGGCGGGGGCAAGCCCGTCTGGCCAGAGGCGGTGTTGGTGGCCGAGCCGGGGCGGGCGCCGCCAAGAGAAGGCGAGGGCCCCGCGCCAGGCTTACCGTCGCCGAAAGGCTTCAGATCGTCGTTGGCGGAAGCGGTGTTGTTGGGCTGGGCAGTGCTGTTGAACCCCTGTCCGGCGGGGCTCTGGTACGAGGAAGAGCCGCGGCCAAAGGTGTCCTGAACACCACCGAAGCCACTGCCGGCGAGACCAGGCTGGGCGCCAGACTGAGCGGAACCGGCGCGGCCGCCAAAGTCGCCGCCCGCGAGGCCGGAGCTCAGACCGCTGTCAGCGCGGTGCAGAGAAGACTGACCGAAGCCAGCAGCAGGGGACGAGGCGTGGTCGTAGGGGCCCTGGGGCGACATTCCGTACGGGTGGCCGTAGACGCCTCCCTTGCCGTAGGGAGCGCCGCCGTATCCTCCCTGGCCGTAGTGACCGTAGTTCATATAGTTCGAGTAGTAGGCGTTGTTGTAGTAGGGGTGGCTGTTGTAAGGGTAGCTCTGCTGGCCGTGAGACTGAGGCTGCGAGGCCTGGCTGGCCGCCTGCTGGCTCTGAGCGGTGGGGTTCGGGGTGGTGTGCCCGCTGTTCTGGGCGTCGTTGGTGACGCCGCCGTAGCGAGACTGGTTCTGGAGACCGCCGCTCTGAGGGTACTGGCTGAGGTTATCAGCCTGCGAAGCATTGTAGCCGCCGAAAGACCTCTGCTGGGAAGACACGCTGTCCTGGTGTCCCTGAGCGCCCTGCTGGCCGTAGGGCTGGTTGTAGTAGTTGTAAGGAGGGCGGTTTTGTTGGTCGGCGGTGTAGTAGGAAGAGTATTCGCTGGGCGCGGAGCTGAAAGCCCCGCCGGGCTGCTGGTTCTGTTGCGACGGCTGGTTGGGGAAGCCGTCGAACTGGCTCTGGGAAGCCGAGGGGGGCTGGTTCGGCTGGGTGAAAGGGTCGATTGACTTCTGGGGGAACGACGACGGCTCCTGAGGGCCGGTCTGTCCGAATCGGGAGTAGGGTTGGGCGGGGGCAGCACCAGGCTGGGGGACTGGAGGCGGCGGGTCAGTAAGAAGAGAACCAGGCTGCGGCGCCAATGTGATGCGGAACATACCCTGAGCAGCGGGGGCTTGGGGAGCAGCGCCTGCGGGTCCTGCGAAGGGGGCATTAGCAAAGTCGACGACGTTGCCGGTCGGAGCACTTGTACCAGTGGGTGCAGCGGCCGTAGCAGGAGGAGGCAGGCCCGGGGCGGGTTTCTGGGCGCCGATGGCCTCGGGGACGGGAGCTTGCTGGGGAGCAGGGGGGAGAGAAGTGCGAGGATGGGCAACGGGGGAGTCGGCAGGAGGCTGGGTCCTGGTCTCGGGCTCCTCGCGATCACCATCAATGTCGTCGTCCTCGTTCAGGCTGAAAGCACCAAACTGAACGGCAGCGCGGTCAACCTCGCGGTTGCCAGGCATGCGTACGGCTTCCTCCTGGTCAAGAACGCGGCGTTGGTAGCTCGGAGTACGGGATCCTCGCTCGGTGGTGGCCTTGATGGCGGAAGCGGCGAATCCGCTGTTCGTGGTGGGAACAGCGGGGCGGATGGGCTGGTGTTGCTGTTGCGAGGCCGAGATCGGGGTCGCGGTAGCGCTGGCAGCATTGAGGCGAGGATCCCAAGAGTCGGCGGCAGTGCTCGCGACAGTAGCAGTAGCGGGAGGATGCGATTCGTCGACAACCTGTTCAAGATTCGTCTCAGTGAGTTGGTCCTTGGATGGCGGCAGAGCCACTTCGGGTTCGATGACGGTTGGTACTTCTGCAGGGGCTGGTTCTTCATGAGCTGGTTCGGCGGGAAGTTCGGGAGTTGGCTCGGGCTGCGGCTCCGGTTCGGTCTCAGGTTCGGGTGTAGGTTCGGCGGCGGGAGCGACAGGAGGCAAAGGTTCGATGGGCTCAGCGGGCTTGGGTGCGGGCTCTTGCTTGGGGGGCTTCGGGGCGGGCTTGGGGACGGCAGTTTGACGGAGCATGCTGGCCCACGTCTTGGGAGCAGGACCGGCAGGCTTGGGGGCTTCGGTCGCGGGAGCTACAGGCTTCTCGGTGGTCTCCTTGGGGGCCCAGGGGTCCTCGGCAGGCGCGTCCTTGACGTCTGTCTTGGGGGTATCCCATGCGTTCGACTCCTCGGTGGGGACGGAGAGCGGCTGAGCGGTGTCCTTGGCATGCCGGGTGCCGTTGGGGGCTGCTGTGTTTGAGGGCCTGCCCCGACCACCACCGCGGCCTCCTCTGTCGGCATTTCTGCCGCGGCCGCGACCAGCGTCGGCGACGTTGCGTCCGCCACGGGCAGGTCTGGCGCTGGATGAGTCGATGTTGGAGGCTGCGGTCGTCGAGTCCTTAGCCTTGGAGCGGGGGGCCTTCTTCGTCACCTCACCCCATTGAGAGATGGTGCCTGGAAAAGAGGGGAGGGAAAGTTAGCAGAGTGCGGGTGAAAGGTCATTGGGTGGTTCAGGGTGGGCGGGCGATGGCGGATGAGGGCGAAAGGAATTGTCGCGGCAAAGGGTCGATGGCATGCAGTATGGGTGGATGAGGCGTGAGGTGTGTGTGCGGCGGCGACGTACCTTCAGCAATGCGAGTGACGGCAAGATTCTCGTCACCATCCGTCTCTTGAAGAGCGTAGAGGATATCCTGCTCTGACCAATCGGGGAAGAGCTCCTTGATGAGGGGCGCCTTGGATCCGTACTGCTTCTTGAGCTCGCCGAGCTCGCCTTGGTCCTCGAAGGAAGTCGCGTCGTCGGCATCCATTTTGGAGTCGTACTTGTCGCCATTAGGTCTGGTCGACGTGCGACCGCCCCGGCTTGCGAAGCCACCTCTGCCACCGCGTCCAGAACCTCTGCCGCGCGAAGCGGCAGGCCGAGTCTGTACCTCAGACATTGCTGGGTTTCTTTGTATGGGGGGGTTGGGGGGTTATTGTTTCCACGATGTGGGAAAATAAACGGAGGAATCAATTATTTGACTGTCCCGTATCGACACGACAGCTTTGGTGGGGGGCGGTGGTTTGGATGGTCTTTGCGGGACTCGAGCGGATGGTGAGGGGGCAAGGGAACAAAAAAAAATAGGAAAAGAAAAGGGTGCCGCAAGGTAGGAGAAACGACGTCGTTGCGGTCGTGGCTGACGAGACGAGACGAGACGAGACAAGTTGAGGTTTGGTGGAGGAGGAGGATTGTTGGTGGGAGAAGAAGAAGGTGTGTGGATGGTGGATGGGGTTGGAATGTTTGTGCAAAGACGGACACGGATGCAAATGCAGGTAGGTAGGCAGGTAGGTAGGTAGGCAGGCAGCAAAAGGGAACTGGGGAAAAGTTGAAAGGGAGGTTTTTTTTTTTTGTTCCTTTTTTGCTCAGGTACCCAGTCCAACCCAGTCCAGCTGTTGGCTGGTCAGGTACCTGGTCACCCAAGTAAGGTGGGCAGGTACATGTACAAGAGCAAGCACCCTGCTAGAAACCCAAGTACCTACTCTGGTTCCTAGGTAGGTAGGCACACACACACACACGCACTGAGTGGGCACGGTCGCTGGCTGTATGTAAACTACCTTCACCCAAGGTACGGATACGTGGAGTGTAGTACACGTAAGGGACAAGCAAGCATCAGTCTGGTTTGGTTCTGGTTGGTGACTGTTAGTTGGAGGGCTGGAGGCTGTGGGCTTGCGGCAGCGTGGCAGAAGCATAAGCGCAGTGGCAGCAGTCAATTGGGTCGCAAAGGGTCAAGGTCCGTGAGTGTGTGGAGAGAGGGAAGCATAGCAATGCATGTCGCAGCAGCAGCAGCAGCAGCAACAGCGAAATCGCGAGGATGTGGTGGTTTTTTTTTTCTGGGGGTTTGTCCTTTTTTTTTTCTCTCCTGGTTTTTTTTTTTCTTTATCTCTGTTTTGTTCTGTTTTTGCGTTGTTTGCAATCCTACACACCGCTTTCTCTGACCTCGAATTTCCCCGTCGAATTAGACTTGGTCTTGACTACGTAGGGATGTCAGCGTCTTGTGTATCCGTACGTGTAAGTAAATGTGATGTGATGGATGTGAGGGCGAGGGACATGACGTGAGGTACGGATACTCAGCAATGAAAGAGCTGCCAGGCAGGCGAGCCAAGGTCAGACGGTACGTACTCAAGCATTTCTTGCACTGGGACAAGTACGGATACTGTACCTTGGTATTGGTTGGTCTCCTGTCGTCTTTTTTTTTTTGCTTTTCCCCTTCTCTCTCTTTCCTTTCCTGTGGCTGCCTCGCATCGTGCAGCGGACTGCCATCCGCTGGGTGGTCAGGTCCAGTCAGAGGTCCAGTCAGGCTAAGGTTTCTGGGGCCCGAGCAACCCGCCTGCAGCGAATGACAGCCCCTTTCGTCCGCATTGAGACTAGCGTCGCCAGCTCTCAGCGGGCTCATGCAGATCCACTGCCTCAATCGTCGGGCTGAGGATGTAAAGATACATCATTTCGCCACTTTCTAAAGCTAGAAGCAAAGTATCCCCAAGTATCTAAGCGAGCTTCGTTGTGCATGAGGTTCGTCTGGCAAAGACTACTACCTAGTACCGTCCGTAGCACTACCCAAGACCGGTTCTCAAGAACCAAGAACCTCTATCCTCTGCCCGGTACCTGACTTGGGGTCCCTCCCCTCCCTACCTATCCGGAGCCTGTCCTTTTTCACTTTGCGGAGATGGATGAGGTAAGGAAGCGAGGTCATTATACGCTACTCCGTACTTAGGTAGCACAATGTCGAGATGAAGAATGTTGCAAGTTGCGTGTAGCGCAGCGCCCTGCTTTGCCCGTTTTTCCATAAAACTACTGCCGATTCTACTGAGCGCCTGAATGCCATTGTTCGACCCCGACTGTAACCCTGTGTTTACTTATTTTGGCAAGCTGCATCCTAGGCTGAGCCGCCCTGTGCGTCAGAAACCACCTCCAGTCCAGTCCCTGTACTGACTGAGGGCAGAGCAGTCAGCCGTCTTGCCTGTCGTAAAATCATCTACCTACCTAAATAGTAACCATGTAATAGTATCCGTAGTCTGCATCGTACCATGTAGCCGTGCGCTGTTGCGAGGGATCGCGCCATCGGCTTGCTTCTCTCCTCGGCTGCGTCTTGGATTTCTCGACGGAGCTCCCCTGGTCGTCATGTGTCGTATGTGCTAGGGCCGAGCTGGCTTGCAGGGTATGCTCAAGCTGGTCACGAGGCTGTATTCGTCACCCAAAACCGACCCTTGCCCGTTAAGGTCGTCAGTACATGGGGAGGTCTGATGTTGCACCGGCTGAACACAGCAGGAAACCGTCATTTCGCCCTGATGGAATCGTTCAATACGCGCCTTCATGAATGTACTTTGTACCTACCCAGAGCCAGCTCCATTCGGCAGTGGAAAATACAATCTCCTTTCCGGATCCCGGCAGGACCCGGAAATAATAGCCCCCGCATTCCAGAGATACGTACCCATCATCAGCATTAGTGTACTATGTACTCCGTAGAAGCCTGAAGTGTCAGATGTCAGGGGATTACTCCGCACTCTCAAGGTCACATGACCATCAGTGGCATGACAAGTCCGGGCTTGATGGGCAACATCACTTCATGGCACGATGATGATGCGTAGGAAAGCAGCACACCACAACACCACCGCATACTAGTTGGCGAGATAGTTACAACCCCCCTTCCATCCTCCGACACCTCTGGCAAGCACACACACTCCGGGTCGTGGACATCAGCCCGAGATAGCCAAAGGCCATCAGTGCTGCTGTTCTTCTTCGATATCTCGAACCCCACCCACATTCCCACCATGTTCACCACCAAGCCTCTGAGCTCGATCAAGAATGTCATTCCCTCGATCCACCAACCCTTGCCTCTTTCCTCAAAAGATTCAAAGAAGCTCCTCGACGTCTTGAAGACATCCTTCCGTCACAATCTCGACAAAGAGCATGGTTACGCTCCCGAAAATGCCGACTCCTCCGCCTCCAAACACTCTTCCACCTCTCACAACGCACATCACCGCCCGACTGACCGCCATCTGCGCGCAATCCTCTCCAACCCCTTGTTCAAGAACGCCATCCAGCCCAGCAATGTGTCCTTCACAACCCCACGAGACCCAATGGACGTCTTCGACGAGGCCGTGTCACGGGGCATGATGACAAGAAACGCGGCAACCGGTTGTCTGCGCACCAAGCGCCAGCAGATTCTCCAGTCGAGCGCCATTCCGGCTCATGACGCTATGAAGGCATCCGCAGCCGGCTTGCGGGTGGTTCAGTGGCTCAGGTCGTCCGGCATGGAACGGACACTCGACTTCCTCAAATATCCGCACTTCGTCCATGAGCTCGTGCCATTCATGGTGGCAGAAGGGTTGGACGAGGTAGCATGGGCTTGGGCAGACCGATTGATTCAGAGCGAAGGCCCGGCAGAGGACAACAGCAAGATCGTGGGGAGCCTGGTCGCTGCCATGGTAGCGGCCAAGTCGGACGTGGTGGACAAGAACCTCGACACGGCCTTTTCGGCGATGCTCAGAGCGGATGCAACATGGAAGTCGTCTCCTCGGCAATCTAAGATCCTGCTGCGTCCTTGGCAAGTGCTGTCCTGGAGGTCGACCGTCGACGCATGGAAAAGGCCTCTGCCGTCAGCTGCGCTCTTTGAGTTATATTTCGAGACTGCCAATCGCATCGCGCGGCCGTTGCGACTTGATCGCGCACACTTGGAGCTTCACCATCCCACCAAACCCAACCATGAAAGCGCCTTGAAATTCCTACAAAGCGATCGCCTGCCCATCTCAGAGTCCAACACCGGTCCGGTCCCAAGAGTCATATATATGGGCATGGATGCCGTCAGCCACCTAACGAGACTTGGTCGGACCGACGAGGCCGATGATCTCCTTAACCTGCTCCAATCTAGATTCTCGGAAGAGATTCGGCAGAGGTTCCATTCTCGTGGCATCGCGCTCATGTGAACGGCCTTGCTACGCTGACATGGGAAAGCGACCCTTCACCCGTCATGCTGCGATGCACAATGGCCTCGATTCGATGTACACGCCTTCCCAGTTTGCCATGGACATTAAGAGATACCCGCAAATGCACACTTGATTTCAAACTAGGTCTCGGAGCAGTGTCTTTTGATATTGAAATGATGGCGCGCTCACTGCGTGCCCAAGGTGTGACTCACCTCGCTTTTTGCCTGCAGCTTTCATGTGTCTTTTTGATCTGCTAGCATTACATGACACCTGGATACGCTCCCCCTTTCAGTACAAACGTGGGGAAGAAACAATCACAGGACAGGCAGCCAGGCCAGGAGTGACGGGGGAGATTCGGAGGCAAACGTCACTAGCGTTGGAGAAAATTCGCCCTCGCGACCCAGCCAAAACAGTCATCAGGCCTTCTTCGCGACACGCACCAGAATCTTGCCTGTGGAGGACCCCTCCTTGAGCTTCTCGTACGCCTTGACAACGTCCTCAAACTCAAAGGTCGAGTCGACGACGGTCCGGACCTTGCCCTCGGCCATCCACGCGGCCATCTGCGCCAGGTCGTCGTGCGAGTTCTTGGTGACGAAGGGCTCGAACTTGTTCTTCGCGCCGCCGAGGAAGCCCGGCAGGAGCAGGCTGGGCACGAGGGTGAGGGGGAAGTTGCCGCCGACGTGCTTGTAGCGGCCGCCGGGCAGGAGGAGGTCGTCGGCCGCCTTGTACAGGTTCCGCGGCGCGTTGCCGATGTTGTCGACGATGAGGGCGAAGACGCGGCCGCGCGCGCGCAGGGCGGCGACGACGTCGGCGGTGCGGTAGTCGATGACGTCGTCGGCGCCGAGAGAGCGGCACAGGTCGACCTTTGCCGTGGAGCACGTGACGGTGACGCGGCAGCCGACGGCCTTTGCGATCTGGATGCCATAGGTGCCGCAGCCGCCGGTGCTGCCGTTGATGAAGACCTCGTCGCCGGCCTTGGCGTAGGGCACGATGGTCTGGTAGGCCGTGAGGCCGGCCGTGCCGACGCCGCTGGCCTTCTCGAGGTCGGCGTCCGCGGCGCCGGGGAGAGCGGCGACGCCTTCGCGGCCGGCAATGATGTACTCGCTCAGGGTGCCCTGCGCGGTAGCGAAGTCGATGCGGCCGAAGACGGCGTCACCGGGCTTGACGTCGGCGATGGCGGAGCCGACGGCGATGGCGTGGCCGGAGTAGTCCAGACCGGGCGTCCAGGGGAAGGTCATTGAGGCCCTGGCGACGAGTCCGAGCTCCAAGAACTTGTAGTCGACCGGGTTGATGCCGGCGGCGACGACGCGGACGAGCACCTGGTCCGGCTTGAGGGCGGAGGCGGCGGGCGCGGGGCCGGTGGCGAGGGTAAGGCCCTTGATTAAGGCGCCCGGGCCGGGCACCTGCCAGCGGCGCATTTCGGCGGGGGGTTCCTGGGCCATGGTGGCGGTCGGCGCTTGTGGGATATAGTCGGTGAGGGATGGATCCACGAGTGAGTTTTCCGCTGAGATGTGGTGAGCGTTTGTGAGCGTGAGTGAGTGTTTGCGCGCGCGCGCGGGTGTTTGTGTGTGTGTGTGTGATGTTTATGGATGTGGATGATGCTGAAATGACGAGACCTACGGGGGGGCCGGGATATAAGGCTGGCCCGTTTGTCAATGGCGTGCACCGAAGTGTGGGGTGTGCGAGACACTGGCGGACTGGACCGAGGTCGTCTTGATCACGTGCCGATACCGAGAATCAAAACAAAAGTGTTCGGCTTCGCTGTAGTAGTAGTAGACCCGTTCAAGGGACTCGATGCCTGATGAAGATGTTCAATGATGTTTTCCATGGCATCAACAACCTGCGACATGATCAACGTAGCCCTGGTGTTTGTTTCGCTTGGCCACACGCCTTCGCATCGCCTTGCCTCTTGCACGCCCCCTGAGTCGTGTGCGATGGCTACAGGGAAATGCCTTCTTGGGGGAGCCGGTATCTTTGCTGTGTGATGTTGATTCGTGGTCGTGAACCCCACCGTCGTATGTCCTATGTATCGTCGGCCTAAGCATATTAGCGTACCACTTCAAGAATAACTAGATGAACGGAAATCGATTGAGTGTTCGTGCGTTGAATCCGATGGCATCTGCAAGGTAGAGGACTTGGCGGGCTCGATCAAATACCAGACACCAGTAATGTCAGGTAGTCTTCTGCTGGGTTCAGCGAATAGCCTTTTATGTTTTGTAGGCTTGTAGCAGAGTGTTCCTATGAATCGCCGTCTCAGCGACACCTCCCAAAGGTTATTAGCGAATGGAAACTATCCGCCTTGAACGAATGGCCCTGAAACGGTCTCCCGGATGACAACGGGGGGCTCTTATTGTAAAAGGCTCAAAGTCTGAGATGAGAATTGGATAGATCCAAGACGAAAGTCATATACAGGTCATACACTATTACCCGTTCGCCGAAAGATTCACGTAAAAACTCTTGAGACACACTGTTTGAGTATCAACAACGGAGTATTGGCCCTCGCTTCCGTCATGACAACTATCCGAGCTACGCTGCTGGATTCGCGGCTTGGTACTGTAGTGGAGGAAAGAGCGGAATCACCGTTGGTCATATGCGCACACATCAAAGCACCTATAGGCTGGCCCTTTGGGCTTATGGCCTCGTATCGGGTGTGTGTGTGTGTGTAGAGCTTCTGCCGGCGACGACTTTCACTTCGGCCTGCCACAATGTTTTCAGGCCGTGGTTGAAGTGAAGTCAGACTCGGTGGTTACTCTGCGTTATCGGGTATCCTATAACGAATCAAGAGATTGCTCACGTCAGAGGTGCCGCGCATCGGGTTTGTTAGGTATTGTGATATTACATATGTAATACCGGATGAACTTGCTTATGGGGGGTTTAAAGCGACTACATCCATCTATACGCTCGTCCTTTTGGTTCTCCAAAATACCCTCCTGTGGCAGACATTAAAAAGCTCAAATGCTAGCTCAAACGGCTTCCGTCTTTCCCTGCACGGCCACTCTTTCCAGATCGCTGTCAGTCTCGTCCGGGTTGCCAACCTCGTCCCCGCCGCCCTGGTTCCAATCGCCGAACACGGCGAGAAGCGTGAAGGGGATCGTGACGGCCCACAGCGAGAAGCCCAGGACCATCTGGTTCTTGTTCGGCCAGTGCGTCGCGCCCACGGCGTACGCGACCGTGCTCCCGACCGACTCCCACGACCGCAGGATCCCCGTCGTGCGCGCGACGTCGCCGTCCCCCTGCGCGCCCTTGATCTCGGCCATTAGCCAGTAGATGTACGTCTGCAGCGCCTCGTAGAAGAGCTTGAAGACCATGTACACCGCGAACGCCGAGTTGAAGAACGGGCCGTCGCCGATGTCCAGGGACGGCGGGTCCGCCATGGCGGAGAGGCGGGTCTCGACGACGGCGACCCACGTCCAGGCGGCGGTGACGCAGGCGAGGACGGCGACGTAGACGGCCCTGGACTTGGCGGGACGCCCGAACCGCTTCATGTCCAGGACCGCGCCGGTGGCTACGTTTGCGAACGCGCCGACGACTGCTGTCAGGAACGATGCCAGGGCTCTGGATCGGACGGTGAAATATGCTGTGCGCCTTGTCAGTAACGGGTGCATAAACCACATTCTTTTTTTCTTCCTTTTCTTTATGTCACGCACTTGTGAGGTAGTTTCCCTGATACGTTGTGCCAAACTGCCCGGCCAGGAAGACGGGGATGAGAAGCAACATGTACTTGTTCCTCATCTGCTTCCAGATCGCGCGTGCTTCGATGCCGAAACTGGTCTTTTTCATGTACGGGATCTTCGTCCCGTCAGCTCTGACGACCTTCTGGGGCTGTGACAGCAGCAAGGCGCACGGCGCTCCAAGCGACGAGATGGCGACGAGGCCCAAATAGGTCGTGGAGGCGACCTTGCCCTTTTGCGACGTCTTGATGTTCAATGCCAGCGAGATGGCGCCGCCCACGAGGGGACCCATCTGCCTAATGCCCATCCAGATCCCCACGTATCTGGAGCCAGAATCAGCAAATTTTCGTCCCTACAGCCGTAGCATGGTGGGGGCAAAACTCGCCGGCCTCTTTTGTCCGCCTCCGGGTACCCGACGGCGATGGCGGCTTCACTCGCCCACAGGAGCGACGCTCCGATACCGCAGAACCCGGCGCCGAGCAGCAGGAACCACTCGTTCCCGTAGCGGTTGTTGCAGTACAGCCCGGCCGCGTACGGCGTGTAGAAGGCCGCCCCGATGAACAGGGTCCATTTCGCCGTGATCTTGTTCGTGACGCCCCCGGCGATGCAGCAGCCCACGGACATGAGCCCATAGGTCAGGGCGTTTGCGGCATTGTTCAGGAACGGCTGTGTAAACGCGTCAGCCCCGTAACGTGATTCGCATGGCCACCCGCTTGTGGGAGGGGGGGAAGGGGGGCCGGGTTTTTGTTTTCTACCTTTGCGTTCCCTCCGGCCCCGAGGTTATTCAGCGCGGTCCAGATGCCGGGCTCGCAAAAGGCCACGAGCCCGACGACTATGATCTGAAAGAGGCATGACCGGTATATCTGCCCTAGGCGAGGGACGGCCATTTCAAATGCGCTTTCGACGAGGTTAGGACGCGAAAGAAGTCTGGTATACAACTATGCATCCAAGGAAGCGGTTTACGGCAGTCATCGGAGTTTTATCACCTTGAACCAGCACCGAAAAGCCTACATGAGCACGCAAGGACCCACCCGGAAGACGATATTTCAGGATCTGCATTGTTGTCGCGGTACAGCACAAAGATAAGAAGAAGAAGCACGCCATCGTCAGAGTGGGCACTACTTAACCCGTAACAGAAACATCGAATTGTGGTACTCTGGGGCGATATGTAGGATTAGAGGTGGACACAGACAAGCTCAGTCAGGCATTAGTCGGTAAGCCTAGGTGTTCTACACGTAGATATCAGGCCGGAAGCTGTAATAGAGTCTATCAGCAGTTTTCAAAGATGACCTTTCTATCTATACATCGGGAAATGATAATATTCCATATCGCAATAATACTGTAAAGAGAGAACAAACCAAACATGTGCTTGCCCCAATACATCGTTCCTTAAGAAAGACATTCCCTCAGAAAGCTTGCTCTTCCTAGCAGTCTGCACCGTGAATGCCTCCAAGGTCGCGACCGCTCCAGAGTTTTAGGAGCGGCATGTTCTTTTTCGTTTCCTTGGAAATCCAGTTCCGTACCTCAAGCGCTACAAGCGAGTCCACATCATGACGACACATCAGCCGCGAGGCATCGACCTCAGAAGGAGGAATGTGGAGAATCCCGGCTGCTTTCTTAAGCAGAGCGCCTTTGGCAATGCTTGGGGCCCCAGACGGATCCTTTTGAACACTAGCTGCCGCCATACCAGACGACAGCGAGACGAATAAGCCGTCATTGGCGCCTAGTGCTCAGCTGGACTGGCTGAGTGCTAGTGAAAGCCTATATTAGTAGTTGGCTTTAAAACCAGCATTCTTACTCAGATTTCTTTTCTTTTCCATTCACGGTTTCTGAATCATACTTCCAGCCACTTTCCTCTTACTTGCTTGAACACTTTCGTAAAGAGCTTGCGTGAGCCAACGCACTTAAGACTACCTTTGGCTCCACCGAACAGCAATATCTTGGCTGTAGTAGGTTAACACGAGCCGCGCAAGCTCCAGCAAAGTTTGTAGCTTGGATAAGTCCTAACAACTCCGTACGGCGTCCTTCTCGATGGGTTATGAACCCCCGTCAAGTCTTGACTTGCTGTGCTTCTGCTTCTGTGGAAACTCTAGTTTCTGTGTCTGACCCTCCCGCACCGCTCGTCTGAAGGTTGTCATCACGATCCTGCCGAGCAACAAAAATCCAAGCGATGGAGATGGCCAGGAGGGTGCCGCACAGCAATCCAATAGAGCAAGAGTAGCTCACACGGTACGTCGGTCCGAACTTTGGTTGATATATTTGGGGGCCCTACACTTCATCAGCGGATATGAAAGGCATGGCGGGAAGGTAATGACATACTACAATTCCCATGAGTTGGCATGAGGCCTAGAAATTGATTCTGGTCAGGCTTTCCTCTTCGTCTATCATTGCTTGTCAGATGGAACATTCGGTTTCTTACATTGGTGATGCCAATGGCGAGGCCAGCGCTTGTTGTTCCCTTGGCAGCTCTAATACGCTCTGCGATGTCAGCACGTTAGCTGGTGTCGCTTCCTCCCATCAATGCTGGCATGCATCTCTCACCCGGCCAAATGATGGCAAAGAAACTTTGGGATGCGGCGGTCGCAATCATGACAAAGATGTATCTCAGGAAAAGTCAGCCGCTCGCCTCTGTTATAATCAGATCCGGTAAGCATACTTCGCAACCGAGTTCTTCACCGCAATAAGCAGCACGTAACAGACAATCTGGGCAGCCTCCAGGCCCAAACCAGCAACCCACGGGCTCAGTCGCCGAGTATGGACGAGGAATGCGAGTGACAGAAGAATAACGAAGACGAGGGTGAAAGGAGGCTACTGGAGGTTAGCGATCATCCTCGGGTGACCATTGGGTGGTTTGAACTGTGCACCATTGTCATCACTTGAGAGATTGCTGTGTTGGAGATGCCCAGCTCATAGATGACTGTCGGCAAAACGAAGGAAATGCCCCAACCGCCAATGCCGTGTGTTATCCAGATCATCAGAAATGGGATGAACGTGGGGTTGCGGAAAAGCTCCTTAACTTGCTGAAAGTTGACAGTCTTGGCATTCATTGTCGGTGCTTGCTCTGGGAGATCAGCTATGATGATCTCTCTTTCGGGTTCTGTGAGAAATTTGACAGTCCCAGGGTCTAGTGTGTCATCAGCTTCAAATGAATCATAATCATGACCGCCGTGACAGCGTCGAGACTAACAGTTTGGCAGGAAGAAGAATGTGTATATTCCGCACAAGATTGCAGGAATGCCTTCCAGAATGAACAGCTTTGTAAACAAGTCAGCCGGGCCTGCAAGCAAACTGAAAGAGTGACTAACCCATCTCCAGCCAGCGAGGCCCCCGACGCCATTCATAAATGAAATAGCATATGCTGCTATGGATTAGCGAACGTTATTTCAATGGTTTATGTTACACCCACCGAGCAGGCCGCTGATCGTGCCAGAAAACATTCCACAAGCGTAGAAGAAGCCCTGTACCTCTCAGCAACGGCATCGTTCGTGTCTATTCTGCAATATGCTTACGATTCTTAGGGGCAGCTGATGGGTTGGGTACCAGAAGCTGAGATGGTACAGAACACCCGGGTAGAAGCCTGCTTCAGCGAGCCCGAGGAAGAACCGGCAGGCAAGAATGCCAGCATAACTCTGGGTTGCGCCTTGGCACATGGAGATGATTCCCTTGACGACTGGTCAGTAGCAACGCCATATATGGCCAGTAGTTCCACATACCCAGGTGATCATAATCCTACTCATCCAAACGGAGGGAGAGAATCTCTTCAGGGCAAGCGTGGCGAGCGGCTCAAAGAACATGTAAGGGTAATAAAAGATGCTTAACGCCCAGGCCCATTGCGAGCTAGACAGATTCCCGAGCTGTTTCCGGATGCCGGTGCCTTGTTCAAGGTTGATGATGGCCGCATTGGTGATGTTGCTAACATGGATGCGCATAATAAGGTATACAAAGGAGTACCACAAAAGCAACCGTTTATCGACCTTGCGATGGGCCATCTTCAGCAGCGGCTTTTCTTCGTCCGGCAGGGACGGCCCGCGCGGCGGCGCTGTCTGAAGGCCCATGACGGACTTCTTAAGTGATATCAAGGATGATAAGTTGTAGGCTCAATGCTCTGAGATGTTAATGCACTTGTGCTCAGGGCTGCACCGGGAATGAGAATATCAACTGAGATGAAGTAGTTGTTGAAGGAGGAAATCTCCAAGATGAGTGAGCCCCATGATTGTATTGCCGTGCATCTCAGCCCCAAAGATCTCTAAATGCCGATTACGCAGGTTCAAGGCCGAGATGGCGCTGCAAGAAGCACGCCTTATTGCGGGGCCATGTGCACAGCAATGCCAATGCAAGTCGAACGATGGATGTGAACTGACGGCATTGGATTGTCCTTGGCGTGCCAAAATATTACCGTTAATATCTTTGGGTATATCTCTGTTTTGGTGCCTTTCAAACGGGAGATAGCTGGCGTTTTTGGATATATCCCAACTAGTAAACATATTGAAATATGTTTTCCAAAAAAGAAAGAAAAAGAGGTATGAACGGACGGAAAAGAAGAAGACATAATAAAGACAAGTAAAAAGTGAAATAAACGCTCGCATAGGCATCTGTCGAGACTCGAACTCGAGTCCCCAGCTATCATTTACGTGGAAATGGAAGGCTGGGATGATAACCCCTACACTACAGATGCGTTATTTCATTGGGAATCGAGGATTCCGAGTGGGAAGATGATGTGGGTCGATACCAAAGTTGCTCATGTACGACTGACTGGTCGTCACGATCTCGATAACAGCGACACTGCGATTATTGAGATGTCAACATGATTGATGGAAGACCTCATTTTAATTATAGTCTGCCTCGATTAATAATTTGCTACGGAATCGATGTGTACTGCAAGTACTGCCCAAAGAGTCTGGCACCTCGTCGTTACCAGCAACGACGATGGGAGCTCTGCGTCGTGTGGAACTCGATCCGAGATCGCAGGATTCGCAAACCCCCAGCGGAGATAAATGAAACATGCTGTTTCCGATATGCGATGAGCGTCAGCGGAGGAAATTGCAAAGTGGGACGTTGGAGGCGCCGGCCAACCACGGCCATAGGGTCATGTTCCTCATCCTGTCGGTAGATGGCGTGCTCGAAATCCGGCCATCGATCTCCGTATGGCAGAATAGTACCCGGCGCGGGGGAGATGATGGGGGACAAGGTAGTGAAATCAGACGGAGGGAGTATTTATGAGAGGCAACTCGGACTTTGTCGATGTCATTCCAAGGGCCGACTGAGCATCACTTCCGTGTACCCCCAAACTATCACAAGGCGCCAAACATATCATGCCGTCGGCCATTTCTCAAGAAACAGCCCCGTTGCCAAAATGGAAACGACCGGCAAAGACCAAATACGAGCTTCCGTGGGCAGATATTGCCGTGATTGACATTGGCAAATTCGACCAGCCGGGCGGGAAGAAGCAGTTGGCCGAAGACCTCCGCCAAGCTGTAAACCAACTTCCCATTTCCCCCTCTTTTTTTCTTTCCTTGTTTACATCGGAAATGCCTCGGAGCTGATGAGAATCCCAGGTCCACGAAACGGGCTTCTTCAGTCTCATAAACACCGGCTTCACGCCGGAGGAAGTGCAGCGACAGTATGACATCGGGCAAGGGTTCTTCGGCCTCAAGACGGAGGACAAGGCAAGGCCAGGTAACACTTGTGACTTTGCCAAAGGCAATTACTTTGGGTACAGACCGGTAGGATTAACTGCAGCCATGTCGCATCTTACTATGTTGTTAGTCTCATGCTGACAACACACCAAGGCGCATGAAAAGAAGATGCAGGGCACCGACGTGCTCAACAACGTGGAGTCCGTGAACATTGCCAAGTTCATCGCGCATTACCAGAACGAGCCTTTTCACCCGTTCTTTGAGCCTTTCCGCAAGGAAATTGAGGACTTCTCGAGAGTAAGTTTCCGACCGCATTGAATTGCCCTCCTCTGATATTCACGCGGTCTCCATCAGCGCTCACTCGAGCTGGCGAGCAAAGTCTTCACCCTGTTCTCAATCATCCTCGAGCTCCCCGAGGACTACTTCTCCTCCCGTCACGCCTACGAGTCCCCCAGCGAGGACCACCTCCGCTACATGGGCTACCACCCGCGGCCGCTGGCCGACGACCTCAAGGTCGCAAACACCTGGTCGCGGGCCCACACCGACTTCGGCTCCCTGACGCTGCTCTGGAGCCAGGACGTCGCCGGCCTGCAGATCAAGACGGCGGCGGGCGACTGGCGCTACGTGCCGCCCGTCGACGACGGCATCGTCTGCAACGTCGGCGACACGCTCGACTTCTGGTCCGCCGGCTACCTCAAGTCCACCACGCACCGCGTCGTGCGGCCGCCCGAGGACCAGGCCCACCTGTTCCGCCAGGGCCTGTTCTACTTCGTGCGGCCCGGCGACGACGTCGACATCAAGCCGGCGCCGTCTCCGCTGCTGAAGAGGCTCGGGCTCGTGCGCGAAGACGCCGAGGACGCAGAGCCGGTGCGGGGGCTGCAGTACGTGAGGGAGCGCGTGAGGAACTACCACGACCACAACGACTACGCAGACATGAAGGGCAAGAAATTCAAAGTCGGCAACTTGGAGATTGAGGACGAGGCGGCCTGAGCGAAGAGGATAGCTACGTACGTTTGAAGACACAATGGACCTGTACAGTTGAGCACTAGCCTCGTGCCACTGCCCCGCTCCCGTTGAGGGATCCGATTGACCGGGTTACTCGATCTCCGAAGTCTCGTCATGCCATATTCGATTAAGCGACGGCTGGCCTCACGCCCCCATTCGGCTCGCCATACGGTATTCTAAAGCCTGAGTTCAGGGTTGGTTACTAAGGTGGTATCTCCGAATAGCTCACTACACAAGGGCAACCAGACTGGACGGGCATTTTATAAAGGGAGTCTTTAAGGGGACCGGCCCAACACCATTGTGCACATCCGATAAACGTGAATAGTCTTCTCACTCGTAAAGAATAAAGTTGAGTGCACACACGCATAATAAGAACACCGAACAGAGTAATGACAGCTGCGGGAGGCGTTAATCAGCTCGTCATGACTTTCCCTGTCTCCGGCGTCACACTTGTTATAAGACTCACCCCGGTATCACCCCTACCTAGGAGAATTGTCTAGCTCGGTGTATCTTGCGGTAGCATATCTAATGCGATCTCATACTTTACCTCAACTACATCAGACCACGTGGGTACGTCACACCATAAAATCAGCCTCGCACTTATAGTGGAGACTTCTTCTACCGGATCCAGATGATATCTTATATGCGCGCCTGTCGTGTTAAGGACTTTGGTCGGTTAACGCAACCTAAGTAGCTGGGCCATACCGAATACCCCCGTAGTTCTCGGACACGACTCGCCTACACTGTCCTAAGCTAAGACGCTTGGACAGAATAGGGCATAATTCTTCCTGTAGGTATAACACAATTTATGATGTACGGGCACGGACTTCTAAAAAAGAAAGGGGGGGGGGGGGGGGGGGGGGGGGGGGGGGGGATGAGTAACAAAAGAAAAACAAAAAAACGAAACTTTCTTTTTGAAAGAAAAAGGGAAACACTTTTTCACATTGACCATCTCCAATGTGAGGCGCTAAACTAAGCAAACTTTTATGTATCCCAGAAACCCAACATCATTAGGAACTACTGGTCGTACTCTCCAGCGTAAAGAATGTCGCCGGGCTGGCCGTTGGCGACCTCCCAGATGGAGCGCTCGCTCAACTCCGCCCCTCTCTTCAGAGACCCGACGTCCACGCCAGTCTCCTTGGCCTGGTCTTCCTTTGCAAGTCTCACTAAGAAAGGGGAAAAAAAGTCAGCCAATGTTTATCCAAGGCGGATTATTAGAGATGGTGGCAAAGACACCGTGGACTTACCATGCAGGAAGACGGCGGCGCGCTTGCCGGTGTACAGCGCATGCGGCACGTTGGTGCTGTTGTCCGAGTTGGCGTCGCCGATGGCGTAGATGCCCGGCACGTTGGTCAAGAGGCCCTTGGATACGTCGGCCGACAGGCGGCCGCCCAGGAGCTGGACGCCGGCGTCGGCGCCGACGGTGCTGCGCTGCTCGTCGGGGTAGCTGACGAAGAAGGCGGCGCGCTGGACGGGCTCGCCGCCCTCGACGAAGTTGACCGAGAAGAGGTCGTTCTCGGGCGCCGTCGGCAGCGAGGGGTCGTGAGCGGGCTCGCCGCCGTCCCGGAGGCGGGTGATGTTGGCGATGGTGCGGTTCTCGATCTTGACGTTGTGCAGGTCGAGGTACTCCTGGAACTTGGGGTTCTTGGCCTCCGTGCTGTTGCGGGCCTCGGGCGTGTCGGTGCCGTTGGCGAAGGCGATGATGTCCGTGTTGAGCGTCAAGATCTCGCGGACGAGGGACGGGAGGTCGTTGAAGGTGGCGGACAGGAGGCCGAGAGGCTGGTCGGCGTGCTCGTGGCCGTCGCACCAGGGGCACTGCGGTTGTTTAGTAAAGCGAAAGGAGTAAGACCATCGACCCGCGAGAACATACCCAGAAGATGCCCTTGCCCCAGTTCTCCCAGAGGCCAGGGGTGTCGGGGAGATCGTCCTTCAGGCCGGTGGCGAGGACGACCTTGCGAGTACGGACGTCCACGGTCGAGCCATTGGCGTAGATGGCCGATACGACAAAGTTCTCTGCGTCGCTACCCGAGATCTGGACGACGGTGCCGTTGGTCATGGTGACGGTGTCATAGTAAGAGATCTGCTGGCGGGCCGAGAATCGGTACCATGCCGGGGTGACGCCTGAGGAAGTGTTAGAACACCCTTTTCTCGCAGAGAACCTAAGCCGTCGGGCTGCGATCCAACATACCATCGAAACCGATCACGTCGTGGACGTGTCTCGTAGGCGCATTGCGGTACTCGCCAGAGTCGATGAGCAGGGTGTTGCGGCGTACGCGGCCGAGGGCACTGGCGGCACTGAGACCAGAGGGGCCACCTCCGACGATAACGGCGTCGTACACCAGTATATCGTTGATCGGCACGGCGACGGCCAAGCTTGATACTGCGGAGAGCACAAGGGAGCCGAGAGAGAACTTCATGGCGGGCTAACGACCACAAGGAGGGACTCGGGTATAAATGAGAGACCGGAGTATAAACGAGAGACCGGAGTATAAACGAGCGACCTGAGTATAAACGAAAGACAGGCTGGTGATGTCGAACTGGGCTGTTGGACTACAGATCTCGACCACGGGAGGGAGGTTCCCCGCGCGTGTTTATACCCATCGTCATCTCAACAAGTTCGTCCGCAATACGTGCCACAGCAGCTGTATGGCGCAATGTTGCGAGACATCTGAAATGAGCCTTCCGGCAATGTCGATCTTCGCAAGAGTACAGCGGCATGCCCGCTGGACTGTGGGGATGCCGGCCCGCGATTCTAGCCACAAGTAAACTACCGGTATGTGCTCGACCGGGCCCAGTCGGGGGACTTGAACGGTCGTGCCAATAGACAGCCGCCAAGCTCGCCGAATGTGACATCAAGAGCAGCTCCGTGCTTGGAGACAGGGGGCTGCGGCCCATCGAACCCACCAGGGGGTGCCCTGCTGCATCTTCTTTAAGATGTTCATCCCTACGGCCCATCGGTATTACCGGTGCTACTTTCTCTGGCATCTGTGGACAGCGCAGTACTACCGAGGCTGACTCAGGATCCCGGGGATGGTCAATGGCGTGCTTCTTGATATTGCAGCACTCTCAAAGGGATACGGGTGGCCTCGAGGATGGCAGTGTAAACAGACTTGTCGCTTTTCAGATGGGGGCCTACGAGTCAAGAGCCGAGAAAGCATGTCAACTTTGCCAAGAATTGCCTCTCTCTCTCTTTCTCTTCCACTCTCCTTCTCTGTCATCAGCCCAGCTTAGCCAAAAGGCATGTGGACGGACTTGGGCGGTCTGACATTCGAGACTTTGAGAACGTTTTCTTGGCCACGCTGGATTATTCGCCAAAAATAGCATTAGCACTCAAATCAGAGTTTAGGACAGGAGATTAACACGTCTCTGTGTAGTAATCGATCTGCGCAAACGTCTCTCTCTCCCCCCCCCGGGCCCCGCAGAATCGTCGCTGGGAGGACCTTTGTAAGGGTTGGTCTGGAATTCGGCGCAAACCTTGATCGTCCGATACATCCCGACACACGGCGAATAAACAAGCGTTGAATGACCAGATACCACGTAGAATGGGTTGGAACCGAGTCCAATTTGCGCTGTCTTCATGTTGACATCATGGGGATATGTGAGCGGAACTCTGTGATTCGGTCAGCAGGTAAGTATTCCTCGATTTGGGGTTATTATTCAATTATCACAAGCTAGCGTCACCGGCCCGTCCTTCTGCCATACCTAAATGGGCACGTTGATCGGCAAGCACTCGACAATAATGCCATCCTTAGTGATATCCTCGGACCTTCGTGTCTCACCCGTCACTGTTCACGGGTACCTCGCGGAACCGTCCTTGGTTTCGTCTCGATTCCATGTGTGTCCCTCTTTCCTTCCATTGACTTTTGGCAAATCGTTTGTGGCGTCCACGTCACGTTACTGTCGCGCCGCATTTGCATGCCGTGTATAATAGTAACGTTCCGCGCGCAAGATACAATTAGCCAAATGAGGAAGACGAAGAGATTATCACCCAATAGTGCAAGACAGCTCAAGGGAGGCAGGCATATGGCGGTCAGAATGTACTTGTCCGAAAAGAAGAAAGAAATTCGCTCAAATTCCAACCCGTGTACATGATAAGAAGGGTATCTAGCGATTGCGGGTACTCCCATCAAGCGTGTATATATAGGAAGTCGTGTTCTCGTGCACTCATGTTCCGTCTCCCAGATTCCCTCCCACCCCGGACTCTCGTAGGCATATTGCCATCTATTCGGTGCTGTTGACAACCCTCAGAGCACGTCTGGGGCCCATGACGACCGAGAAGAAACTCGGCTCCTGTCCGTCGAGCAGCTGCTCCGTGCTCGAGATGCTGTCGTTGTCGGTGTTGGCGTGCCTGCTCGAGCTGGTCCGCGGGTCGTTCCCGGTCCCGCTCGGGCCGCTCTTGAACGTCCTCGCATCCTCGCTCTTCCTATTCAGCCCGCTCCCGCTACCGCCTGAGCCGGAACCCGGCGTGGGATCGTCCGTCATCCACTTGGGCTCCACGCCGGTGCCGACCCACGAGAACGACTCCTCGCTGACAACACTGTTGTCGCGGTTGTGCCTGCGACTGCTCTTCTCGCCCCGGCTGGGGAAGAAGCCGGCGGCCCCGAAGTGCATGGAGCTGGCGCCCGAGTAGCGGTTGACCTGGGACAGGTGCTGCTTGTAGGCGGCGACCTGACGCCGGTACAGCCATGCGCAGAAACCTAGATATAGCGCAAGGGCTCCGAGGATGCCGGCGATGACGCCCGCCGCGATGAGGCCGGGGTTGGTGCCTCTGCTGTCTCCTGAACTCTCGCCAGGGGCAGAAGTGCTGGTCGGACCAAAAGAGGTGATTGTGGCGGTCGAGCCGCCCTGCGTGATTGTGAAAACCGGAGGCTTGCCTGTTGCGAACGGACCGCCGGTGGCAGGGCCGGCGGCCGGGGTCGTCGCGGTGGCCCCGCCCTCGGAGTTGCCGCCGATGACGCTCTGGACCTTGCCGGGGACCTTGTAACCGTACGATCCGGCCGCAACGGAGTTTCCGGGTTCAAGATCCGCTGGATGGCCTCCAGCCTCAAACCCGCTTCTCCACTCGAGGTTGCTCGCGTCAAATACGTAGACACCCGGGGATTCGCATTGAGAGTCTTCGCCGAGGTACCCGCCCGCGACAATGATCTGGCCGTCGCGCATGGTACACGTGTGCCCGGCTCGGGGGGTGGGAACTCCCTCGCCTGCGTCCACCTTGATCCAGGTAAACGCGGGGATGGAAAGGATATACATGTCGTTATACTGGGTTTGGTTTCTCTGCGCCAAGTATCAGCAGCGTCGACGAAGGCCCTATTCAAATGACACAACACTCACATAAGGTTGGAGGTTCTGGCCTCCAAAGAAATAGATCTGGAAGCTTGAAGCGTCCGGGGCGCTAGCGACTGCGGCGCATGGGTTAACGCGCACAGTTGGCCTGTCGCCGGTGGTCCGTTGGTGGTACCACTCCGACGTGGCAATGTCGTAGACGTCGAGGGTCCCAAGATCGTCTACGAATGTCTTGTCCGATCCTCCGGCCATGCCAATCAGGACGCCTCTGACGCCCCAGCCGGGGACGAAAACCAGCACGCCGTCCGCCCTTTCGGGGAAGGCGTCGGTCTCCTGCAGCCCGCCCTCCGTGATGTTCCGGAAGACGCCGCCGTCGGCGGCCCCGGCACCGCGCAGCGAGTCGACCCCGGTGTTCATGAAGCCGGGGTGGGTGAACTCCAGAAGACTCTTCAGATATACCCTGGGGGTTTGGACCGACCAGCCCTCGGTTGTGAGCCAGTCGAGGTGGCCGCCGAAATACCAACTCAGGCCAAGCTCAGGCACTGACAAGCCCGCGCCTTCTGCAGAGCGCTGGACAGGCGTGTTGGCCGCGGTCGAGTAGTTACCGGCCGAGGTGCGAGGGTCTCTGAATTCGAGCCAGGATTGGTCCTTGATGGAGTATCGCCAGATTGACATCGGAGCCACCGTGGCGTAGACGCCTTCCTCGCCATCGTTATCGGCAAACTGTCCTCCATAGAGGTAGAGGTTATCGTAATCTCGCCACAAGAAACCGTTGGCCACTGCAGGGGGTCCGTTGGGTATCGTTAATCCTCTTAGGGAAGGGGACTTCGTATCCCACGATTTCGTCAGGTCGAGGGTAAGAAAGTCGTTGTCTGCGTATAACGCGTCAGATTGTCTCGCTTCACCTCTTCTCCAGGGGTTCCGGCACGCTTACTCCACGTGTTGATGGTCTGTGATGCCCCGGTTTTAGACTGACCACCGTACATGTACAGAGTTCCGTTCAAGAGAGCCGCTGTCCGGTGTTAGTCGGGTTAATAATCCGGCCAAAAGCACAACACGAACCTTGCTGAGCCCATCTCATGCAGACGTTTGTCGGTGTTGTATCTCTCGGGCGTATGACGCCCGCGTCCGCCCCAGTCCCAATTTTCTGACGACCGTTGTTATAACTAAAGGCCGGGAGGATGACAGCGATGAGCAATGCGATCATGCCGAGCCGCTGTAGGCTCGAGACGGTGGGAGGTGGCGCACTTGAAGCCGCCTTGATCCGTGGCCGCCGATAACCCTGCGACAACTTGGTGTACCACGGGTGCTTCGCAAACTGACTCGAGTTCCCACGACGAGATTCGGACTCGCCGGGGTCCTCGCGCTGTTCGGTTCCGGAATGTCTGCTCTCTCCATCGTTGTCGTCGTCATCGCCGTCGCCGTCATCGTCGGCATCATTCAAGGCGTCGCCGTGCTTGAGCGCCAACCCTGATACTTGTCCAAACTCCCTTTCCATTGACATGGTTTCCTTCCGCTCGCGAGAATGTTGAAAATGTTGGGTGGCGGAGGAGGCGCAATCATCGCTAAAGTTGTCGTCAAGCCCAAGCTCTTTGAACACCGATTTCCTGCCTTTTTTTATGTTGCTCGTCATTGAGAACGGTTGTGATCGGAGACCGGACCCCTCCCTTAGACGGTCGGATGTGTTTTGCGTATAAAATCTTGGCCTAGCATGCGAATCGCTGTGTGAGCGATGGTCGAGAGGGGGGCGCGAGAGATTAACAAAGGACATCGTGAAAGCGCGGCTACAGCGGCCAAAGATACGAGATAGCCTGCGATGGGGAGCCTCTGACGTGCAGACGACGATTGGACGACTTGTGGCACACTATGATGTCGCCACATGCAGATGGGCGGTAGGGGTTGTCACATCTGCAATCACAAAGCAGCGGGGTGCCAGAGCCGTGAGATCACTTCTCCCGGGGAGGACGATGGCGAGGATAGGGATCGGATTGGTAAAAGTGGCAGAAAGAAGCGGATCAGGGCCGTTGCTGGATCGCAGAAGAATGGATTCTAGGCTTATTATGAACGCTGTCTGGGAAGTAGCAGGAAGAGATGGACTGGAAGTAAGCCAAGCATAGAGAAACTGGAGGAAGATGAAGTAAGACACGTTGCCCCCATCTTCATCTGGAAAATTAGAACCCTGGCCGAGGCGACATTTTGCCTAGCATTGAAGCGAATCCAAGCAACTCGAAGACCCCGGGGGGTGGAATTCATCCTACACTCGAATGCAACCGACGATGGACACCAAAGAAAGGACGCCCAGTTGAATGATGGGGAACATCAAGACCAATAGGTACGGGCTAGACAGCTGCCAGCGGACTAGCTAGGAGGAGGGGTCGAGTGAGATGCGTGGATATGGACGAACTAGAAGTCTCAACAAGGACGCCACACTATCATGTGTTTCTTTTCCAGTCATTTCAAGGCCCCCATGGCTCCCGAAGCGAAGGAGTAGCGACGGGGTCCGGCACTGGCTTGACGGGAAAGGGTTCGGAGCTAAAACCTGGAAGGGTCTTGGCAGCCGCTGGTCGTTGCTGGATTCGTCCAGGAACCGAGCCGGCGCGCGGCGGCTATTGGGTGCCCACTTTGTCCAGCATGGCGGCGATGACTTCACTCGTCATCATCGATAGGGCCCAATCTTTCCAAGGGCCGCCATGTGTGAAATGCGACGCTGGGGTGGCGTTGTAAGGGCACAGCAGAAAGGGGTGTGGGAGCCGAGTGACAGCCAGGCTCCATCGAGATTCCAGAGAAAAGGAGCCAGTCGAAATGCAGGGGATTGGAGCTATGCGAGACAAGTGTTCTGGTCCCTGGCTAGCCAGATCTCGGTTTCCCCATGTGGTCGCTCGCGTGCTCGTGTTGGTTGATTCGGTGGACGCCTGAGCTGTTAATCAAACGGTTCACCATCACACCGACAGACACACCACCCGGAGTTCTGGAGGGAGCGGAGACCGGATCAAATGCGGTTCCCAGTGCGCCGAGACTGACGTCACCGGAAGATCCTTAAGAAGCTGTCATGATTAACAATGGTTTTCAACAGTAAACCTCTCTCCCCTCGGCTATATTCATTCGTTGGGTTGGCCTGGGGATCCAGTTGTCTATGTTCACCCCTGTTCATTAATGTCCCATGCTATACCTAAGAACACCAAGGCTTTGTTCTCAGATTGACCAACACAGGGCGGGTAAAACCTGTGTATTTTCGATTAGGTAGGCTTTGAACGTGGGCACTCCCCCGCTCTCTCACCAAACGAGCTTGCATCATCCCTCTCGGTCTAACAACTGAAAGGCTCTCCTACAGCCCCAGACTCATACGCCTCTGCGATGCCCTTCACTGTGACGTACGTCCCGGCTACACAGATGAAGCCCCCGGCGGCAAAGGTCAGAGCCGCCGTCAGGGCCTGAAACCATTTGCGCGCCCACTGCTTCCACCCGTCGTAGTCATGGTAGTTGTCGTGCAGCCAGAACGCGCCTGCGATACCGTACGTATACCACGCGGCGAATAGACTGGCCGCGATCCCGATGAGATAGTTGAAAATCAGCACGCCCACGGCGAGAACGAACGCCACGGCGTTCATCAGTACGACCAGGACCGCCCACGTTCCCCATCCCACCGCGGTATGGCTGTGCAGGTGGCGGCTCTTGCGGAATATGCGCACAAAGAGCAGCTTTGCCGCCGTGTGTGCGTACAGCGATCCGGCGAGGAGGAAGTTGGGTATCGCGATCCCGTACGCCGCCTTGGCCCACTTGGGCTCCAGGCTGCTGAACGCCGGCGAAGCGACCTCGTTCCCGAGATAGACGTAGCACACCACGGCGAACACGACGTAAAAGGTGGTCGCGAAGCCCTGCAGGGTGTAGGCCGCCTTCATGGCGTCCTGCGGGCGCCGCATCTCCGACATGAGGATGAAGAACATGAAATGGCCCGCGTACGCGAAGACGGGGTTCGTGATGGCAATGAAGGCCGTGTAAAAGTCGGACCGGACGGCGACGCTGACCTGCCGGTCCGCGGCCGGGTGCAGGCCCGCGCCGACCATGCCCACGATGCCCGCGACGAGGATCGAGGCGACGGACGGGACGCAGAGCCACGAGAGCTGGTCCATCGTGCGCGGGAAGCTGAAGAGAAGCGTCGGAACCGCGAAGATGCCGGTGTAAAGCATCAAGCAGAGCTTGTTGTCGCTGAGCGTCGCCAACGCTATCTGGCCCGCCAGGAGCTGGCCGCCAGTCGCGAAGACGGCGAAGACCACCGTCCCGAAGGCGAGAAGCTCTCTCCCGGCCCGGCCGAAGAGGATCTGCCCGGCTTCCCCCATCGAGTGGACTTCCGGGTGTCTCAACTTGAACTGGATCAGCAGCCAGGAGGTGTACGTCGCGAATATGCCGAGGAAGATGATGAGGATCACGCCGGGGACGATCCCAACGACAGCCAAGGACGAAGGCAGAGACAGCATGCCGTTGCTCACGATTTCCGCTATCATGAGCACTGCGACGAGCTTCCACGACATCGTTTTGTATTTGATCTGCATCACGAGGTCAGCACGGCTGTTTTGCACGAGGCTGCAGCTCAGTGGAAGCAAGTCACCTGGTGATCCTCTTCGTGGCCGAACGGGTCGAGATCATCGTACACCACCGGCCGAATGGTCTCATTGTGGTAGTCGACATGGTTGTTTCTCCTGTCGTACGTCTGACCGAGCTGCTTCATTGCGACCTGGAACGCCGATCTCTCAATTGGCTGGTGCTACAGAAAGAGGTTACTATGCCTTGAAGAATGGCAGTTCCGGACTGGAACCAGAGACAACACGCAACTGCGAGCGTGTTCCATTGGAACCGCGGGGTAGGTCACAACTTAGGCACCCCTGATACTCGATAAGCGTTGCTGGGTAGATAGCGTATCATCTTCGTACCTGCAAGGCGCTTATCCTGCTCACTAGACCGTAATTTTCGGGCCTAGTTAGATAACAGAAAGCTGCTCGTCGTACAGATTGTCGCCCGCGTCATGGATTATCACGTCAAGTTTCAGTTGGCCTTTCGGATGTCAACTCACTTGTGGAACGTGTTGCTCAGCAAGCAAATCCTCCAAAGAGTATATCAGTTACCATGTCGTGTCTGGATATGTGATACAAGTAGGAGTCCTGTCATATTGTCTCACTACTTGTCGTAGCGAGAGGTGAATACGATATAAGGCGTCAATTGCTGCCCGCAATTAACGGCGTCGTTTTGCCGATACTACTTGAATCATGAAATATGCCGATACTTATTGCACATGGAAGAAAAGGAAATCAACCTAAACTATTGTTAATCGAATGGCATAGAACTTTAATTATCCTGCGTTTTGCGTGTTGCTCTACCTGTTTTTGTGTTTCTCAAGCCAGAAATCAGGAAACCAACTCAAAATAGCAGGGCAGAGAGCTTGGTTACATCTACGATAGACTATCATAGCGGCATTCACCGATCGGTAAATCCTAGGTCGAAAATTGAATCAAGCGTGTGATTCCGGGAGAGGTTCAAATTCATACTTGGTTCGGATGCCAGACTGGGGTTTATATCTAGATGGAAATGATCAGTTAATCGCATCGAATCCAAGAACATTATCATCGATAGGGTTGTGGATTTGATGGCATGCATCGTATAATTGGTTCTTTATGAGCGCAAATCACCTGCCTAAGTTGTGTCTATGGAGTTAAACTGTAAATTCTGCATCCTAAGTTATAAGAAACGTAGTTCAAGACCCGGCGGGGAGGTTGAGTTCCTCGCTTATTATCTTACTTTTGTTCCCCCCATGACGAACCTATATCATTTGCTTTAGCTCTAGTATACCGGAAATGCACATGTCTGATCTAATGTAAGTCTTCTACGTGCCACATTTCGCAAATTGGTATGTCAAGTACATAGTAATATATACTTCTTTACCTAAATTTACCCTTAGTAGGGGAATACATACCTATCTTATTACCTCAGAACCTATAGTAGTAAAAGAGGGCCTCTCTTTTATACCCTTTTAAGTATATAGTATAAGATAGCCTATACTAGTATAGCTTACTACTTAGGCTAAAGGTAAAAACCCCTTAATATAGGACCTTATGTATAGTAAAAGCTTACTAACACTAGTATGTTAGAGGCGTCTGGATCCGAGTGATGAAGTCGGCGATAGGGGTCACTTAGCTAGTCAAAAGGTAGGTTGTTGTTGTTTTCACATTCGAATCTGGCCAACTGTAACTATCGTGGGCCCGGATAGGGGTTTTATCCCTCATCTGGATGACTAATAGGGCTCCACCGGTGATCCCCTGCCAGGCCCCAGTCAGGCCTCTGACATAGTATAACTTATAAGTTATATACTAGGCTATAATAAAGAGGTATAGCTTTATTATAGATATTTCTTACTTTAGTATGCTTTAAAAATACCCTCTAGACTATAGATTAGTCTAGATACCTAATAGTGTCTAGTACTATTAAATACCTACTTACACTATAAAGACTTATACCTCTACTCTTATTATATTACCCTCTCTCCTTTCTCCCCCCCTTTTATACCTCTATACCCTTACTACTCTATATCCTTATAAAGGGACATAAGGACAACATAGACAGGGGGTATTAGCTCCCTTTAATAACATAGAAATATAAATAGCACTATATAACTAGACATATAGAACACCTACTTCTAATTATTTTATAAATAAGAGGAGGTACTATATAGCACTAGTTTACTAAAAAGCCCTTAGGCACTTAACAGTAATAATAGTATTTAGGTTGAAACTCCTAGGTATAGTTAACAAAGGATATTGATACAGCAAGCCAGCTAGACAGTAGAAGGTTAGGCAGTAACGCGTTATATTAAAAGTACTCCTAAGATAGTTACCCTAGGCGCCCTTTGTTCTTTTTAGGAACATACTAGGCGTTAAATATAACAACAACAACCACAACAACAGCAACAACAACAACAACAATTAATTAGTTAGTTTACTTACTGTCACGTGAAACGGAGAGAGGTAGCTTAGATACGTTTGGATTATGGCACAATGCTCGTCATCACTCCTTGAATATGTGATGTTGAAAAGCATGTAGGAGTGTCAGAATCAAAGTATTTCTTGGAGAGCAAACACAGCTATTTCATGACTTCAATCACCGACTTAGCTTCAGGATCATACTCCAGCTTTACCCACATACCTCCACGTGCCCCTTGAGAAGAATGTTTCGTCATCATTGCTAAGGATCCCATAGCCGATTACTAAAGTGACCGTCATGAAAGACCGACTGTTCCCAGTAAATGGCCCCAAGTAGGAGGCCGGAACAAGGCTAATAAGCTTTGTAGAGCAACACGATTGTATAAGTTATTGATTGGACGCCTCTCTTGTGTCGGCTTTGATGCTATAGGCTTTCGGCCTATAAGCTCTTGACCTCTGTGTTTCTTGACCAAGGGTGGTGTGCGTTGATTATACGGTTCGTTTTCCGTTTGAGACTGCCCTTATGATTCAAGCCCTTTAAGCCATATTGGCCGGACAAAGGTTAAAAGGCTATGTCTTTAATGCAAGCCATGGGAGTTCTTCCAGAGCATCCAACCTGTTCGTCAACATGAATCATGTTTGGTGTTTCGTGGTTTGCTCCCGGTCTTGGCACCTTGAAACTTTTGGGTTTCTGCAAGCTTATGCACCTCATCCCTACGTTTTGGGAGCGGAATATTAGACGACTGGGTGGGACGAAAGGTTAAATAAAGAAACGCGACTCTTCGCCGTCCGGAGTCTCTCGTGGGGTTGTCCCGCATTCCTCGGAGCACACCACCTTCGGTGCTCGAGCAATATAACATGTTCACTTTTCCCATACCCGGACTCCTTTCACAAAGTGACGACATTTTAGGCTTGCGACGTGTGCAATATTGCAATTCCTGCGACAGATATCGCTCAACACAACAAGACTGCAATACAACTAGTCGCAAGCTTGTGTTTCCGTTTTCCCAACTTTAGAGATGAATTAGGTGAGATCGAGGGAGCCCTGATGCCATCATTTATTTATACGGTCTATTAGCCTGCACATACATACATGTCCATTGTGTCCTCGTCAGGCCCTCTCTTGACTTCACACAACTTCGTAGAAGCCTCCTCACAATTCGTCCGTTCAGCCACGTCGACAGTGAAAAATGACATATTTACCAGTTTGGGCTATCACATCAATACGAGCGGGGATATGAGGTTACGGCGAAAGAGATGAATTTGCGTCGTACAAGGGTATGGCTCCAACGGTTCATCTACGAGAGTTTGTGACCATTATGCACATCTACCTGTCCGAGTCAATCCGTCGGGAGGCCAAATGAATCGCCAAAAGAGGCCTACAACATGCCACGAGACATGCACCACGTGAAAAACACAAGAAGGCCAGGCCGTGATGATCGGTTCAACGTCAAAGAGACCATTGGATCGCTTGGAAAACAAAAAGGTCACCTGGACGAACGGTTGGAAAAAAGAACTAGGTAATTAGTCTAGCCAAGTCGGTAGAGGGAACCCAAAAACCACTGCCCGTCGATCTCTCGCAGCTCATCCCCGCATGCACAGTCCGGGAATTAAAGACAAGGTTCAGCCCCCCTCCGGCCCGCGGCAAGAAAGGACAGAGGAGCCAGTCGGATATGGCCAACAAACCTGCCGCATCCCGCACCCAAGAGTGGAGGAGGCAGAGAGATGCGGGTTTCCATGGCGTGATACATTTCGAATGCAGAGAGGTTCCACGATTGTTCGATACGAGGTGGGAAAGGCAATATGAGGCCCGTCGGCTGCCTGCGACATGCCTTGCTGTGGCAGTTCGCCATGACATAAACCGGATGACTTTTGGCGTTGCCCTAAATCGAATGGGCCTGTCGATCACTCCTCCGTCCCATGAATAGCACGGGCATAATTCACTAGGAGAAAACCCCACCCACCCATGGCGGCGACGCCTCATCAGAGAGGAGCCCTTTGGGTTGGGGGAGGTTGGATGGATCTGTTGGTCAGACATTGCAACCCTCAACGGGCCGATGCAACTCCCTTTCCGCATCGCGCTTTGAGTGGCCGGCCGAGGATGCCAGACCTACTAGCGAGCTGACGGGCTCATGTTCGCAAGAAACGACAATATCGACCGACGTGAAGGTCTTGTGGCCAGTTCGTTTCCCCCCTCCCCAGATGACCGCATCATGCAGCATTTTCCGTACCACCCCGCCAAACCGCTCCACGTGCTGCGTACAACAACTGGTCGACCCGGTGCTTATTTCGATGTTGTAGTTACTCGCATGCTAGCAGCCCGGCACCTGAGCGAGTCCCCCGCCGTTTGCACTCAAAGGCCAAGCGGCCAAGACATGGGAAACCAAAGAATCACGACTGCCGGTTACTGGCTATGTGGAGAAGTGGTTCACCGGGATGTAACATTGCATGCCTTTCTGCATGGCACGTCACCGTGAGTGAACCCTTGCGAAGGAGAGGAACTTTCGAAAACCTTGCGTCGTTTCCCTGGCCAAGCCAGTCCACATCCAGCTCGCTTGAGTCAATGCCGGGACGTCCGGGTAGAGCAAGGGAAGTAATCCGATGTTGTTCGTGAAGCTTGCGCGCACCGGTCAGTTTATTTAATGGAGTCTGCAAGTCTGCTCAATGTCAACGCTCGTCCCAACCAAGGATAACCCTAGACCTTCTTTTCAACAAACCTTGAGTATAACAGGAGCATCCCCCGTTGCGCAGTGACCCCTCTCGTTCGTGCTGCACCTCGCCTTCTTTTTCGATTCTCCCGCCCCGATTTCCGTGGCCACCTTGGAAAGTTGAACCGTTCTCTCGAGGAACCAGCACTGAACATCATCTCGGCGCTCTCTAGCACTCTTCAAGATGCGTCTCACGCAGGCGCTCCTCTCGTCTGCGCTGGCGGCGCTCTCCATGGCTGCCACCACAAACACTCTCAACGCGACGACGACCAGTGGAGGAGGCTCAGCACCGACGTCCGGGTCCGCGGAGCCCTACAAACTCCAGACTCCGCCGCTCGACACGGATTGGACATCCAAGGTCGGGACAAACCCTTGGCCGGAGCACCCACGACCGCAGCTGCGCCGAGAGAAGTGGCTGAACCTGAACGGCATCTGGACCTACCGGGCCGCGAGCGGAGGTGATGATGTCAACCACCCGCCTTCCGGCAGCACGCTGGACAGGGAGGTCCTGATTCCGTCGTGCATCGAGAGCGGACTCTCCGGGCTCCAGGAGCTCGGCGTGAGCCATTTTTGGCTGGCGACGACGTTCCAGGTGCCCATGGACTGGGGGAATCAGACGGTGCTCATCAATTTTGAGGCCGTGGACTACGAAGCGACCGTCTTCATCAACGGCCAGAAGGCCGGGTTCCACCGCGGAGGATACTTCCGCTTCACGATCGACGCGACGATGTACCTCAAACCCGGCGGTAACAACACTTTGTGAGTGGAATCATCTGTATCCTTCACTGTAACGGGCCGCAGACTGACAAAAACTCACTTTCAAGGCTAGTTTTTGTCTTTGACCCCACGGATGAGCCGGGCTATGTCGTTCCAATCGGCAAGCAGACCAGGTCCCCTTCACACATCTTCTACCGTTCATGCTCCGGCATCTGGCAGACGGTCTGGCTGGAGAGCACTCCGCAAAACCGAATCACCCAGTTGGACGTGGCCGCTGACCATCAAGGAAATGGTATGTCACACATCCACGCCAGAGAGAGCAGCTCGACAGCGGCCGTCCCACATCTAACATTGCCTAGTCAACGTGCTTGTTCACAGCTACTCCAGCCCGCCGTCGCAAGTGCACATTGCTGTCATTGACAATAATGGCCAAACTATAGGGGAGAGCGACGGAACCTCCGACTCCCCCTTCAACTTCACCGTGTCTTCGCCCAACGTTTGGTCGCCGTCAAACCCCAATCTGTACAACATTACGGTGACGATGGGCCGGGACAAGGTTTCGAGCTACACCGGCTTCCGCACAATCTCTACCGGCATGGTTGATGGAGTCAAGCGCCCTCTGCTGAATGGCGAGTTCATCTTCATGTTCGGAACCCTCGACCAGGGATACTGGCCCGACGGGCTTTACTTGCCGCCGACCGTGGAGGCTATGACCTATGACCTGAAAGTGCTCAAGAACCTTGGCATGAATATGGTTCGCAAGCACGTAAGATGCCGCTTCTCAGCCCCCCCCCCCCCCCCCCTTTTCTTTTCTTTCCGAAATCTAATATTTCTTTCTCTGACACTGTTCTAGATCAAAGTTGAGCCTGACTTGTTCTATCACGCTTGTGACACGCTCGGCCTTCTCGTCATCCAGGACATGCCAAGCCTGACAGCCGACTCTTCGCGTCTGCCAAACCCCGAGCAGCAGGCCGAGTTCGAGCGCCAGCTGCAGCTCATGATCCAAGAGCACAAAAGCTACACCAGCATTGTCACCTGGACCATCTACAACGAAGGCTGGGGCCAGCTCAGGGGCCCGCCCTACCCAGAGGAGACCCTCGTAGAGATTGTCCGCAAAATCGACCCAACGAGGCTCATCGACGCCAACAGTGGCTGGTATGATCACGGATTCGGCGACTACTCTGACAATCATCACTACGCCAATCCCCAGTGTGGCACGCCGTTTTATTCTCTTGCCTCGTCGCCTTATGACGCGTCGCGCATCGGGTTTCAGGGTGAATTTGGTGGCATCGGGCACAACGTCTCCATCGAGCAGTGAGCACAGCTTCCTCCCCGTAAAGATTCCTTCAACGGTCACACTAACGGACTTGGCAGTCTCTGGAACGTGCAGCAGGCGATCGATACCATCAACCAGACGTACGAGATCGACGAGAACCTCGAGGCCTACAACTACCGTGGCCGAGTGCTTCTCAGGGAGTTCCGTGAGCAGGTGGAGATGTACGCGTGCAGCGGCGGCGTCTGGACGCAGACGTCCGATGTTGAGGGCGAGGTCAACGGCCTGGTCACGTACGACCGCCGCGTCCTTCGGCCCGATATCGCACAGTGGCAGGTGGACATCAAGAGCTTGTTCGACGCCGCCCGGTCCAGGAGCGGCTCCGTGAACGGTACCATGTAAGCAGCGACAGCCGCGCGCCAGCGTTTTTTGTTTTTTCGGCTTTGTTTAGTTATACATATCTTGAGAGAGACGGTAATGCTAAAGATGGGATGTCTTCATGAACAGTCCAGCCGAGGACGAGGGCCAGATAAGAATCGTGTAGTCCTCCTAACCGTTTGATGATCAAAGAACCGGCCATTTCCTTTTGAGATACTTCACCGGCGATGTAATTGTTGACACGATTATCCACCGTGTGGCAACCCCGATGAGTTGTTCGTCGTGCTGGTAAGCTTTCCATGTGCTTGCTGGAAAGCGGTGCAGACGTATCGGGTTGAGAGCATTGAACGTTCTTACACGTTTTACATAAGCATTTGGGCTGAATGCTGTGTGCATCTAGAAGAAGTAAAGTTGGACTATAGAAGGTGCGGCTGGGTGGGATGTTTGGTATCCAGTTGATTGCGACGTATTAGATTAACCTGAGCCCAAGGTCGAAGTATATTGTCGAGCCCACGTTGGGCGGTACTTCTATCGTGACTCGATCTAGATAGAGATTATGCAGTATTGATTCGTATCTTGGTCAAAGTTTTCATCTCTCATTTGCAGCTCGGTGACCGGTCCATTGATTTCGATATTTTGTTCTCAAGGGGACACATAGTTGCGTGGCGCATGCTGGGTTCCAAGTAATAAACTCGACTGGATGTACAATTGTTAAACATAGCTCTGCCTCCTAGTCCTCTTGGGAGAAGGCTCATCTCATTTCACTGGACCTTCAGGAATCTTAAACAGTAGAAAGTGAGTTATTGATTAACTTTTATCACGTTGGATGTTTATCGGCAATGACATTTCTCAGTGAAATCATGACATTCAATGAATCTTCACTGCTTCAGTGATCCCACGTGCTCGCAAAAAGTTCCGAGCACATTTTATTTCGTTCCTCGTCCCTTTAACAACCCCTTTCACACGAGCCAAATACCACACAGTTCTGTCGGAAACCCATCCTGGAGACCAGTCACAGGCTCACCGCCTGTGTTTAACTTTGAGCTCAAATGAAATTCGCAGGGATGCCTCAACTTGCCGAAGAAGAAGCGTGATTGAATTTCGGCTGACATCTTTTGTGCGTATATCATGATTCATATCAGGCTTGGAGCGAACTGCTTTCTGTAGCGTATGAGAGCTTGGCTGCCCGAGAAGCTGCGGCTTGCTGCCTTGCCTTCTTCCTACACAACATCCTTTCCCATTTGCTTCCGATACAGGTCCAGTTCTATGGTCGACCACACGCGCGCTATCTTGCCCTGCTCAAGCTGATAGATGACATGCTCATGGAACCTGACAGACGCGCCATTGGGCCTCGCGCCTCCCCACTCCTTGACCGGCGTCCCCGTGAACTCCAACCTCGCCGCAATCTGCTGCGTCTCTGCGTCCGCAAGCAGGTCCTGGATGTCAAAGTGGAGTCCGTCGATGGCATCCTGGCTGTCGCTGATCAGGGGAATGTACTCGGCGATCGTGAGCTCGCGGCCGTTGTGCCTTAGCACCGGCTGGCAGAAGATGTCGAATTCCCGACTCATTGTCTTTTCGTTTATGCTTTTAATGTAGCTTTGATAGAATGACTTGAGTTCAGCCGATGGTTTCGAGAACGATCTCTCTCTGTTGGGCAGCGCAGAGAAGGAGGGTGGTGTAGGTGGCACCACGGGCTCTCGGTTTCGGCAGCCGTCTTCATCTCGGACGGTTTGCCAAGTGGACAGAAGACTGCCTGCGAAGTTGGCGAAGACGATTTCCTGATATTCGAGCGGCTCAGAGGCCGCGGGAGTGACGCGGTTGATGAGACGTGCGGCGATGCTTGGGGTGTCGGCATCAACCAGCATCGCATCGATTTTCACCTCTTTGGTGTCTCCGTCTCCCACAAGGTCGCGAAGTAGATGGTCCCGGAAGCGGCCTATCGGTAGCGACTCCCCATCGACAACAACATCTGGCTGAAGACGGCTTTCCAAGTCCTGCCATCTCTTTGTGTTTTGATCGTGGATCATGCCGCGGAAGCTGGCCTCTGGGCTGTTATCGAAGGGAGCCATCACGACGGTGAGGTTTTTCGAGAAGCCGTTGAGCACGAAGATGGCTTGTGCTTGTCAGGGCAACAAAGCAAAGGGGACCGGGGTTGGAGGCGATGATCTTGGATGATTCACACCACATCGCGCCCTTGACAAATACACGCGGAGCGGGGTTAGCCAAGGATGCGGTCGAGAACGAGTGGGGTTCCCCTTGTGTGCCACGCACCACAGTCCGGCCGGTCGGGTGCGGAGCAAGGGGATTCAACGGACCGGACCGGGGTCGCCCTTCCAAGGGGGCTGATCATGGGGCCGCGTCTAGAGATGCCGGCTGCTTGTGTATCGGGCATCGCAGCCCCGGAGCGGCAGTTTGACACGGGTCCCTACGGCCTGGAAAAGTGTACTACGATGTTGGGGAGACGGCGGAGGGCGAACCTGCGAGTGACTGGCGGCCATGCCTGCTGTCTAGACTCTGGACTCTCCAGGGTATTCTCGAAGCGGGATACTTTCATTAGTGGTTGAGCCGAGTTCCTGCGGAATATTGCTACCTTGGATGCATTGCACCCATCACCAAAGGTGCATACATGCATGGTATTTATTGGCTTGGCAGCTGGACCTGAGTCGGCGCTCCAGAAAGCGTCCGCAGCCGTCCAGAGTTGGTGGCACGGGATTAGCTCCAACACAGCTGGGGTCTGATGGATTGGAGCCAGGGGGCTCCGTGTCACTCATACATAACACGGCCATCCTGGTTGACAGCCCGGATAGACTACTAGTCAGGTTATCGATGCCCTCTCCGTTGCGGCCATCTACGCCGACAATGGCGAGACATTGCGCTTGATAGACACGTCACACACTTGACTCGGCCGGCCTCCGTGTCGTCCCGGCGTCGTCTAGACGTGCACGCACGCACGTCCAGACATCCAGATACAGGTTGTGTTCTCTCGGTTAAACGTCCAAAGCAGAGATATCGAACTGCCCATTGATATACATACTACCCCTGCCCTCCATGCCTCGGTTCTTCTCCCCAAAAACGCTAGTTCCTAATGCCTGTGCAATCCTACGAGGGACCATCTCGGCCTTGGCCAGATCATCTATAGGCTTATCTGCCCCCTGCCCGTCTACCCTAGCACAGGCACACACCGCTAAAAGCTGACGAGCTCTGGAAATGGTGCCATAGATTCCCGTTTCCGTCTTCCTTTGGCTGTTTCCTTTCAGCTCACCCCTCACGGCGCTCCCCGACCTTGCTCTTCAACACCGTCCTTCGCCATCTTGCGATAAGATGAATGGCAAAAGGACGTGAACCCCAGATTGGGCCCCGTGGCGAATGTCCAAACTCGTCGACCCAGAGCACCGCGAACTTCCAGGCAAACGCTACGAAATTGGACCCCTCGTATGCAGGCCACCATTCCCACGCTGTGCTGCCTGTCCAGAGAGAGAAGGGGGGGGGGGTTATTGGCGGGTGTGCATGCTTCCCGGATAAAGCTGGCCGCGATCCCCCAGTGTCGCCGGGGTTTTATACCACTCGTCTGGGACCCCTCTCCCACGCAGGCCCGAATTCCAGGCCCGAATCGCCACGACGCCGACATGCATGGAACGGAAGGGTGGAGGGTGGGATCGCGTGGCCTTCTCATAAAGTCGCCCTCGCCCTGGCGTCTGTGCCGCGCGCGCGCGCGAGGACTTGGCCTGGACCGGTTTTGCTTCCCTCTTTTATCCATCGCCAAGTGCTCTCTCCCTCGAACTGCTCGAAGCCAGCTGTTTGCGCGGGGGGCCGTTCTTTGGCCGCTTTTGTTTGCTTTTGATGCCCATTGTATCGCGGGTCGCTTTGATCGCAAGAGCCGCTCTTTAATCTCCATCTGGGAAGCCTGGTTTCTATCTTGGCCCCCTTACCCTCGTGGCGGTGGGCGCAACGTCGCGACAGGTCCAACAAGAAAGAAGGATGAGGCCATCTACGCGCACATTCCTGGCTGCCGCGGCATCGGCAGTGTTGGGCGCGTCTATCGCCGCGGCACAGGGACTCGAGGAGGTCCTCGGCAAGCAGGCGAATCTGACGACGTTCCGTGGTCTAGTCAAGGTACGCGCACGTCCAAGCACGGGGGGAGGGGGGCGTGGGCTATATGTTTGAGAAGTACGCATCGCATGCGCACAGCAGCCGTCGGGTCTCGGTCCCCGTCGTCCTGTGGTCTCGAGACTAACATATCTCATCCACGTTTGGTGCAGCTGACAAGTGAGACTACAGGATCATGCAGATATTTTCTCGAGGCTGCCCAAATCGGGTGTCACGGTAAGTCTACCCCTTTCGCATCCCCCCTTCCTTTCTATTCCACACGGTTTATACCTTCGGTGCTAGCCGGACGGATGAGTGGCGATGCCGGAAACCGCCTCGATTTCACTGACACGAGCGCCAGATCCTCGCCCCGAGCGACTCGGCATACCTGAAGTGGCAGGGCTGGGACGCCGACAAGGACGCCATCCCCTTCGCGCTGCAATATGGCGTCCTCAAAGGCAGGCTCTCCTTTAACGCTCTGGTGCGGGGCGACTCGACCATCGAGTCGACCCTCCTCACGGACGCGCGCTTCTCCAACGTCACGGACGGCCAGCAGGTCCTGGTGACCAAGCAGCCTAACGGCGACGTCGTCGTGACGTCGGGCGTGGCGTCGCGCACCACTGCGCTCGCGGCCGACATCCCCTTTGACGGCGGGCTCATCCAGGTGGTCGACAGCCTGATGGTCACGCCCGCACGCCTCGAGACGACCGCCCGCGACGCCTACCTGGAGTTCACCTCCTTCCTCGGCGCCCTCTACACGGCCGACCTCGTCGCCGAGTTCGCCGAGACGAAGGACGTCACCATCTTCGCCCCGCGGAACGCCGCCTTCCAGCAGGTCGCCGGCGCGCTCTCCGGCATGGGCAGGGACGCGCTCCGCCGCGTGCTGCGGTACCACCTGGTGCCCTCGGTCGTCGCGCAGGCCTCGTCGCTGGCTAACGCGACCGAGCTCGGCACGGCGGTCGACGGGAAGAGCGTCGCCCTGACACTCTCCAACAACGACATCTTTGTCGACTCTGCGCGCGTCATCCAGACCAACATCCTCGTCGCGAACGGCGTGATCCAGATGATCGACGCCGTGCTCAACGTCGACGCCCGGAACGTCGTGCCCGACGTGTCGGCCGTCTCGCAGGAGCCCGTCTTCACGATCACGGGCACGCCGCAGACGGGGACCACAGCCCCGACGCCCTTCGTCTCCGCGCTGCCGTGCACGACGGACTGTCCGGGGAGCGGCGGCGGGAGCGGCGGCGGTGGGGCCGGCAAGACGGCAATTGGTGGGGTCGCCCAGAGTTCTAGCACCGGGGGCGCCGCCGCAGCCCGGTGTACCGGCGGTCTGGTAGGCGCCGCAGCGGGAGTGGGATTGAGTTTGGCCATGGGGGTGGCGGGAATGGACGTCTTGGGTGTCATCGTCTGAGAGGATGCGGGAGGCGCGCACGCGCAAGAGAGAAAGGAGAGAGCGCATGAAGGACAGGGAAGGGCGCGTTGCGGACACGCCAAAGACACGGCAGCAGAGTTCGGCTGAAGAGGGGGCTGGCTCTTCGCCGTCTGCGGACGCGGGAGCGACGGCTCATTGTACTGCTCCCCCATATGCCAGCATGTGGACGGAGAATAGCGGATGTTGAAATACCCGGACACGAGATCGAGTGAGCGGAGAGCCGAGCGGCTACTCTGTTACGGAGCCCTCGTCTGTGTGATGCTATTTTTTCCCTCCCTTCTCTTCTCTTCCAGAAATACCTCTTGTGTATGCTACGTAATGGCTCGCTTTCGTGTCTAGAAGACGAAAAAAGACGGCCCTCGAGTGTTCCCCTTCATAAGCCAAGAGGGCTGGCTGAGTGAGCGGTCACTCACTGACCGGCACGCGTGCCGCCATGCGCCTCCCAACCAGGCCTGTCCTTGCACCCACACCATGAGCTGAGAGTTTTTGCTGTTTTTACTCTTTCTCGAAAGCTTCTCTTGAACATACACCACAAGCAGGGAGGAAAGCCAGGGGGTAACAAGGCGACTTCCGCGGCAGAGGGGCAGAGACGCCCAAAGTGCCCAGAATTGTTGGCCGTGGATGGCACGACGCTGCAACAAGGGGCGTTTCTCGTGGCCGCTTTGATCGGGACCCTCATCTGTGCGCTCTTCCGAGCATGCTTCCTCGCAGAGCCCTCTGTCTGGTTGGCGGGCAGTAAACACTCCCCTCCATTTATTGACTTATACTCGAAGTTTGGCGGTGCAATGGGTGGCTCTTTACATACATAGTCGGCAGCAACGGCTGTTGAATCGAGGGGGGAGCCGAGCCATGGTTGCGAGGTCGGGTATTTCCCCCGCTCCTCAGCTGGTTTGTCATCCCATCGTAGGGCTGCCAAGCAAAGATTCAGCTCCGGACCCGCGAGGCGGCAAGAAGCTTTCATTATGGCGGTGAATGACGACTAATTCCTGCATTTAGCCAGAGGCGAAGCTCTGGCGGGACAAAAGATGGTGGGGAGGGGAGGAGAAAGCCGCGCGATGAGAGAGGCCACAACACAAAAAGCAATGACTGTCGCCGGCTTCTAAGCCGAGATCTTCGAACCCAAGACAGGGGGATAGCTGGTTAGAGCACCACGCTGACGGTAGGTGTGTGTGTGTGCGTGTTGGCTTGGCTGTTAAGGATGACTTCAGACAAACAAGTCCACCTGAATGGGCCGAAAGAAACAGGAGCCCAATCAACCGCCAAGACCACGGTTACTACGTGGTGAGAAGTATCCGTAGTGTACCGGGTTCTTTAAGCTCTTGAATCACTCCTCGATGGCTCCCGTCCGCTAGGCCTATTCAAGACGTGCTAGGCCCGTTCAGAGAGTGTGACGGGCACAGATTTGGCGTCTGTCAAGGGGCTCACCTTGCACGGAGTCAAAGTTTAAATGTAGTAGCGGCGGGTCCAGGAGGCTGATGATTATCTGCGTGCTTGTGAAGGTTGTCGTGTTTCAAACTGGCTTCATGATTTGTGAGCGCACCCCCGTCCCCCGCCCCCGGGGCGTGTCTTGGAGCATCAGACCAGCATTACTATGTAGGAGATGCCGGCCGCCAAGAACGGGGAAGAAACTCGAGGGCGATGCGAGAGTCTTGCATGTTTTGCAATACCCAACATTGGACCGTTCGGTCTCGTCGAAGCAAGAGGACAACCCGGCGAGGACAATGCAGCTCTTAAAACCCCATGCGCTCGTCGATCCCTCCCGCGCTCGCATTGTGGGACCTCTCGAGTGTTCCCCTCAAGGTATCTTCGTGCAAGCCCCGACATCTTTACGTTCCCTTGTTTTCTCTCTTTCTTGAGAGCCTGAGCTGGCCTCACAGATAGCTGGCCTTGTAGATAGCTGCGCCATCTATCCAGTCCGATCCTTTTTTTTTTCTTTTCCTCCTCTCGGAATAGAACCGACGCAGGCGAGGAAGAGGCCGCATATAAGAGCAGAGAGCCCGTGGGAAGAAAGAGTGAGAGGAAAGCTTGCAAGGACAAGATGAGGTTCACATTGTGGCCCTTGGCCGCGGCCGCTGCCGTGTTAGCCGTGCCGGCTCCTCAACAATTCCCGCCGACAAGGACCTCGTCAACTACCGGCACACCAACGGCGTCGACATCGCCCAGCGGAACGGCCCCTGGTGGCTCCAACAATGCCTGCGCCCAGATCCGACCCAAAATGCAAGAGTTCCGTCAGGCTAACCCGAAAGGTATGTGATTAGGAGACGTCATGTTGAACAAGTTTGTCTCGGACAAGGGAAGGGGGGATACTAGCGGAACTATTTCACACTCCCACTCGTGGACGTTCAACGTCATGGACGTGTATTAACCCGGCTCGCTGACTCGTCCAAACAGAACCTCCCCAAGTCCCGGCGCAGTTGGCATTCGACTGTCTCCAGACGGTGCCGAATAAGCCCGGCCCGGCCAAGGATTTGATCAAGAGTCTGAAGGCCTACGTTCAATGGCAGTCGACCCTGTCGTGGCTCAAGTCGCCGCCGGCGTCCTACATGCTGCCGCCCGTCGACATCGAGGGCGGCCTTGATGAAATAGGGAGCAAGGCCGAGGCTGGCCAGTACAAGAGCGAATACGATTTCCAGCTTGCCATCTTCAAGTTGATCGCCTCGGCCCACGATGGCCACTTTGCCTTCCGCGGCGACGTGTTCAAGGGGTTCAGCTTCCGTAACAGGCTCGCCGCCGACATCGTCTCCGTCTCCCGCGACGGTGTCGAGATTCCCAAGCTGTATCATCTCTGTGAGTTCTGACGGGAAACAAATTCCCCTAGTGTGGCCCCCGCCCTTCCGGCCATGTGCTAATCCCTCCGGACGCAGCGCAAATCAACGACACCGCCGCCCCGGCCATCGTCAAGATCAACGGCAGAGATGCCGTCACGGCCATCGGCGACATCAACCTGAAGTTCAGCGGCTTCCAGGACCCCGACTCGCAGTGGAACTCCAACTTCAAGTCCTACGCGTCCAGCCAGGGCTTCCTCGTCGTCGCCGCCTCCCTCGCCTTCCAGGGCAGCAAGGTCACCCTCACCTACGACAACGGCGACGAGCGGTCCGAGGACAGCTTCGCGCTGATCCGGCCGGGGGCCAACTTCACCGGCGTCAACAGCGGCGACGACTACTACAGCCGTTTCTGCGACCCCGACAACGCACCCAAGGCCCCATCGCTGCCGCCCGGCATGATGCCGAACCAGACGAACCCCAGACCGAACAGGCCCGACCTGCCGCCTCCCCCGCCTACCATCGAGGGCTTCCCCTTCCCCATTGTGCGCGACAGCGGCGCCAACACCACGTCCGGCTACTTCCTGAACGGCACCGGCTACGACGACGTCGCCGTGCTCTCGGTCCTGTCCTTTGCGTCTCCCGATCCCAGTGCGATCGACGCCATCGAGTACCTGACCAATTTCCAGAGCACCGTGGCTGAGTTCCTGGCCAAGAGCAAGGAGGCGGGGAAGAAGCGTCTCGTGATTGACGTCGCGGCCAACGGCGGTGGCTTCGTCATCGCCGGCTACGAGCTGTTCGCCCAGGTATGTAATTGTTCCCTTCCAGAGGGGGCATATCCTTTCTTGTTTCTTTCCCCTTTAGCGACCCAGGCTTACCTTTCTTCCAGCTTTTCCCCGAAGTGGATCGCTTCCAGGCGAACAACATGCGCTTGGCGGAGGGCCTCGTCAGTTTGGCCCGCCTCACGGACGGGATCCCTGCCAACTTCACGCCGACGTCGGCCGACGAGCGGGATGCCATTCAGGACCTGATCGGCAGCTCGATCGTCAGCAACCTCATCCCCGGTGGCGTCTTCACCCCGGACGGGAAGGCCTTCACGACGGTTGACCAGATCCTGGCCCCCGTCACCCTCAACGGCGACAGCTTCACCGCCTACCAGCAGGCGCCCCTCAACCAGACGGACCCGACCTTCAACCTCACCGGCGTCGGCAGCCGGTCCAACCCGCCCGGCCGCGTCTTCGACCCCGAGAACGTCGTCATCTTCACGGACGGCACCTGCGGCTCCACCTGCACCATCTTCTCCTACCTCATGATCCTGCAGATGGGCGTCAAGACCACCGTCATTGGCGGCCGCCCCACCACCGGCATCATGCAGTCCGTCGCCGGCGTCGAGGGCGCCCAGGTCTTCTCCTTCAACGACATGACGGCCGACGCCAGGGCCATCCTCGACCTCACCCCCAAGGAACGGCGGGAGGAGCTGATGAGCGGCGAGCTCGGCGAGCTGGCCAAGGGCTACGCCATCAAGCGCGCCACGACCCCCAGGAGCGCCGGCGCCATCAACGCCAAGAACGCATTCTCCATGTCCGACGCCAGGACGCCGCTCCAGTTCCTCTGGGAGCCGGCCAACTGCCGCATCTTCCACACCCGCGAGTCGCTCTTCCAGCCCGAGGTCGCGTGGAAGCGCGTCGTCGACGCGACCTGGCACAACCCCATGCAGTTCTGCGTCGCCGGCAGCCAGACCCCGGTGAAGAAGGACGTCACGATGGACCCGCTGTTCAAGCAGAGCCAGAACAACACCGGCCTGCCCAGCGCCGCCCCCGAGGGCGTGTCCGCCGCCGGCCTGAGACTTGCCGTCCTCCTAACTGTGCTTACGGCTGCAGTGCTGAGCCTGTAGAGCCTTTGAGGATGTGCCTCGCCTGGTTTAAAACAAAGGCGGCTTGAGTGGAAGGGGGAGGAAGCCGGTTCCACAACGAGGATACACGACACAGCTTCGATGGCGGGCGAGATAGCGTCTGATACCATGACTCCAGGGCACTTGCTGCTCATGACATGTAATAAGCAGTGAGCAAACGGCGGGATCTGTTGCCGCGGTTAGGAATAGTATCACTGGATTCAAGTAGTATTGGATGAGGTGATGGATTAGGAGGACGGCTGCATAAAGCGCCCAGCTTCCTCGACATCCCTATCATGCATGGTTTAGATTCATTTGGAGTTAATCTGGTTGGCGGCGCACGGGATTGCCATAGATGACAGCCTTCAACTCAGGAAGGTATGTCAGGCTTACTCCAACATGAATGTTATTATTCCTGCATTTAACCAAAAGTCTCCTTCACATGAGCAACTGGCATGGTTCACATGGCAGTGCTGACCGATATGTGCTTTGGGTCATGATAATCAGAAAGGGCCTTGTCTCTTCTACGACGGTAGCTTTCTAGGCCAAAGCCATGATTCAAGCACGAGTAAGTCATTCAACTGCACATGGCCACAAGGAAGCCTCCAGACCGTAGTCGAACGATGACACACAAAACCGCAAATAACTTTACCTTGAGATTTATTATCATGCCGTCGAGGAAATTGCAGGCTTGGGACTGGCCAAACCATTTCATCTGATAAGACTGTCGCCAAACCAGGCCGTCATCTTTTCTACGTTCCAACCCCGTCAAACCTTTCTCGCTTTTTTTGGGGGGGGGGGGGGGGGGGGGGGGAGGAGGAGACCTGATCGGGGCGTGCCGAGAAACTAGGTGCCGGCTCACCGGAACTTTCCCCGTACTCCAAACCCACAAGTCCGGAAAGCTAATTGCGTTTCATTGTAGTCCAGGGTAGGTACCATAAGCTTCTTTTTAAGGTTGAGACGCAAGGTTTCATGATCTCATTATTCGTTCTTCGCAACGATGTGTTGGTTTTGGTGTCAGAACCAACGTCAGGAGCCGTGCTTTCGAGAGAGTCTATCGGCGTCTGCCGACGCGCCGCAACTCACGGAACTCTCGGCAAGGTTGCGCCCTCGTCCATCTTTCCAGCCGGTCTGGAAAAAACCGAATGATATACACTGTCAGTTGACGAGGCCTTGGAGGCAGTATTCCGGCATCGTTTCTCGCTCTGCGGACCAATCGGCTAAGCATGTGAATCCAACTTTGTATCAATGATCGAGTAAGATATCGTTGTGGAATAAAAGTACACCGAGCACGATCTAATCAACACAGACATGAGCCGGGAACGTGCCGAGTCCCCAACATATACAGCCCGAACGGACCGACCGTAAAAGCCTACGCCTCCACCGAAAGGGCAGCCGTGAAAGCGGCGAGGCCGCAGAGCCACGCGCCGCCATACATCAGATACCGAACCCTGTGCAGGCGGTCCCACTTCTCAATCAACTTGCCAGACTTTCTCCTGTCCTGCTCGGAGAGCGCGACCTTGTCGTCCAGCGTGATCAGAGCCTTGTTGGTCGGCATGATGACCATGGCGGTGTAGGGCATGGCGGCGATGCTGCAGAGCGCGGACATGATGGCGAGCCTCCGGGAAACGGGCGAATCTCCCCAGGCGAAGGCCGCGAGGTGCAACGCCGCCGTCAATCCGGTACCGACGATGACGTATGTCTGATACCCCCCCACCGCCGAGATGGCCTAAAGTCAGTCGATGTTTTCTTCTTTTTTTCTTATCCCTTCTCATTCTCTCGGGGTTGGTTGGGTATGAAGTTGGGTATGAGAGCGCTCTGCGATGAGCGCCCACGTCCGGCGGGGCATGTGAGACTCACCGTAGCCCCGTCAAAGAAGAGCCTCCACACTCTCACTTTCTGCTTCGCGCTCAATGAGCTCGTGCCCAGCTGGTCCCTGACGATGGGCAGAGGCCCGACGAGGCTGAGCCCGACGTTGCCGAAGAACAGGGATGACGTAACGATGAGGCCGGCGCCGAGCGCATATGTGGCCGGCGGTGCCCTGCCGAAAGCGGCGATGTAGGCTGATACGGACATTGTGTCGATCTCTCTCTCTCTCTCTCTCTCTCGAGACCACGCGGTGGCCTTGTTCGAGTTTGCGATATCAGGCGCGCGCTGCTCGCAGTCGTGCGGCGACGTGAGATGGGTGCGTGGTTGCTGGTCAGTGCACAGACGGTGATGATGTGATGAAAGGGAGGCTCTGTGATTGTTGTTGGGTTCGCCCGGAGATGCGATAAGCAGCCTGGGGAGTGGATTACGCTTGTCCGGACGAGGGATGGAGGCTGGCCGTGTGTCTCAGCTCCTCAACACAAAAGCAGAGGCCGGTCACCTGGGCGGATCAGACTCCGGGCTAACTATCTGTGGCTTAATACTCCATGCGCCTCGTTGGCTTAGCCTCTTAGCTCGGACTTGGGTTTTCAGTAACACAACTCACCAGCAACAACAGCTTACAATTTCATCTCACGATACGAAGTATGTATTAATTCAGGAATCAGTGGTTATCTTGGGATGCCGATGCTCGATTCCTGTTCCAGACATGAAGCCAAAACTTATAGCTTATCTCCAGTCCGAAACTTGGGTTCAACCACTCTCTTGGCAGTGTTATGTGTCTCTTTGATGGTATTGCAAAAAGGGAGTCCAACTCTGCAATATATCTCCTAACTTGGATGAGTCGCTTATTGTGTTCACGATGACCGCCGACCGGTCACCGACATGGAATAATCGGGTCCTGTAAGTGCAGCCGAGGCTCTGTTCTCCCCCATTAGCGCGCATACCGTCGCCTGAAAATAAGTCGATTCGGCATTTTAGCAGGTTGAGAAGCCGAGATTATGATCAATTCTGGTTGATTCATTAATAAAACTGAGGTGTCAAAATGCACGGTAAAGGTCTCAGCAAACAGAGAAGAGACTTGTCGAGTTGCATAAGGGAATACGAAAACCAAATACCTCTCAAGTATGTGACCTGAGCTCACATTGCCTTTGGGTTTCTGATGATAAATAAGCTTTCGGCTCTAAAATCATCTTCTGTTTTATTTCGATGTAAGACATTGGAGCGGTTCCCAGAAAATCGCAATCGTAACTAATTATATATAGGCTTGACCTAAAGATGGACAGTGGGTAATAATCACTTCAAAGTTGGATTCAATGTCACCCACCTAATGAACACCACCAAAGTAAGTTTTCCAATGTGAATTCCTCGCCGCCAAGAGGGCAGGGCCTTGGTATCAAGCGGGCCAAATTCTTCCCCCTCACAGTCAGTGCCTATCGTGATCATAGCATGAAAACGAGAAAAGCAGCGAGCATATATGATTAGATTGGTCGAATGTTCGCTCGTAGGCGTGGGGCTCTTGGTGATATTAGCACCGGCCATAGCACGGCAATCCACCCAGACTTGCCGATAAATCAGCTCATGCCGTCAAGTGGCATCTATATCACAATTGGAAAGAGATAGGGAGAGAGAGAGGGCATGTAAGCTATGCCCAGATGACGTCAAAAGGCCAAAAATCGCGAGTTACAAAGAGAATATGGCTGTGAGAGGGGAGGGGTTACGCTTTGCCCTTGCAGCAGCGCGCGAGCAGAAGAACCAGCATCGCACACAAAGTACGGATAGCCGAACCAGAGCCCCAGATACGGTGGCGCGATTGATGGAGACACGAGCGCGTCGTATCGAAAAGGCGGCACAGCCCGGTCCCGAAGTCTGGGTTTTGCTGCTGATGCTGCGGGGGTTGAGTCATGGGAAACATGGGAAACAAAACAAGCCAAGTCTTGGAAGAGCACCAGGCGCGAACCATTGTATCATACCGACTCAGGGCCAAGAGAAGGTAAGCAACCCCAAGGAGCGTGTGTGTGTGTGTGTGTGTATGCTTTCGTCGAGCCATGATGCACGGCACACTTCTCGTCTAGCGTAAGGGGGGAGGGAGAGGGAGAAAGAGAGAGACAGAGAGAAAGACGGAGAGAGCGTGTGTATGGATAAGGATGGGCGGCAAAAAGTGTGCCCTTGACACTCTTCTCGATGCGCTCGAATGGGAGGCCGTCATCAGCCTATTCGGAGTTGGAAAGATGATGTCGGTGGATAACCCCCGGGACGATATTATCCTAGACCAAGCCCGGGGACATTCTCCAAGTTCCCCTCATTCTCAACTTCTCCTCTCCCGGCCCGCCCCCCTCACGGGAACACATCAACCCATCATCTCGAACCCTTGCCAGTCTCCCCCTCCCCCACACATGTCCAGAAAAACACAAGTCGAACCAGTCATGGTTCCCGCGCAGACGACAGACGCTATTCGATATCAACCGGCGGCCGATGTAACGCTGCCCCTTTATTTCAACCATCCAATCCCGACCCCCGTCCGGGACAGAATCCTTGTCTCCCACTCCATGAACACGCAAAAAGCTGTAGAAGTCTTGCGGGGAGAGGGGTGTGCAAGTCGCGCCTCGAGGAGCCTTGGCCTCGGTACTGAAGCCACCGACATACAAACGCTCACAAAGGTTTTGTATTCCGCCGTCTGGGCAAAGATACTCGCGCGAAGTAGCAAGCTTGGATTGCCGGCGGAGGGGGGGGGGTGTCATCGGGTATGGGAAGAAGGTGAGCATCGATGGGTATGCCATCGACTAGTTACCCGCACGAAAAGTCGAGACGGCGATTCTTCCTCCCACCCCTCCCTCACCTTCAGATGACCTAGATCTCTGTCGCATTGTCCAATTGGCATTACTCGATGATGGCACCTCTTCCCCCAACCCATTGAGTCTGTCTGACTGGGATCATCTCGCCATGCAGCTACTGAACTTCAGACGATTATAAAGTCGTTGGCCCCTCCTCGGCGCAGTTGTTGGTTTCCTCTCTCTCCTTCTCGACAGCCCTCGCGTCATTGCAAACCCTCCACCTAGATCTCTCAGGCAACCGGGAAGCAACATGGTGTCACTCAAGTCGGCCTTCCTGGCCGCCACCTACGCGGTTTCGGCTGCTGCCGTCGACATCACCGTCAAGTCTTCCGGCGGCAATGCCACCAGTGGCCACCAATACGGATTTCTCCACGAGGTTCGTCATCTTCGCTGAGCTCGTGTCTGCTCGCATGAGTGGTGGTCCGCTCGCTCTCATCTAATACCCCCTCTTGTTTTCAGGACATCAACAACTCTGGCGACGGCGGCATCTACGCCGAGCTGATCCGTAACAGAGCTTTCCAGTACAGCGACGAGTTCCCCGTCTCCCTCGCCGCCTGGCACCCGGTCAACGGCGCGAAGCTGGCCCTCAAGAACCTCGCTCAGCCCCTTTCCAGCGCCCTTCCCGTGTCCGTCCAGGTCTCCGGCGGCAACAGCTCCGGCGCCATCGGGCTCAAGAACGACGGCTACTGGGGCATGGACGTCAAGGTGCAGAAGTACACCGGTTCCTTCTGGGTCAAGGGCGCCTACGACGGTGTCTTCACCGCCTCGCTGCAGTCCGCCCTGACCGACGACGTCTTCGGCTCCGTCGAGATCCAGTCCAAGGCCAAGGCCGACGAGTGGGTTGAGCACGAGGTCGAGCTCGTCCCGGAGAAGAATGCTCCTAACAGCAACAACACCTTTGCTATCACCTTTGATCCTGCGGTATGGATGCCTCCCCAGCCCTTGTTATGCCGCATGTACTGACTCCTCAACTCTCAGGGCACTGCCAACGGCTCGTTGAATTTCAACCTGATCAGTCTGTTCCCTCCCACCTACAAGGGTCGTAAGAACGGTCTGCGTATCGACATTGCCGAGGCTTTGGCCGGTTTACATCCTGTAAGAACTCCCCCTCCCCCTGGGCCACGTAGACGGACGACTTGTTTCTAACAACAGAACAGAGCTTGCTTCGTTTCCCCGGTGGCAACATGCTGGAGGGGCTGAACAACAAGACCTACTGGGACTGGAAGGACACCCTCGGGCCCCTAAAAGACCGCCCCGGTTTCCAGGGCGTATGGGGTTACCAGCAGACGCATGGCCTGGGTCTCGTCGAGTACCTCGAGTGGGCTCAGGACATGAACCTGGACGTCGTCATCGGCGTCTGGGCCGGCCTCGCCCTCAACGGCGACGTCACCGCCAAGGAGGACCTGCAGCCCTTCATCGACGACGCCCTCGACCAGATCGAGTTCATCCGCGGCCCCGCCGACTCCAAGTGGGGCGCCCGCCGCGCCGAGCTGGGCCACCCGGAGCCCTTCACGCTCGAGTACGTCGAGGTCGGCAACGAGGACTGGCTCGCCGGCTACCCCGGCGGCTGGGAGTCGTACAAGGAGTACCGCTTCCCCATGTTCATGGAGGCCATCCTGGCCAAGTACCCGGACATCACCGTCATCTCCTCGGGCGCCACCTCGGACGCCGACGGCTACGACATCCCCCCGCCGGCCATCGGCGACTACCACCCGTACCGCACCCCCGACGCCCTCGTCGATGAGTTCGACCGCTTCGACAACGACATCGGCCACATCGTCGGCGAGGTCGCCGCCACCCACCCCAACGGCGGCATCGGCTGGGAGGGCAACCTGATGCCCTTCCCCTGGTGGATCGGCACCGTCGGCGAGGCCGTCTCCCTCATCGGCTACGAGCGCAACGCCGACCGCATCCCCGGCACCTTCTACGCCCCCGTCCTCCGCAACATGAACCGCTGGCAGTGGGCCGTCACCATCGTCCAGTTCGCCGCCGACCCGGCCATCACCACCCGCTCCACCAGCTGGTTCGTCTGGGAGCTCTTCGCCGCCCACCCCATGTCCGAGACCCTGCCCACCGTCGGCGAGTTCGGCCCCGCCTACTGGGTCGCCGGCAAGAACGAGGCCAAGGGCAGCCTGATCTGGAAGGGCGCCGTCTACAACACCACCGACAGCGCCGACGTGCCCATCAACGTCCGGTTCGAGGGCGTCGCCGCCGGCACGACGGCCTCGCTGACTGTCCTGACCAACCCCGGCGGCGACCCGTACGCGTACAACGACCCCCTCGCCGGCACTAACGTCGTCGCCAGCAACACCACCACCGTCACGGCCAACGAGGACGGCGTCTTCGCCTTCAGCCTGCCCGAGCTCAGCGTTGCCCTCCTCGACACGGAGGGTTCTGCCGGAGCGAAGCAGGCCGCCCGGGCTGTCAAGAGTTTCCGGGCATAGGAAATGACGGTTCGAGGACTCGACGAGCTGATGACTTGCTCGCAGTGTACATGACTGTCGGTGAAACAATTGACAGGGTAGTAGGAGTAGTGGTAATGTAGTCAAATGTCATGATATCACCATCATCTCCCCACCCTCACTAAGAGGCGGCATGCACATTTCTCATGGTGGTTGTATGCAAAACTAACTCTCGCTTCCTCCACTGCCCGGAGTGTGCACATCATGCAATCAAACAACACCTCCCAGCGCACTTGCCCCGGTGCCTGTGTGCCGTACTCTGACTGGTCTTGAGTATTGTCGTTGATACATTACTGGGATTGTCTCACAACTACAATTGGCTGGGTGGTCCGGGAAAGGCGGGGAATTACCTGGATAATCACTTCATAGGCCTTATCAGGAGGAATACTTTTCAGCTTGAACCAACTATAAGGCTTTCTCTTGCAAGTTCATAGTGCGTTCATGAAACTGATGGCATTGGCAGCCAGTGTTTTACTTGACTCACTATATTGGAGCTAGACCTACATCTCCGTTCCATATACTACTACATAGGTTACTTTTAAGACAGCCATGACTCGAGTGTACTAGGCATCGATTGTCGACTAACGAATCTGCCAGAAAGAGAACCCATCGGAGTCAGTAAGGTGGTCCTGGGTTCGGTTCGCTCCGAGACTGGAGGCACGCCAAAGTTGATCTGCTGGATGAACCGGCGTCGCCCGAGTAGCGCCCGCAATCCTCAAAACCCGAGAACCATTTCCTCGGAATGTTGTGTTGTAACGCTGGTATAAACAAGAAAGAAAACATTCAAACGCAGGTAGGTGTATGTCGGTTCTACAGCATCCCCGTGGCCCAGCACGCTGGACGCATTCTAGATACCCAACGTGAACCGCACGTCTTCTTCCTGTGAATATGCATGGTCTCGTTCCGCCTTGTCCTGCCTTGCCAAACTACCCGGGGGCCCATCAAGTTGTAAGGCCCCGAGGCAGCAGGCTATCTAATTAGCCATGAACACTATGCTGGCATAATAACATAGTAACCCTACATCAGCGACTTACACAGATATGAAAATGCTCGCCACGGAGTATCACCAGAAACAGCGATAGGGACTGACTGCAGGGAAAGCCGCCCGTCTCCCCCAAAGGCCGGACGAATTATTCCATCAGAAGCAAACAGACACCTTTTTTGATTCAATTATACACGGTTTTCCCTCTATACCTTACCCAACACCCACCCCCTTTCCCCCTTTTTCGCCAAAAGGATTATTCTCATGGCATTAGAAGCGGAAAGAAAGAAGTCCCAGAGCTGCCCTTTTCTCAAAACAAATTATTCTCCTCCCGTAAGCCCAGGGTACGTCATGGTGTACGAGGCGACGCCCTTGAGGACGTCCCCGACGCCGGGGACGTTGCCGTCCCCGCCCTGCATGATGGCGGCGTAGTTGTCCATCATAAGCTGGATGCCCGTGTCGAACCCGCGCCCGTCGAACTCGCAGTGGCCGCCGTCGGGCGTGTTGTCCGCCGTCTGGAGCTTGTCGATCTCCGCGGTCGTGAGCCCCTTGTCCTTGACGATCTTCTTGTATGCCTTGATCGCGGCCGGGATCGACATCATCAGGGCCATCTGCTCCTTCTGGGTCGACTGGTAGTGGATGGGCGTGGTCGTGATGGCGTCGGCGGACGCCTCCGACACCTCGACGCGCGGCTCCATGCCGCCGCAGCCGAGGAACACGCCGGCGCCGGCGAAGTTGCCGATGTGGGTGGGGATGAAGTAGCCCGACAGCAGCAGCGAGCCGCCCGAGATGCCGGTGAAGTAGACGTTGGAGGAGTTGAAGGCCAGGTACTTTGGCAGGATCTGCATGACGAGGTCGTTGACGGCCTTGGCGTGGGCGACGCCGTCGACGCGGCCGAGGCCCATGCCGCCGCCCCAGCGGAGGTTCTCGTCCGGCGCTAGGATCGCCACGCCGGCCAGGCCGTTCCTCACGCCCTGGTTGGGCATCTTGAAGAAGGACTCGCCGCCGTCGCCGTGGAGCAGGACGTTGAGCCCCAGCGTCCCCGGGGCGCCGGTCGTCTTGCCGCCGCCCGTGACCTTGCTGGCCGTGGTGAACTCGCCGGCGGGGCCGCTTACGCGGAAGCGTATCTTTAAGCCACTAGATTTTCGTCAGCGTTTCCCGCGAAAACAAGTTTGGCAAGGGCGGGGCGGAGGGCGGGAAAAACTTACTTGACATCCTCAGTGGTGTCCAAGATGACGGAGGAGCCATCGTTGGCCATCGTCACCCCCAGCGGAACCTTGTTGGCAGCCTCGGCCGGAGTCTCGTCTCTTGCGTGCAGAGGAGCCGACTGAGGAAAGCCCTGGACGCCGCCGAGCAAGGAGGCGACCAGCACGGCGCAGGCGGCCTTGAGGTGGATCGAGGACTTCATCTCACACACGGAATGTACGCTCGAAGCTTATGTGCCTTTTTTTTTTTTTTTGCTTGAGAGAAGGAGAGATTGCGAGAGAGGTGTGAAGAAGGGTTGAGTTTGACTGACGTGAAGCTAGTCCGTCTTTATACTCGGTCGTGAGCGACGTCGCGTCCTCGTGGGAAGGGGGAAACAAGAGGCATCGGCGTCCCCCTTCCAAAGCAGCGACGACGGCCTTCTCTCGTGGGCTGTTTGAGAGTCATCTCGAAGCGAAAGGGAAGTGGGTGGGCGGCCTAGTCAGGAAGGTTTTCTCCAAAAGAGTTTCATCTGAACCCTCCGTCCAGAAGGCCTTTGGAGCGGCTATGGCCGTGCCGTTGGGGTTGGACGAGTAAGGCGTGAGGGAAGCGAAGGGGCCGGCAAACGGTCGAGGATGGGAGTCGCGATTCACCCGGCGCGTCCATCTAGAAACATGAAAAAAAACGCTCTCGCGACGCCTCATCCTTGCTGCGAGGGCGGAAATCGTGAGAAACGGCGAATCAGCGCCCCCTCCACCTTTGAAGATGCTGATTCCCTAGTCATTGAGTGCGATCGACACGGCATTTGTTTGGTTTACTAAGCAGAGAAACATCAATCCCGTTCAGCTTGACTCGAAATCATTGCCAAGCTCGCTGGCGTGGTGAGGCAGGACGAGAGGATTACTAATGTTTTGTCATTTCGCTTCTTGTTGGTGAGCCTTGTCGGAACTTGCAGGTCTAGTGAGTTGCCCTCCCCCCCTCCGTTTCTCTGCAAGCCGGGAGCTCACAAGATCAGTTGCGGGTCGGTGGTCTTGAGTTAAGGCTGTAAAGTAGAACTCTGCATCATGAGCGTGAGATTCACCTTTATTGCTTGCTGCACGGTGTTGAGCTCAACTCTGACATAACTCAGAATTCTTCTCGACGCGGGTTTGGATGGAGACATGGCGTAAAGGACTCTTGAGAAACACCCACCGACCGGGATTCCCTCCGGCCGGCGGCCCGCTGCCCGCCCACTGCCGCCCCAATGATGGAATCCAGTCCCAGTGGGCCGCGAAACTTCCCCCTCCCCCGCCTTCGGACGACTTCGCACCGATGCGGAGACCTGTTGGGTCCTAGTTGGTTTCCCTCGATAAAGGGACCTCTGCTTCTCGCCATTATATCTCCGTCACGGGACATGGATTCTGTTTTGGCTTTGCACGTCTTGAGACCCTGCATAGATTCAGCCAGAGTCGGAAAGACACGCCCGGCAACATGTCCATGTCGACGGAAGACTGCCAGAAGCCCCGCGAGGGCTTCCCCCGCCCATTCCCCCATACCCCGTCCAACGTCCTGGAGCAGCTCCGTGTGACCGGCAAGGTCACTGTGGTCACTGGCGCAGCGGACGGCATCGGCTTCGCCGTCTCCGAGGCCATGGCCGAAGCCGGGGGTAACGTTGCTCTGTGGTACAACTCGTAGGCCAGCTCCGCCCCTCTCTCTCCACTCCCTTAATCATGGGACGGCCGAGGTCCCTCCGTCGAATCCGAGTTGCCCCCCCCTGACTAATGCCGGAATAGAAACGACGTCGCGATCCAGAAAGCACGGGATTTGGCGAGCACGCACAACATAAAGACTTTGGCTTACAAGGTCGATGGTAGGTTTCTAGCCAGGGTCCAGGGACCATTTGGGCCCAAGTTGTCTTGTGACGCGACACGATGCTGACCGCGAGGGAGCAGTGTCCGACCCGACGCAGGTGCAGGAGACCATTGCAAAGGTCGTCAGAGACTTTGGAAAGATTGACGTCTTCGTCGCCAATGCTGGTGGGTTCTCTCCCTCTCCCTCTTTCTCTTTCTCTTTCTCTTTCTCTTTCTCTCTACCTCTATGTGTGGTCGGTTAGCTACAAAAAAGTGTAACAAGCAAAAAAAGGCATGGCCATCTCGAAACCCATCCTGGAGCAGACGCTGGACGAGTACCGGAAGCAGATGTCGGTCAACGTGGATGGCATCGTGTACTGCGCAAAGTACGCGGGCGAGGTCTTTGAGCGCCAGGGCTCGGGCAACCTCATCATCACGTCGAGCATGAGCGCCCACATCGTCAACGTGCCGGTGGACCAGCCCGTGTACAACGCGACCAAGGCATTCGTCACGCACTTTGGCAAGTCGCTGGCCCGTGAGTGGCGCGGCTTCGCCCGCGTCAACGTCGTCTCGCCCGGCTTCTTCGACACCAAGATGGGCGCCGGGCCCCAGGCCCTGCAGGAGGCGTACCGCATGGCGGCCCTCGGCAGGCAGGGCCACACCAAGGAGATCAAGGGCCTGTACCTCTACCTGGCCAGCGACGCCTCTACTTACATGACGGGAAGCGATGTCATCATTGACGGCGGATACGTTCTGCCCTAGGCGGGGCAGGAATGAGGGTTATGGGGTCCCCCTCATTACATGTATACCTAGACTCAGTGCAGGGTGTAGATGTGATAGAAGAGCGCCCTTTTTTTCTTTTCTTTTGGGGCGTATGTGGAGACGAAACATTGCCGTTTTTTTTTCTCTTTTTTTTTTTTTTTTTGCCATATTAATAAAGTATAAAGCTGTTTGGGATGAAGGAGCGGCACGCCGTCCGGAGACTACATGTAAGGCGACCATTGTAGGGGGTACCTGACCTGACCTGACCATTGCCTCTGACCTGACCACATCATTGGACCCGCCCGGAATAACATGGTATTCCATAACCCGAATCCTAACCCCAACCCTAACCGAACCCTAGCCGAACCTAACCACTAACCCTACTTCGTCTTAGTGCGTGCACGGTCATCATGTCTGGTCAGGTCAGAGGCATTGATCAGGTCAGGTCAGGTACCCCCCACAATGGTCGCCTTGACTACAGACTCCGCCGGGCGCCTCCCATGCTGCATGGGGAGAAGGAGTATCGAGTCAAGGCAGAGAGAGACTTGGGTTCGGTCATGTGCCAAGGTTCTGCTTCCAGGATTCGACACGGCGCTGCAACACAGCCAAGCAGCGGTGCTAATTTCTTCATTAACTAGGCAAACTCGGCCTCCGAGTCCGTGGTGTACAGTACTTTGCAGTAGCTTCAAAGGTCGTTACCACGTTCTCGTTTTCGATCCATCATCCGGTACGTGCAGCCTGTTCCTCATTTTATGCATGCGGGAATTTACATGCTTTCCCCGATTGGCGGAAGCGACGGACCTGAGAATTAAAACTGTGCAACGTATACTTGCCCAGCGCGGGCAGTGACTGAGCAGAGTGACTGAGCAGAAAGGCTGCATGCAAGCCGCTCCTGGCACCAGCCGGCTTCGACGCAGGAACTAAGTAATGTAAGTTACGGGTTTTTATGTCTCGTGCTGTTAGCCCATCATTCATGAACATACGACGAGTCCCCGACGGGCTTCTCAACTTGTTCGTTCACGCGGGAAGGTCTGCGGTATGACCTGACTAGGTAAGATGCGGCGGAGTGATGATGACACGGGGAGGCGGGGAATATGGAGCTTTCCCCGCCCTCACATCTCAACAAATAATCACTAGTCAAGGTGCCAGAGTGGTTAATGGGCTGCCCTGCTATCAAACCTTGATTCCAGATTAGGCAGTGGCTTCGGTCGCGCAGGTTCGAATCCTGTCCTTGACGCGCACGAATCTTTTTCATTTTTGGCCGTGTCAATCAGTATTCTTCTTCGTGTCCTTTTCGATATTTGCTGTTGGTACGTTTTGCATTCATGACCCGTCGTACGGTTGGTTGGTTAGGTGGTACCTTTACCTTACCTAAGCCGGTCGGTCGGCCCTGCCGGATTCGATTCCGGTAGGAACTGATTCGAGTCAACAAGACTCGAATCAGTTCCCAACTCTGTCTAGGAGGGTGCTTAGAGGTACAGTCAGCTGCTGTCTTCTTACATGGGGTCGTTGCGCGGCCTTTCAAACGATTCACATCCGAGGACGGGTTGAGTAAGCTATCTAGTTTATTTCTACCAGAGTACTGACGTGTCTGTGTATCCGTTCGATTACTTTGAGCTACTACCTACGCGTCCCATTCCGTCCCAAACTCCGAGCTGCCCAAGTGGTATGTATAATAACCCCGAAACCAACCCCAACGAATGCCCTTTAGACTCCCACCGTATGGCTGAAGATCTTGGCAGCCAGCTGGGTTAGCAACCTTGCGCGATCCGGCTGAGGAAGCTCCTGCAAGACTGTTTGTTAGCAAACGATACATGCTCTCACATCGCCAACAAAACATCATAGATATGAATGAGTGAGTAAGGTTGACTGACATCTATCCGTAGAGATAGATGCATGTCCACAAGACTGGCACTGACCTGGAAAACGGCGTAGACGCTCTTGCCCCGCGCGTCTCGGACGGCGCCGAGCCTGTTGCCGGCGACGGCCCCCGCGACCGCTCCGGGCATGTTACCGACAATGAATCCTAGCGCGCCGCCACTCAGCCCGCCGATGGTGCCCCAGAAGGAGCCCGTCGGCCGGTTCGTGCCCTCCTCGGCCATGCCCTCCTCGCGCAGCATCTCCTCGAACACGTCGCCGAATTGCTGGTTGCCTGTCCTCTCACGCTCCTCCTCGCTCTGCTTGCCGCCCGTGAAGAAGTTCCACGCCCATGAATAGGCGCTCTGCGACTTCCCGCCGCCGCCGCCGCTGCCGGTCTGCTGGGGCGGCACCTCCTCAGCAGGGTCGTCGTCGTCGGAGAAGTCGCCGTACGTCGCGCCGGCGGACGCGCCAAAGAGTTTGCGCTGGGCGTCGTACTCGCGCCGTCTTTGCGTGTCCGAGAGCGTGTAGTAGGCATCGTTGACGAGCTGGAACTTGCGGGTGCGGGTCGCGCGTTCGGGCGAGTCGGCGGGGACCCTGTCCGGGTGTGTCTTCAGGGCTGCCCTATACGAAAAAAAGGGCATTAGCGCTGTATAGGTACTCTCAAATTTGGAAACAAGCTTCGCTCGGGCACCTACTTCTTGTATGCATCACGGACTTGCTGCGTTGTGGCCGTCTCGGCGATCTCGAGGATCTTGTCTGTGACGGCATGTTAGTCGCATCTCGCGGGGGCTATGACGGCGGGGTGTGGTAGCTGCTGGGTGGGGACAACATACAATAGTCGGGAGGGGCACCAGCGTTCGCCATCTTGAAGTCTGTTAGGGTGACGGATGTTAGGTTCGAGGGTTTTACAAGATGGCAAAATGGTGACCACAGAAGACGTAAAGCAAGGGAAGAAGGAGGGACAGAGCCTGCCGGTGATCAGGTCCCAGATTTGCGCTTGAGATGGATGTCGTGGTGTCGCCTCCCGCCGCCAAACATTAGCTAGTGTAGGCATCCGTACACTGGTTAGGCGTCAACGTCATTGTGGCGCATGAAACCGAAATGCGAACGTGGCTTGATCTTAATCGAGGGCGGTGCGGGGCTTACCTTGCGGCTGCTGTCTCCGGCATTTAACCGAGTTTGCATGATCCGTGCGTGCACCCGCTGCTTATGTCATCGAGAAAATCAGCACGTGATCATCTTTGGTTTCTTTGCCGTCTCCTTCTATCTCTCTCTCTCTGTCTCCCCCTCTCAGTTCTCCCTCCCATAGACGACGCCGGTATCCGTATCCTGGACCGCTCCGTGGCCGTTGAGTGATGACGGTAAGGTCCATGTATGGCATTGATCACTTTCGAAGCCTTCAGATGGGCCAGTTTTCGCGAGGTCTTCTCTCGAAGGGCATTGTCTCTCGCGGACCGTTCACCTCTCGTCAAACAGGCGAAACGAACTGCGACAGACATGGCCGGGAATTTTTAAGGTTATCTATCCCCCCCCCTCCCCCCGGAGCAGCGAAATTCGCATGATACCTTCCCTCTGCTATTGTTTTGAACAGACTGGACTCATACCGTCGCTCAACCGGCGCCAAGACAACGCGACATTGACCAAGTGGATGCGACAGACAGCCGACTTGGCCCTACGCTGACGGGTCGGCCAAGGCTCCTATACACCAGTTTCAGGGTCCCTACGACGCACAGCGGCGGCATGTCCTGGCCTTGGAGATTAGGTTCCACGCCTGAAAGCTGTTATGGAGGAGCGATCCGCGCTACCGGGGGGGGAACAGGGTGCATGGGAAACTCTAATTGCTAGGCTTTTCAACCGGTGAGCCACACTCGAAATAGGTGACTAACAAGACTCATCTCCTGAGACGGAAAGTCGGAGTTGGAATGCGGTGCAGCTGGCCGCGGCAGGCAGCCCTCGAGGGTTGATTGACTAGTCTAACGCTGCGCCCCATCCTTCAGCCAACATGTCTTGGATATCAAGTTCCAAGGCCAGAACTTGCTGGTCACTAGGTCAACACGTGTCTGACGTGTGTGTATGTGTCTGAATGGTACATACAGATACATCATCGCGACCGAGCCATGGTGATTTTCATACGTGGACATTCATTCACAAGAACCAAATGTCTTCTAAGCTGAACCCCAGCCTCAATACTCTGCCCCACCTGCTTATGCCTCCCTCCTGTGGGCTGGATATATTCGAAAACCGTCTCGGAGAATAACATGGCGTCCTGGCAGCTGAGAATTCGGGTCTGAACTCTTGATTCTTGCTCAGCTATGCGGCTCACTGTTCCTTCCCTGCAAGTGCTCACTAACCTCTGCCGGCCGCACCCACATCCCCGATCGACTTTGTCACCACACAAGGCTTTTGTGTGCCAAAGCTGGCTTAGCATTGGCCAAGGCCCAACGAATGGACATCCCACCCGAGGGGGAGGACTGGGCACTCTTCACCTCTCAGCCTGGACGGCAAAGCATGACAATACCCAGAGACCGGACCAACGTCTCGTTGCTTTTCCCCGTTTGCATAACATCAATCACCGCGGACCCGGACAGGCTCGTCTTGGTCATCTTGGCGTCCTGCTTGTGTTGTTGAATATATACAGCTAAAGGGGCCTATGGCGTCGTATGGTATTTTTGGAGTTTCTGCCAGCACTTTCGCTTGGGTCTACCGATTCACTAGCAAACAGCACCTTCATCACACGACTTCAATAAGGATCGATGTGACGTAAGGTTAATTGGGAGAGGAGAGATCAGAGAACGGCGTCATCCTTATGCATACCTGGCTGCGGCGATAAAGATTGCTGGAGAGTGAAGCCATCTCTGGTACCGTCTGCGACTCAAGGCGCAAGGGTTTGATAACCTTAGAGGCCGAGTTCAATATGGCTGACACTTCAGTCACCCCGCTATCATGAAGGTTATAACGGTAGATTCAACAGCGCCATACGTCAAGCCACAGCCCAAGTCGCCAACGTTCTGGCGCCTCCAGGTCGTCTACGCCATACTTAAAATGGTTAGATTGTTGAGGTAGGTAGGTAGTTGTAGTTGGGAGTATTGAGAAGAGGAAGCTACGTATGGTGGCCTCCGTGCCTGCCGTAGTCTCGCATATCAGGTGTTTACGCATTGTGATATTTATATACCAGGTGAACTGTACTTGACTGCTTACCTATGGGGGGGTGGTCTGGATCATCTATACTCATCAAATGTATATATAAAGAGCAACCCAAACCCTGACGAACGATAACAGGCGCCGACTTCTCTCTCGGTCTCTCGCTCTCTCTCTTCTATCTCTCTTCTATCTCTCTTCTCGACTTCCTCCATCTTAACACAATGGCCCCCGCGGGCCCCAACGTCGACGCCGGCAGCATCTGCACCACGCCGGCATGTATCGAGATCGCATCCGATATTCTTCTTAGTCTTGCGCCCAACTACACAAATATCGATCCGTGCACAGACTTTGACCAGCGTACGTCGAACGGACTCAAGCACCACCACCCCCCCCTTCATGCTCCCCCCAACCCGTCGCCCGCCCGCATGACATCCGTCTCTACATTTGTCCCCTCCCCATATCCCCCCGCGTCCAAGCTTCCGATGCCTGTGTCGCAATTCTTTTCCATGTTTTCCAATTCCGCAATCCACCGAAAACGGGGGTGAAAAGTCAAAATGCCATGAATCTCCGTCCACTGACAACCCTTTTTTGGCAGTGGCATGCGCAGGCTGGAACTCGAAGCACGCCCCGGGTGCTGGCCAGAACAAGGCCTCCACACTGGGCGAGGTCAGCAAGACCGTCTCGGTCATACTCAAGGACATCCTGGAGAGTCCGTACCCCACCGGACCCGACGCCGGCTTTCTGACGGCCTCCCTGTCCAAGGAGCAGGTCAGCCTCGACCAAGACAATTTCAACCTCATCGTCACCACGTACAATGCCTGCCTGAACAACACCGTCGTCGAGGCGGCCGGCCTGCGCCCGCTGATGAGCCTCATCGACCGCGTCGCTGCGGCGTTCCCAGTCGCCAACACGACGGAGGACAGGGGACGCAAGGTGTCAAAGGGTGATGCCGAGAACATGGGGAATACCCTGCTGCTCTTTAGTCAGCATGGCCTCTCGACTTTCGAGAGCATCGATGTCACCTTTGAAGACCTGAATCCGGTGAGTTCTTCCTCGTTTGCCGCCGGCCCTTATAAATATCTCGTCAACGTGGCCCCCCACCTCCACCCCTTCCGAGCACCGAGTCTGACGGGATAATAGAACAAAACGATCCTCTCGGTCCTCCCCGGCGGCAGTCCGTTGATCTCCAGGTCGCAATCGCGCAACGATGACACGGTCAAAGAGTACGTGCGTGTTGTGGCGGGGGTCCTCCGAGAGGTGCATCCCAACAAGCCCACTCTCAGTGACGCTCAGAGACTTGCAGTCGATGTTATCAAGTTTGAGAGGGAAGCGTCCGCCTTGAAGTCCACAGACGACAGTCGCGAAGGCGACGATGACTACGTGAGTCTTGCTGCCCCCATTTCATGATTTGCCCTCTTTCCCGACCAAAACACAGCCCACCAGCACCGTCCCTAAGCTCGTTTCTCAAAACTAACGGGTTGTGTTTTCTCTCAAGTCGCCCAGCAAGAGGTTCAAGTTGGAGCAGGTCACTAGCGTGGCGCCCGAGCTCAACCACGACTTTGTCCTCAAGAACCTGATGCCCGCCGACTACGACCCTGAGGCGCTGTACTTCTCGCCCGCGTACTTTGGAAACCTCTCGCAGCTCCTCGCCAACACCACCGTGGAGACGGTCCAGGGCTTCTTCATGTGGAAGGCTGCCGCCGCCTTTTCCCCATACGTCGAGTCCCCGCCCACGAGGCGGCTGAGCGACTTCAAGTCCATGCTCCGCGCCGCGGACCCGGCGCGGGTCGGCAGGCCGGCGAGGTGGGAGGAGTGCGTCCACCACGTCGACGAGGGCGTCCCCTGGAGCAGCGTGCCCAAGGGCCTGGGCTGGATCCTCAGCCGGTTCTACCTCGACAGGGCGTACTCGAAGGAGGCCCGCGAGCTCGCCACGAACATGATGGGCACCATCCAGCAGGCCTTCATCTCCCGCATCGGCGAGAAGGACTGGCTCTCGTCCGATGTCAAGAAGGCGGCCGAGGAGAAGGTCAAGGCCATCACGAGGAAGATCGGGTACCCGGAGCTGTCGCCCGACACGGCCAACCCCCGCAGCCTCGCCGACTACTTCTCCGGCCTCAAAATCGGCGACGGCTACTTCGACAACGCCGTCGCCTTCGCCACCTTCGCCAGCAAGCAGGTGTTTGCGCAGCTCGGCAAGCCCAGCGACAGGGGGCTGTGGCTCCAGACGCCGTCCACGACCAACGCGTACTACTACGCCACCTACAACGACATTGTCATCAGCGCCGGCATCCAGCAGCAGCCTGTCTACAGCGTCGAGTACCCCTCGTACGTCAACTACGGCAGCCTCGGCTCCATCCTCGGGCACGAGCTCACGCACGGCTTCGACAATAACGGCCACAACTACGCCGCCAACGGCTCCCTCGCCAACTGGTGGGACGACAAGAGCCTCGAGGCCTTCAACAACCGCACAAAGTGCTTCGTCGACCAGTACCAGAACTTCTCCGTCACGGCGCCCAATGGCACGCAGGTGCCCGTCCGCGGCAACTTCACCCTCGGCGAGAACATTGCCGACGCCGGCGGCGTCTCGACGAGCTACACGGCGTGGAAGAAGCTGCAGGGCACCATGGACGCCAAGGACGGGGACCTGCCGGGCCTGCAGAGGTTCTCGCACGACCAGCTCTTCTTCCTCAGGTGGGCCCAGACCTGGTGCAGCAAGTCGTCCTCCAAGGAATACGACGTCTACCTCCTCGGCACCGACGTCCACTCCCCCGGCTTCGCCCGCATCAAGGGGCCGCTGGACAACTCGAAGGACTTCCGCAGCGCCTTCAACTGCCCCCAGAAGCAGCCGACGTGCGAGCTCTGGTAGACCCGCGCGCGCCGGGTTGACGGGAGAGTGGAGGCGGGAGGGGGGTTCTGGACGTTATGCCGGCTGCTACGCGGCGGCTGTATGACCGGCGTCCTGGAGTCGAGTGTCAAAGACACTTGGGGGGGGTTCGCTTCCTGCTTCGATCTCCCACGTTTTTTGCTTTTTTCTTTTTCGGTATTTTTACAGGGTAGAATAATAATGCATCATTGTTTAATCGTGCGCCGGGTCAGCCTCCGAAGTCAGTTCCACTCTTCTCATTGCAGTTACAGTCTGCCCCGATCGAGAATCAGTTGCGACGGCCCAGGCTCCTATTTGATGGAAAAAGGTACAAGTGAAGGGGCGGGGGTCTGATGACTTTCAACGACAGGTTCTTGTTGGCGTGGGATGAGGATACGATGTAGCGTGTTCACCAGATGCCCCTTCCCCTTCCTTGACATCGCATGCCGTAGGACTGGTAGAGTAGGTTGAACCGGTCAATCAGTTGCAGATGCGCGCTGAACGGTGAGGCCTTGCTTCGCACCGCGTTCGACATCCGGTGCTCGACCGCTTGGGAGTGGGGGACAAAAGCCCGGGGTTCCGGGCCGGCTGTCGGAAGATATAAACCACCGCCGCTCGGGAAGACACCCCAGCGACACACGCACCCTCGATAACGATGATGGCCCTTTCCCCGTGTCCCATCGCGTGACAACGTGCCACAGTATCCCCCATCACGCCGCGATGAGGCCGGCGGGCGGCATCCGCTGACGCCGAACACCGGGACCCCGACTCGAGGCGCGGGCGGGCTTGCGGGGAACATGCTTGGATCTGTGGCCTGAGGTCGCGGCCGCCCTTACTCTGTACATCACACAACATCGCAGAAGGGGAAAGGGGAGGGGGTTGTCAGATCTTTCGGACCAATCTCGCTGGCTCATCAAGCCACAACGCTAGCTCGGCGTTTTCTTCTTCTTTTTTTTTTCTTTTCTTTTTTTGTGGTTTCCGGTCGGATCTGGGAACTACATGTAGATGAACAGCGTGCTCGGCCAGTCAGTCAGCCGAGTCAGCCCAGCCAAACCCCAGATCGTCATCCCATCCCCCCTCCCAATGATGCAGGAGCCCGATCGCCTGTTGAACAGGGACCAGCCGGTCTTTTCCGACTGTCGCGTAGTTTGCGTTGTCATTGTATTGTGGGATCTTACCGAATGCCACCGTTCTTACTTTTGGCTTTAATGCCACATGCCTGTCACTCCCCCCCGGATGTCAGAGGATGCTCATCGTCCGGGACAGCTCTCTGCCGCGGGATCGTCGGAATGTGGTCAGGCAGGCGGTCATGATTAGCCAGGTTCGAGTTCGCGTCCGCGATAGCCACGACAAACCCCCTCCCCAAAAACACTAGTGTGTTGCGGCTGATCGAACGGAAGCAGGCGTGCTTACGCCCGCCATCTGCCCATATTGCAGCCATTCAGCTACGATTGGTCGCCGACGACAGGTTAGCCAGCGTCTGTCTCACATCAGCCACCACGACCGCTAGCCCGAGACGTCGAAGCGGAATCTCTCGAGTCGGGCTGTCTGGATACCCCCCCCCCCCTTCTCGACACAGAAACACCAAAAGAACCTCAAACAGGAACCCTCTCGTCACCAACATCACACGCCATGTCTACCGTCACCGGTCTCGTCCCGCCCACGTCACAACCAACGGAGGAGGCCGCGGAGGAGCCGCCGACGGGTAGCCGCCGCCGCCACCCCTTCATGGCCCTCCCCCTCGAGCTCCGCCTCCTCGTCTGGGAGACCTTCGGCGCGGAGCCCCGCGTCTTCGAGTACAGGGAGGACACCCACCTCGTCAAGCCCGGGCGCGAACGCCGCCACGCGCGCCACGTCGGTCTCGGCGTCTGCGCCGAGTCCCGAGCCGCGGTCCGGGCCCTCCTCCGTCCCTTCCCCCACCCCCTCGACGTCCAAAAGGGAGCGGTCCCGTCCGTCCCGTCGCCGCCGGCGTACGTCCCGGCCTCCGACATCGTCTACCTCCCGCCGCTCGTGTACCGCAGCCGCGTCGGGGCCTGGGACTCCCCCTGGACGACGAAGCCAGGCCTCAGGAACGTCGGGCTCCACTGGTCCGTCCTCCCGGACGAGCGCCGCATCGCCGAGGCCCTCCGGGCGTGCGCGCGGTGCTTCACCGACATGGCGAGGCTGTTCGTCTTTGTCGAATTCAGACCGCTCCCGCGGCCCGCGGAGGAGGAGGCCGGGGACGGCGGGGTCGTGAGGCTGCTGGGCCCCGCGGAGGACGAGTTCCGGCTGCCGCAGCTGTTTTCCGAGGCGCGCGGGCTGGTGGACGAGTTTTGGACGTGGGGCGAGCTGAGGGTCGCCTTCGAGAGGGTGAGGAGGGGGATGAAGGGGATGCCGGAGGTGGAGGGCGTTCTGTACTGCAGAGAGGCGGAGGATGTTCTTGGTAATTGATCTGGGGGGAGGGGGTTCGAATAAGAAAGCTTTCTTTGACAGCTCCGATCATTCAAGTTTCTGTCTAGTGGGGATTCTTATGACGATTTCGGGGTGGCTAGACGTGGCGATGTTGCACAAAGCTTGATTCGTGATGAATATATGACCCTCTTATGACGAAATAGTATGAAGACACCGATATCATATTGTTGGCCAGGCAAGTTAAAGGCCATAAGTTCTTGTCGTTTTCCGATTGCAACTTCTGGTGTGAAACATGCCACATCACGCATCCAACTTGTGATTGAAGTTTTCATGGGTACTGGGCCCATGTGGCGTTGTCTAGGCTTATAGATGCCGTTGGCCGGGACGGCGCGACACGCTGGGCCCCGCTCCGCACACAACCCGACCCCGATATCCACTCATCCGGGTGCCGGCGCTCCGCTCGGGACCACCGACCCGATGAACCGGTCAGCGCAACGACATATCACACAACGACCCCAGCCTTGAAAGCACGCTCGGAGACTCGGGGGTACACGCACGAAAAGCGAGTGAAGATTTATGAAGGCAAACTCCTTCCTCCGATCCACACCCTCGTGCACGTCCGCTTGTCCCGTGGATTCCCGGCAACCCCACCTTGTGGAAGGTTGTGTGTTCGTAGTCGTCACAAGGGAGAGACTGTCTTCTTGCCCGAGTCAAAGACGGCGTGTTCAAAGATCATCAGCCTCGATGTTGTTGGTTACCCATGTCTCTTGCTTCTACAGAAAGCCCGCGCCACGTTCACGGTCTCCCAGATTCGAGCAGGACAGACATACACACCATGATATATCATATCTGCCGGGTCCTTCAGCAATGTAACGCCAGTATAAATGACAAGGCTACACACCGCCAGCCTAGTACCATTGAGTGGAGCAGCAGGACACATACACCTGTTACCGCCCAGACTTCAAGAAGGCTTTAGCAACTCGGTCAACCCGCCGACCTCGAGCAACCTCCACACCATGGCCCTTCCATCACTGTGCACAAAGAATACCCCAGCCTGTCTCACGGCCCCCCGGCGGAGGGTCTCGCGCGGGACTCGCCCAACCTGCCTCTCGTACGAGGAAACCAGCCCTTCTCTCCCCCACCCCCGCCATTCGCGTGCCCGGACGGTGACGGAAATCGGCTATTAGAAAAGTGCAGTGCATGCTAGATCCTCCCCCCCCGTGTACATGTTCACATACGTCAGCGGTTTCAGAGCAGCAACGAGGCTCATGTGGACCGTCCTGCGCGCGAAGTGGGAACTCGAGCGCGTGCGACAGCGAGTCTTGCATCAGATTCAGGGTCAAACCGGGGTAGAATTGAAAGTCCGGAGATCACGGAACCCGCCCCCCCCCCTTCCGCGACGATCAGCACACGCATGCCACGTTCAGAGAACATGGGGATCCAGACGAAGAACAGCCCCCGTTCACCCTTTCCCGTCGATGGCGATGGCGGAAGAAAAGAAACAAAAGTCCCCAGCGTAAAAGACATTTCTCCACCTTTTCTTTTCCTTGGATCACCTCCCCGCCAGAAAACGCCAGCCCCCCCCCCCCCCCCCCCCCCCAAACGTGGAATCTCACCAAGGAGAAAAGGCGTGCGGGAAACCCTAACCCTTGCCCCCGTCCGCCCTTCCATCACATCGAAAAACCTCCATCGGGATCGGGGGCGAAGCAAGTTGCCCAAGGATGCCCCCCCACCCCCCGGCGTCTCTCGCGACCTTTGCCAGATTCGTCCTGTCTCTCCGTCGAACGCCGGAGGCCGTTGAACGGCGGCGGCGGCGGAGCTGGCGGGGCCCTTCCCTAAGAGAACCTCGCAAGGGCCATCCAAGAAACGAAGGAATTGACCCAAGACAACTTTGTCTTGGAGACTGGAACCGGAAGAGGTAGAGAGTAGTTGGTTCGAACCCCGCCCCCCACCGATCGAAAATGGAGCTAGAGAGCAAACCATCTCCCTCCCGCGTGAAAGAAAAAAAAGGATAGAGCTGGTTTCCTTGCGTTAGGTATCCTACTTTCTCGAGCGCCATATCCTCACTCCATCGACGACATCTGGGTTTTATTTTATTTTATGAGTCGTGACCCTGTTCTCATTAGGCAAAATGTGGGAATATACGGGGTAATTGGGGTGTGTGGGTTTCTCTCTCTCTCTCTCTGTCTCTCTCTGTCTCTCTCTGTCTCGTCCCCCCGGGCCTTTGGTCTCACGATCATCGTGCCAAAAAGCTCAAATCCCGGAAAATCCACCCTCCTCCTTTCTCCACCCCCTTCTGAATGCCGAGATCACCCTCCCTTACATCGCTGGCTAGCTGACTCAACATGTTGGGGGCGCTCTTTTTCTCGTGGGATGACAAGTCACATGTAGGCCGCATTTTGATGCAGCAAGATGAAGATGCCTCCTCGATCGATCTCGTTTTTGGGACAAAAGCCACAGGCTTACCTTTGTGGGGCGGGGGAAAGGATAGATACAGCCACAACCACAACCACCATCACCACCCGGCCGTAGGGGAACCACCGCCGCTGCCGCCGGTCCTGTACTAGTATGTACACTACGTTACGGCAAGCCCCCTTTCAAGGCCACTCCCG